GCCAACTCCTACTCACAATAACATACGGGGTATTGCTTGAGACATTTTGTACCATTTTATGATCTTCATTTGTTTACGTCTTTTGAAAGATTTCGTTCTCAATTTGTATCCAGGGATTTGGACGTCGTTGATGCTGGATTGAAACGGAGAATTACCCCCGTGCCAGAGTATCTTGGATGATGGAATGAAAAATTACGAGTCTCAATCCAGGTGGTGGGACTGGAAGGAAGAGGGTTTACTGTAGTTCACTGATCTATCGACCGATTTGGCAAAGATTCGGAAGTGCGACGAGTCTATTGTTTTAAGTAAATGGAAAAGTATTTGAGAAAGTTTCAACAATGCGTGTTCTGCGGTTCCCGTTCAAGCCGCCAGTGATGTAAGTAATTAAGTGTGAGTAGTCAAGCATTGAAACTCAATTATAACATGGGTGCATAAAGTAAATGTTCAATTCACTCAAAATGTGCGAATTATCCGCTTAAATTTTGAGAATCTATTTTGCAAAAAAAATCCAAATGACGTGCAGATTAAGGAAGGTCTAAATCTGTACGAAAAACACTAATATGTATGTACATACGATGATATCAAATTAGCACCCTCAGACCTCACAACTTGGCAAGTTTCAAATTTTTCGTCTGGCTAAAATCATACCATGCTTTTTATGTAGTTCATTTCGCACAATTAGCATTCCAAAATGCATCTCTTCGTCCACCAGGCATAATGAGGATTCACTTTAATCATCATTTTCAAAGATATAAATGTTTATAATTGATAAAAGTCCCTCATTTCCACACACAATGAATATGCATAACAATTAAAAGTAGACCAAGATTGTTGTGGCTATTAATATGCAGTACATACGTACACCTTATACCCACACGTACATGTTTGTAATGGGGTGAAGGATGGAAACATACCTGAGAAGACGCCGTATGATGATGAGCCTAGTTTTTTATTAATCAAAATGAAGCCAGCAGCAGGAGAGGCGAGTGATACATAATGTTAAATATAAACCAGCATGAGCTTATTCCTCACTTTTATTTGCTTTAGCGTCTTTTATGCCGTAAAGTAATAATAATTGAGGTCTGTCGTTATTGCGTAGAGGATCTCTTCTTTTTATGAAATTCTGCTTTATATAAGTCAGTGAGCAAATAAGTTGTGCGAAATGGGAAGATGCAAAGATTCAAGTGCAGCAGCCCATGACACTGAGTGAGTAAATTCAGTTCAACTCCTCCAATTTAAATGGCCCCTAACCCAAGCTCCACTTATTTCTGGGCAAGAAAATGAAAGACTGATTCAGAATTTCACTACCTGCAGACAAAAAGAGGACCTAAACTGATGTGCACATAATGCACCGGTTACAAAAGAAGTGCATTTATTCGAAACTATGTTAACCTGATGGTAGTGCTACACAGTAGCTGCATTGCATGGTCTGTTTGGTTGGATGTACTTAGCACAAGGCATACACAAATAAATATAAGGATAAAAGTCAATAATGCAATTTAGAAAATGCGAAAATATAAATTTTCGTTTTCTTAGTCATTCGAGAAATTCTTAAAACATTTTTTAGCATAATATTTATAAAGATTCAAGTAAAACCATTCAACGATAGTTCGCGTTTAAGACGATGCACGTTTAATTTTACACAAAACAAGGCGTCGTATTTGCTCAAAATTGGCACAAAAAGCAATGCAAACTAAAGAAAATTAAGCAGGTAACTAATAGGCCATGATACACCGCTTAAGATGCAGCTTAAAATAACAAACAAATAATTATTTGGGTTTTAAAGTATGCACATAAAGAGGAAGAAACGTGGTACGTGGTTCATTCACAGTGAGCATTATTATTATCACCACGACACAAACCTATGCATGTTGTTCCTTAAGATTTGCTAAAAATGGCATTTGGTTGGTTGTGTTGAAGGAAGACTTACAAGAGTCACATCCAACGAAGAAGTACAGACACGTGTGCCTCGATCCACTACTCGCGTCCTTCCCCTTTTGCAGAATAATGCATGTAGCTCTTTTTAGGGGTGATTCTTCTCCGAGTGTAAAGTGTTGATTCAATTGTTGGCTCTAACTGTGCCTCCGATTTGTGCCTTACTACTCCACATTTCATTCATCAAAGTGTTGTGAGATGTAAACATGATGATGAGTTTGAAGAAGACTCGGCGTTTCATTAAATCTCAACCACTGCACCACCACGTCTCCTTGATGAGTGCACGTTTAGCCCTTGATAGATGAGCATCACGTAAAAGACTGTTTTGTGGGTGGGTGTCCCCAACTCGTGTGTGTCAATTTTAATTGAGGGATTATCACCCCAACTAAATGGTGGTTATCATCATCATCGAGACATTCAAATTTATTTTTAATTGCAAATTATCAAACAGCAAATAAAAATACATCAAAGTTATTGAATTGTTCGAGAAAGTAGGTACATACATAAGTGCGTGTGAATTTAGAAATCAAATCGAAGCTATTCACAATTTTAAAATACTTGCAAACTGTTCCAAAATCCGTGAGCTAAAATTTAAAATGGTGAATCCCACTCTAAATAATAATCATGGAACTTAGTTTTAAAGTGTTTGACAGTGTTTAAAATCTAAATCAGTTCGGACAAAGCCATTAAAAACTAACAGACTTGGGATTGAAATCCATAAACAGATAAAGTGTGAATAAATGCTGGGTTGAGTCGATATCATTTAACAGAAAAACGACTGATAACAACCCATGCACACGGCTCGAACGCCACATTTCATATTACATATTGAGACAAAGGGAAGAAATGAAACGCGTGGGAACTGACTGTAATTGATCCTTGTTGGAGAGTGAAATTTTTGCATTGTAACAAGTTTAGTGTGATTATTATAAGAAAAATTAAAATGACGATACTATTTGCATAGAATGAAAACGAGAATCGACGGAACTGCAACCATTTAATCGCCCCAACCACACCTCATTGTCCCTGGCAAGCCTCGCTAGCAGTCTCAAAATATTAAATTCATTTCACTCTCTCAAATTACAATATTCATGTAAAACTCTACTCTTTTTCGAAAATGAAAGAACAATTTAGTGATGCTCGATGTGAATGCTCTGAAGCTTTTTTGCAAGCATCGTCTTCGCCGTGGACATGAAACCGCAACTGTCGCGCGTACATCTTCAGCTTTACATTGTCATAAATTCAATTAAATTTGAAATTTGGTGGTCGTGGCTGTTCCGGTGAATTTTATTAGTCAAAGGAATTCTCAGCCAAATCTCCTCGCTAAACTTTTGTATTAAGGAACTGAGAAATTAGAGCATTGCAATTGAAGACTAATTACGTCAAAATGTTTGGCCGGAGCGGACAGATGTTTCCCGTACGAGTAAGTCATGCCGTTATTTATTCCATATCATTATATAGCTCATACATATATTTTGAGTGCTAATTCGACTACTAATTAATATTGTCTCTCGTTTTTGGCATATACATTGTTTTACGCATACTTGGTCTGCATGATCAGAATGATCTGCATTCGAATTATATTTATAAAAAAGTTTGTTTTTTGCCATTGCGTCAAGTGAAACTAAAAGACGACGAGAAACCCACTAATCCATTTACCATAATAAGCTCTGTTGTCTTGTCGCTTTGTGGCCAATTAGTTAGTCGCTTGTCAACGTACAGATTGTGAGTAAAATTGGAAGATAATAGTCAGCAATTAAGTCGGACATCTGTTTAATTCGAATTAAATGGTGAACTTGAAATCGGGCTGCTGTCAAGCTAAAGCTCAATTATAATTGTCAAATTGAGTGAAATGGGAAAACGGTGGAGGGAAGAAAGTGCAAGGGAGCAGGTGCAGGTGTCCTTTTACTCGTCGTCGTCGTCGTCGTCGTGTCAATACATAGCACCATGACGAATCATCGGTCGGTCCCCATTTATGGGTGCACGGAATTGTAACTTAACTTAACCCACTTTTGCCTCTCTGGGTATAAAAAATGTTTGAAAAGGTATGTCACACAAAAGTCCCACCTATGTGTCGCGTCATGCACGTCATGCATGTGTATCCTCGCCTGGTAGCAGAGTAATGGGAAGTCTATTTCGCATGCAGTGTAATGAATTTCTTAATTATGTCAGCCTTCAGAAACGCTGAATACTTGAATAGTTAAGCGAACTTTGTCCATCACTGCTATAAAATAACACTCCTCTTAATAATGCCTCCTTCCCCCGTGCTGCCGTATATTGGGCTCGTCAAAAATGTAATGAAAATGTCAAATGAAACCAATTAATTAATAAATCCATTAACTCCACTGTAACAAAATACGGACGAGCTATCACTTGCAATGAGCATTTTCAGTCATAGCTGCGTATGTAAATGTCACTCAATGGATTCATCATCAGTTAATCCGACCGCATGTATAATGAAATTATTCAATCTAACCCATTCGCTTCCTCTCACTCTCTGCAAAATCCACTTCCTTCCGATTCTCACGAGAAGCTAGATAGACATGTTAACTCATATTCAGGATAACAGCGTAGGAATACTTGATACGTATGTATGCGTTGATGCGTTCTGTCGTAATTTTTACTGTACACACTTGTCACACCGCAGATATGGCATATAACCAGAATATCACAGTTTTCAAAACTGCAGGAGATATTTTATGGACTAAAAGTGAAATTTGATTCCCATGCGTTTTACCGCAAATTGAATCATAACGTATTACAACAATTATTTATTCACATAACAATGAAGGTAATCCATTGCGTTGGGTGGTGTGTATGCAATAATGTAAATGTAATATTGAGCTGGTCAAATTGAGGATACAAATGAGAATTTTTACATGATGCTTGTCTCAAATGTGTCTCGTCAACGTTTTTTGCAGTGCTGTTAAACTATCAATAATGAATGATGTGCAAAAAGGACATTTCAGACAGGAAAGTATCAAACTTTCGTTAATACAACACTCACCCTTCGCAGCCATTTAGTCATCAACCTCAGAATGCAATAGTAATAATCAAATAAAAGGTTTAAGCTCCCTTTCAAATCAAAGCTGCGATTCAAGGCAAGTGGCACATTGGATTTCGTCGGAGACTTTGTTGTTGCCAGCGTCTTAGCCTTTAATTTCAGTTTCCAATCTATTATGTTCTAACTGAATAACTGCAGTGAACTCAATTTTACGAGTATATGCACATGCACAAGTGTACGTACACACTCACACGTACGGAAACCAGGCATCCGGAGCATTGATTGGGATGGGCTGATTGAAACAATTAGAATAATAGTTGGTGAACCAAATGTTTGTCCCCTTTGTGTCTCATCTTCATTCAAAGAACAAGAAGTGACTCGTACAAGATTTTTTTTCATTTTTATTGCCAAAGTGAACAGTAGAGTGACAACTACGAATGCGAAAGCAGTAGAGTAGTGCAAGTCCTGAGCTCATTGTGACACCCGTTTTTTGTGCTGTATTTATTTTCAAGTTGTTGACAAAGGATTATTTTAGCATAAAATTTTAATAAAATAGACACTAATAATGAAGTGATTTGCTTTGCAGTGAGTATCGCACTGGTTGCATGTAAATAGGACTCTTTTTATTGGAAAGTGAATACATAGATCGGACAAACAACTAAGGCAATCAGCACTACTACCAACATCTTTTTCCTAACTAATTGAGCCGCTCCGATCTTTTGTGAAGATGTTCTGGGAATTTCTTAATTTGAAACCAATTGATAATTTTGCCAGCACGTAAGATTGGAGCAGTAAAGTGAATCCCAAGTGAATTGGGTTGTGTGCAAGGTTATGTACATAAAGGCAAAATTGTGGGGGTTTGAGTGCAAGCATAAACATCCATCCAATATCCTTAAAAATAAATTTTGTCGGCCACTGCCGTGAAGAAACCTTCTAAATAAATCACACGGGAACTAATACCAGCACAATTTGCGTGTGTAATTTGATGGGACGGGATACGTCGTATGGGCTTAAAAACCTAAATCTTAAGTCTTAAAATAGTTCATCACACGAGAGTTTATACATACATGCAAAAGTGTCTCATGTGCAGGAAAACCCAATTTACTATCAACTTTTGCAGTTTTATCGCTGAACGTAGTCAGCCGTAAAAATTTACAGCTACCACTACGACGAAGAAGAATTGTGTCAAAAAATGACTGAAAAAGCTACTTGCCATTATTTTAATTCTGCCAGTTCCTATATCTATGCTTGGCACTTATGGCTAATTTGCGGTTGGGTCTAATAACTTAACTATTATGGGCTCAATAAAGTGCTATATTCGTACTGTTTGTTTTATTGAAATTATTATATTTCATTTGGAAAGCAAGTAGAAACTACTTTTGAAAAAAAACTCCCAGTTTAAAAAAAATAATGAAATCTTATGTTCACCAGTATCGTTATTATTACTGCACTATTCCCAAGTGGAGAAAATGTCAATTTATATAAACCACGCAACCTAAAAAAAAACTTTTGGGAGGATGAATGGTTACTACCACCAAAATTCTTACAACAGCAACAATCGACGAAATCGAAATTCCTACCAATATCAAGATTATTGCCATCAGGGAGGAAGTGGAGGTAGCAGTGGTGGGTACAGTAATGGACCAGCCAGCCATAACCAGCGTCAATACCCCACCACCGGATTTGGGACGCTAACACCCATCATGTACAGAGTAGGAGAGAATTATTGCAGCAATAACATTAAAATTAAAATTAATTTGTGTAGAGACATGTGCTGAGGGAGTTTTAATATAATTTATTAGTTGCTGAAATGTCGGGAGGCAGGGGAGGAGGAGAGAATTTGCTTTATTAGGTTGGATTACGAGAGACAAGGAGCCAGCCAAACCTGGCCCACCTATTTTCTTATCCGTCACTCATCTTGATTTATCGGCTATATCTCACTCATCTGATTTTGATCCGGCGTACAAAGTGTTTAGCAATGCTGCACTGTTCCTGCTCCTTCGGATTTCGCCCAGTTGTTTGGTTTTGATTGACCTTCCCAACTCATGCAAGGGAATGGCTTCCCCTCCATTATGCTATGCCTGCATATGCATGGCTGCTTTGTTTCGAAAATAATAAATTAGCAGCAGCACATTAGCAAAATATCGCAAGATCAGAAGAAGAAGATAATAATCCATGGTGTGAAACATCAAAGAAGAATAGTCTGCCCATCTGCATGTTCTGTTAACACACTTGCTCATCGGTTACTACACACACTGCATAGTTTTATGGAAATTAAAACATTGCGGTTGTGTGATTATTAGAAATAATACAAATGCCGCATACCTAAATATATGCATAATCTTGATTAACATTAATTATCCGACATTCATTAATTACTTACAAGGGAACATACCGAGGTGTCCAACGAGTTAAGGGTCGACACCTATACCAAAATGACCACAATATATGACTTGTTAAACAAACTGAAGGAATTTCCGTGTAAAATTCACTTTTCGTCAAGTTGTGACGATATTTGTGACGAGCGCATGACCTCGGGTCGCCAGCGGGAGAGGTCGGCCGCTGAACGATCAGGTCGTCCACAGAGAAGGGTCGTCGTGATCACGTCGGCTTCAGAGATTTCGAATTCTTTCAAACTTTGAAACTATTTTGAAATTTTGAAGAAATTTTGAAAACATTTTGAAATTTAGAAAAACTTTTTCAAATTTAGAAGAAATTTCGAAATTTTGGAAAAGTTTGGAAATTTTGAAATTTTGAAACAATTGTGAAATTTTGGAAAAATAGAGGTGTGTAAGTTATTTGAAATTTGAAATCTCTGAAGACAACATGTGTTCGATTCGACACACCTCTAATTTTTTCAAAATTTCAAAATTTCTTCAAAATTTCAAAATTTCTTCAAAATTTCAAAATTTCTTCAAAATTTCAAAATTTCTTCAAAATTTCAAAATTTCTTCAAAATTTCAAAATTTCTTCAAAATTTCAAAATGTTTTTAAAATTTCAAAATGTTTTCAAAATTTGTTCAAAATTTCAAAATATGCAAGAATTCGAAATCTGTGAAGACGACGACGCTTCTCTGTGGTCGACCTGATCGTTCAGCGGCCGACCTCTCCCGCTGGCGACCCGAGGTCATGCGCTCGTCACAAATATCGTCACAACTTGACGAAAAGTGAATTTTACACGGAAATTCCTTCAGTTTGTTTAACAAGTCATGTATTGTGGTCATTTTGGTATAGGTGTCGACCCTCAACTCGTTGGACACCTCGGTATGTTCCTTTGTTAGTCGCCCGATAGTCGATATTTAGTTAGGTCTTGTTTGGTATGATTTGATTGATGAAAACTGTTTGATTTTTATTGCAGCAACGGGCATTCCACGACGCGATCTACGAGGAGGAGTATGGGTCTGACCAGGGGGATGAGTGCTGTCAAGGCAGAGGAATGTCCGCAATCTTTTGCTGGTTCCTTAGTGTCATTATTCTCATCGGTCTTGCTGCCTCTATCGTCCTCACTGTCTTCTTTCTGCTTAAAAGTGAGTTTTACCAAATAGCGATGATTCAATGTACAATACCGATATGAAGTTATAAATGGTGCAATTGTGCAATATTTATCAATTACAATTACACACAAGCTATTGGAAAGAGTAACTTACTTATTTTGAGTCGAATTAGTAAAACTTTTGCAGTCTAGAGAGGCTCATTATCGGCACGAAGAAGAAATTCAAAACTACTTAACACGTCGAGATATTAATCATCATCATCATCATAAACCTACCTGCTTAACTGACTATGACATGACTGAACTAAAAAAAAGTACACTATAAAATAAAACTGACCAGTTGCCAGGAAAAATAGTTGAATTGAGCACATCATATTTATACCACATCAGTTGAAACACCGCACGTGTTACGTGCATTTTTCATTGAAGAAAATGTGCTAACCTGCTCCGAGATATGTATGTAAGTATAACCCTGTCGGCTGTAACAACGGCACGACGACAGAGAGTTTCGCATAATGCATCGAAATTTTACATTTAAATTACAAAAATATTGTGATTCTGTGGAGGAGTATGCGTCGCATGCGAAGTTGAAAATAATCCGAACGAGTTTATACGTTCGCATCATCAAACGCATTTGTATAAGTGGGAACATGAAGAATATATGATGGATTGACTACGGGTATTTTTGGACAGGATTGCTACACTTGCATCTTTTATACTGGTCCCCAGAGCCCCGGCTGGAACTGGGTGGATACACGAGAGCACCGTGGAGCAGGTGAAAGCAAATGCATAAGCAGGTCGAGGCAGCGAGTGGATTTTGGAAGCTCGTGCATGGAACTGTTAATTAAAAGCTTTATTTGAATTTTACACCCGAGCTGAGTGCACAGATTGCGGAGATGACCGTAAACACAATAAACAGTAAAATATTGATATTCATTAAAAATTTATGAGATTCTTGCATTCCGAGAATCACGATCACCTCCTCCTCACTTCATCGTAATAACGCTTCGTCCTCGTGCGTAAATAGCTACATAGCTCATGGTAGTACATATGTATGTAGCTGGTGAAAAGTGAGCATGGAGAGAACTGAGGAGGAAGCGAGTGATGGATGAATGAGTTTTCACCATAAAACAGTTCGAACAGCAAATAATCAGCAGGGAAAGTTTTTGCCCGGTACGTATCGTGTCAATATTGAAATTATTTTGACGACCAGTACCAGTTATGTATGCAATTCGGAACTCTTCACCTAAAACTGAGACAAATCGGGCTAGGAAACGGACAAAGTACGACCAAATAATGGGCGAAAGTAATTCAACAATAGCAAAGAACTTTGCAAATTGATACCCCACTTTAGACTATATGCTCCTGCTAAATTAAGTCAGTTGTCAGTTTAAATTTCCTCAGTGTAGTTTATTTTAACCAACTTTCAATTAGTTGAACATGGTTCCTCCATCCATTTCTTGGAGAGAAATTGATACATGTACGCATATAGAAATAAAAGGTGCTTTAAAGCCACTGACTGAGCGTGACATTTTCGTAATCTAAAAATGGGGGTGAAATAGGTCACACTTGTTTTATTTATTAGACTGCTCTTTCATACTTTATCCTGTTTGAGTGCAAAATAGAAATAGCGAGGAGCAATGTGTTTACTTGTCCGTTTTATAAAAGCGACTCCCTCAATCTTTAATAACGGTAAACATCGCCTTGTTGCAGAGCTTTGGTTTAAACATTTGCCATTGATTTGCTCAACACTTACTTCATACGTACATTATTCGAATGTACGTACATAAATCCACCATAACACTGCATTATCATTACTCTGCAAGTAACTTCATGCAGCTTCGCTATGCAAACACAAACCACTGATCTGAGAAATCTTTTAATTGAAATTCACACTGTTCCTTGTAATGCTGAATAATTGAGGGTGTCTGATTGAAATTTTGTAACATAACTGAAATCGGGATGCACTAGACCGGCACCTGACCGACTGACTATAAAAGATGAAAGACTTTCATGACATGCATGCTCCTCGGTGCTTCATTGTGATGGTGTTGACAGCAAAACAATCAGATCCAGTTAAACAAAGAGACGCGATGAATTAACAATGGAGTGAACGTGTTGCGTGCTTGCATGCAAATGTAAATAAATAAGAATGATCCTCGCTTGTCGCTTAGCAGGAGGTTAATGGTTCAAATTGGGATGAAATGAAATTAGTGGGTAATTAGGAACAATTTAAAAAGTGACAGAGTGAGATGTACAGGGGAAAATTTGAAACATTCATAAACACGTAATGTAATTAAGTTGTGAGAATAAAATTCCAAATTAATATGTAAAAGTGTACTTAAATTTCATTCATTTGATTTTCAGGTAAAAACCACATGTCAAAGAATGGCGAGCTTGACTTATTGTTCGACGGAGATAATGGGATAAATTTCCACCTCCCTGACACAACCACAGAACTTAGTAGCATAAATTTCTCCGGTGTTCCTTCGTCATCCAGAGAATCATCTGGGTCACCTGGACGGACTACGTCAGAGGGCGAAGTGTCAAAAAATGGAGGACGCCAGTTCACAATGTCAGTTGCCACATCCACGAGATTTCCGCCATCGAGGAAAGGACCTCACCAGATTTTTAAAGAGTCGGAGGAAGACGAGGTAACACGTTTTTTGCACCTTGTGAATTTTAATAATTTCGACTCGTAGCAATTGAGCTATTCGAAACCTGATAATTTCTTATTTCCACAATTTAATTTCTGAACCAGAAATTCATTAGAGAGGAAAATTACACATGCATTAGTTGTGGTTTACTTTGCCCACTGTGCCATTCCCTCTTTCAGCTCGTCGTTGTTAATCCCGTATTGTTGAGCTTTGTTATTGTTCATGTTCCTTGGTTGATAATAATAATAACGTGCAACGACTTTCCTTATGCTACGAAATACAAGTAAAAATCCATTCATCAAGTCAAACTCATTCTCTGGATGGATGACATGGAAGTTGGTATTTATAGTGACACGAATTAGAAAATCATAGTCATCCATCTTTTACTCCTACGTACATACCACGAACGATGCACGGAGATACAGTTCACCACATTGCATTACATTTTACATTACCCAAACTTTGATGACAACTCCAAGTCAGTAAAAAATTCTTTGAGTAATTGCCACCAACTCAAAGTAACCACTTTCTTTTCCACTTGTCTTGTTACTCATCTCGTCAACTACCTGGTTGTCTCATTCAAGTGTTGTATTTGTCGTACTTTTCCAATCTGATGAAAGAAGGACAAAAAGATGACGATGACACAGACTCGGTGAGTTTGCTGGCTCAAATTGCACACTTCCTCTCGCTCGCTCCTTCGTGGGTGCGATAAAGCGTCCTCGTAATTGAAACTGCAATGGATGGACTATTCGTACTACTACACGGGCTCAAGTGAGATAAACGATGCGCATCCGTCTCTAGTAATTACGCTCTTGGCCATATTGTTTTTAGAACCTGAAAGTAAAAGATAGCACTTCACGTCCATTAATTATGCATTTATACGAGTAATAAATCCAGCTAATTAAAAGTTAACATTCATCTCTAATGATATTTGTGTGCATTTTATATTGTGGGTAATTAACCGGACGGTAATTCATCTGCAGATACCTAGATGTTTCAAATTTTTCCCAATTCTAATTGATTTTGGTGTCACAAAAAGTGGAAAATTGGAAATACGTACGTAATATTTACAATAGCTAGCGAAATTTTCAAAATTACAGGAAACGTAAAAATAATAATATCAGCACATAATTTTTGTACATTCTTTAAAAGAAGTTGAAGATGTATTTTGCTCTTTCAAAAGCAAAGCGACAAATCGTGAACAAAGTTTCAGTTTCGATTGAAATGCTTCATGCATTCAAAGAATTCACAAATTCGAGTAATTCTATGATTCTTCGTGAATGAAAGTGACAAGAAATTTTTATTGGGATGCAGGAGAAATCACCCCAATTGTCACTAGTATCACACCTCCAATTTCTTTTCACGATTTGTAAAAGATGAAATAAGTCGAGTAAAAAAATAATAAATTGGCGTACTCAATGTTTGACATTCAGTACAAACATGCTTCAAAAGAATGTTTGAAATCTTTGAATTTCCACTGTTCGACTGCCTTGTTCGAATTTAATTCATTCCGATGTTACATATGAACACCATACGTAACAACTTGTATTCATTGTCCAATTGATTAAGAATGCATCAATTTTACTCAAAATTATATTGATATAAAGTGCACTTTGAAAATTAATTCGCATTGAGCCCGGTCTATTTATTATCTAACACCTTGTTTGGGCCGATGGCGGAATGATGTCTCAATTATAAGTTGACATCAGGATGCACGCTAGTTGAAACAAGTGCAGCAAATTGATCAGAAGAAAAAGATGTGATTTTTTATATGTATAAATTAAGCAGAAATGAAAACAAAATGAAGGCTATTGGGCATTTCAAAAGTAGTGAATGATGAGTAGAGTGCATGAAATCACACACAATTAGCATCATCAAGCAGAACGGCCACGCTCTTAATTCGCAAAATCTCTGATTTCGATCATGGGCCTTCCACCGAGAGTTGTTTAGCACCAGAACCTTTCAACTTTACCATTCTGACAATGTTCCTTTGTTCTGCTAGTCCTGCACATCTGTCAGCAGTACCAATAATTTGTAAGTAACAGCAGACATGGCAGTGCTACAAGTTCACTTGGCTCGATAATAAACGGAGCACACACATATTTATATACACTTTTGGCTGTTTGAGGTATATGAGGTACGGATTGAACATCAGATAACAATGCAATAATGAGAAGATGGTAGAAAAGGTAACCCAAACCTACTTTTTCACTTTGGTTTGGTTGCACTCTGAAAAGTTGCCTTAATTGTTTCGGTTGGACAATGTACAGGGATTTGATGCCCAAAATACAACAACGCATGCAAAGAACATGCACATGTGTGCATACGATGTTTATGCGATCTGAATTTATTTGTGTGTTGATGTTGATTTAGACATCTTACATTTTGAGCGAAATCCTTTGGCACTTCATAAATATTATTAAACACATGCATCAATCATTCCTGAGATTTCTAATTAAATAATAATGATTAATATGAAATCTGTAATACGAAATCTGTGCATCGCTACAGTTCAACTTGAGAACTTAAAACTAAAAAAAAATATGAAAGTTTTAACAAGAGAATTATGATACTGATTTCGATAATTCTCTTATTTTCAGCCCCTGCCCTTTCAATCGCTTTACCCCAACGGAAAGTCGACATCCAGCGAACGAAATGCCATCTTGGGAAAACATCCTTCGACCACGTCTTATCCAACGCCGACGGACCAGGAGGCGGACAAAACAGGTGAAACTGGGGAAGAGTCCAGTTCCTCGGAAGAAGATCCCCAATATCTGACCACGACTTCTCGCCCTGCAATAATGCAGCACATTTTGTTTACATCTCCACCACTCACGACCACCACGACTGGATCTCGGCGACACTTGCAGACCACCAGATTCCCTTCGCCAGAACGAACTTCCTTCACGACGTCGACTGAATCGCTAGAGTCGGACTCAGAAAATGGAGACAATTCCAGTCATGAAACAGACGACAAGGGGAATCGACCTCCGATTGCCAGTGAAAATGAGGACTTGCGGACTTCGACAAACGGAGACTATGTGACCACATCCTCCTCCAGCACTGCAGATCGGGACAATATAACTTATAAAGCTGAAGAGTCCCAACTAAATAAAATGCTGCTGGACGAAATACCACCGCATGGGCGTGGAGAAGAAAGACATGGCGAATCCTCAAAGAATAGTCAAGAAGATGTCTCTAAATCTACAGAGTTCAATCTGTCGCCACCTTCCTCAGATCCGTTGGCAAGGATTATTAAAAATCTTGCACCGAGATGGGGGCGAAATCGTACAGTTGAAACAACGACAATGACTTCTGGGAGTCACAAGTACGACTTTACGATATCCAGTCGCGAGAAGAATCTGAGCAGAGGAAATGACTCCACGGAAAGAAAATCGTCAAAAGAAAGGTACTCAGCGTCGAAAGAGAGGGGAACCAGCTACACCTTTGGTGGTGGTAGCAGCAGTACTTTTGCGGTGACGACTTCGACTCCAGAGATTTCAACCACGAATTACATTGGTGGTGAGTACGGTCTCAACACCGTTGAAAGCCCAAATTTGAGCAAAAACAGAGAGAATAAGGACGCGCAAGAAGATGTTTCTTCCGGTTCTCGTGGAGAAAACCCTTTTTTGGACATATTGGTTGGGAGTGAGGATCATAAAACGCTGGTTACGAAAGAAACTGAGGATGGGATTGTCACATCTGCAATTCTTCCTCCTTGGTATGATACTCCACCTGCGGTAAATAACAGCACCATCCTAACAAATACTACCCACCCGGCCCCGCAGGAAAACGAGTCTGGAGAAAGTTCGGAAGAAAGCAGTGAACATGATAACGAATCTTCTACAAAGGATGCCGAACAATCAGCTTCTTCTTCCGTGTTGGGAGGAATTTTCGATTTTTTCAACAAGCTTCCAATGAACCGGATTCGAAACACGGGGGAGAAAAAGCCACCCGAGGATTATAATCCAAAACGAATCATTCTCAAGCGACCTGGGGGCGAGTTGACGCTGCCCCAAGGTGTCAGTTCTCAAGGAAAGGAGGAAATTCAGAAGAACAAGAATGAAACCACCAACCAAGAAGTAGACAATGGGTTCGGAAGTGCCAACATTAACACAATTCTCCCCTCAAACATAATGACAACCACAATCGTGCCGGACGCTGTGGTGACCGATGAACACATTCGACCTGCCAATAATGGTTTCCACTATGAGTCGCCAAATGGTGGCACAAATATTTATGGATACTACCCCGACGATGATGACAAGGACAATGATAAAACAGTGGAACATCACATGGTTCAAAGCGAAACGTTATCAGATCCAAATGAGCTGATGGGTGGTGGAAGCAGTAGCAGCATCGGGGTGGGAGACGGTGTAAGAGAAAAAGTACCGGAAAAGAGCCCGAGTCACTCCATTGAGTTGCAAATAAATTCAGATGCCTCGTCGGAAGTGGTTATTGAGCAGGACCAAGGACAAGAAGAGGAAGAAGAGGACGAAACGTATCATCCGTACACAAGATATGGGGAAACTCACCATGCTAGCGGATCTGAGATCCGGAAGCAAATTGTGGAACCACCACAATCACTACCCTCACCTTTGCCAACACGACGGGGTGACGGAATTCGACGACCCATTATTAATGCCGCCGAAAGCACTGACTTGGAAATGAAAGGAAGTGAAAATAGACCCGTATTTTCCAACACTCCAACTCGCAACATCCCACCCTCACTCATAAGACAACGAGGAAGTCTTAACAACAATAATAATAACAATACCAACCCTGCGAATACAGGCCCATCACCAATAATAGTAAAAACTACAACTAATAGACCAAATTTCTATGCTACAAACTCTTATGTCCCCAACTCCAGCAGCATTAATGAAGAAGTATCGGATAACAGTGCTGAACAGGAACATGCGTCGGACCAGGAGGAAACCCAGGATTTCAGACGGAAGAGTTATCTTCTGGATAAAAAAGATATGAAAGATCAAGCCAACGAAAAGCATGACCAAGGCCAACAACAGTTTTACGCCGGTTCTGGGTCTTTTGAGGGTGGTGAAAGTGGTGTCATGGACGTTGGCTCTATTGGGTCGGGCGAAAGGCCAGGAAAGTGGTCCAGACCGGATCCAAACAACTCTATGGAACAGCAAGGACCGTCCTTAGAACAAAAGTATCACATCCTCCATGACAGTGCTGGTCATAATAATCCTCAAGACGGTTCCGTGGAGGTGAAAGTCAGCCCAAATTCTGAAGATGAGAACGATGTGGTCGTTGAAAGAAAGCCAATAAGTACTTTGGACGAAACTTTGTACCCTGATCACTCTGGGTCAGGGTCGATCGAAAATATTGAAGGCAAAAACGTGTTTCAAGTATTTCCGGTTGGATATTCCTCCACCACAACCAGCCCAACGATGACAACTACAACGGAAAGACCAGGAAGTGAGTTCACCATTTCCGAACCGGACAAATCAGAGGAAAATAAAAGCAATGTTGCAGATGGATTCGTGCCACCAACACCAGTCAACTTTCATGAAAACATGTACACGTTCTCTCCACCGTCTTCAGACTCCATTTATCAATCCAAGGACGGCTGGCGACCACTCGTGTACAACGACGGAGACGACGACAGTGGTCCAACTGCCCCTGCACCAATTCCAACCAGACCCGCAACAATCCTATTCTCACATCCTCCTCCTCCCACATCTCACTGGCGAGATCGGCTAATTGCACGGCAACCCGTAGTCACCATTGCCCCAATGATCGACTTGAGTACTGCTGCCAGTGAAAACTCCATCAACAATCAGTACCATATTAGTGGTGAAACAGATCATCATGAAGAAGAAGAAGAAGAAGACGAGGAAGACGCACATCATGAAGAAAATGAATCGCAGGAATCTGTAAAACAGCAAATTGATGGACAGACTTGGGATGCGACTCATGACCAAAATATACACTCGGAAGAATCTGGAAAATTGAAGTTTCCGCAAGAAATCGAGCAGCACCATGACAGGGACGAGTCCAATAATAATGCAAACAATGTCCATCATGTCCAGCAAATTCAAATTCCACCTCATAATAATTTTCACCAAAATCAACCCCAAATTCAACGGGTCCCCATGCAAATTCCTGCACAGCAATCACAGCAGCAGCATCAACAATTTCATCAACAGCAACAACAGCAACAACAACAACATCATCATCAAAATCGTCCATACCAATTTCAAAATAATATTGACCGTTCCAAGTACATGATGCGTCCTGCTCCGCCGCCCATCGTGATGAGACGTACACCCATTCACAGCCCCATGGGTTACCGTCACCCCCACAACGTCCCCCTCCCCCCACGACCTCAGCTCATTCCACAAGTTCAGCAGATTCAACATCCACCACATCAATTCAACAATAATGTCAATGCACCGCCGACCGAGTTTCAAAATCCGCAGCAAAATTTGGTGAATCGAAGGAGATTTAAGACGCTGGGTGCGAGGCCGAGAGGAAGCGTGACGTGGTCAGAGGGCAAGCATACTGACACCACTGCCACGGCGGAGAGAAGGGACGGATAAGCACTAATAATGAGCATTATTGTAGTGATTTCTCGTAGCAAACAAACCTTTTTTACGTAATAAATAAAATGGGAGGGGTCGTATCTGTCTGTGTTACATAAATCATTTTACTTTTTTTCTTACTGTTTTTGTTATTGTCTTGTGCTTAAAATACTTGTAATCTTGTACAACTTATATTTAGTTAAAAAATATGGAGTATTTTTTAAATATATTTTCATATAATAAATAATGCATGAGTTTTGGATGTTGAATGGAAGTATGCTAAAGAATATAGCTGATATATGTATGTAGGTATGTTAATGTATGTACGCGTGCCTGCCTGTGAGCCAACACTATTATCAAGTACGTTATGATACTGTATTTGAAATTATGTCGCAAATATCACCAAGAATATGACCGAATAAACGTAATAATAGTATTACAACATTGCATCAAGTTTGTATGAATTCAAAGCCAACAGGAAAGTGACCAGTAAATATTGCGCAAGTGCATTAATTGTCTCTCTGGTCTTCCTCATTTAAATATTTAGTATTAACCTGCACCTGAATAATAAAATAATGTCTACCTCGTATAAAATGGATTGCAAAACTAGTTTGTAGAAATTTGTTAAAAATACTATTATCTCATCAGTGCTTAAAAAATAATAATCTTTCCTTCTTCCCCGTTCTCTGGATTATTCCAATACCGATGATCATAATCATATGAAATTATATGTACGTGCACTGGGTTAAACCTAAACCCAGTCGGGCCTGCTTTATTAGGCAGACAAATTGCAGATTAGTGCAGCAATCCGCTGACGTCATTTATCGTGCGAGTTTGGCTAAATCAATTATGTTAAAATTATCTATGTGGATTTCTTTACCTTTTGGAACCCATCCGACTTTCATAGTAATACAAATTTTGTATTACAAAAGCATAATAATTATGCTTTTGTGAATTACCTATTCACGAATATTCTTTACGTGGGTTGTGCAAAGGACAGATTAGGTACAAATAAAATCTCAGTTTCTGCCGGTTTGTACATGTGTACTTGCTACCCGGATCATATTATTGACCTTCACATCCATTCATCCCAATCAGGTGGAAATGTGTCATCATTACATGCAAAAAGTGTTGTAAGAAAAGGCTTAAATGCAAGTAATCCTACAACACGCATCATAAAAGTACATGTGCAAAACCTCTGTGTCGTCTGGTGTGATTAAGTTCAAAGTCCAAACTTTCATTCACTTTAGTTAATTCTGAAAAACTTGGTTAGGTATACATACGTGTGTGTTGACGTTTACAGTTATTAGTCATAATTGCTGATTTCTACAACTCAATATTTGGGAAAAGTTGCACTGCCTGTTTTATAAAAGGAGGAAACTGTGGCATTTCATCTCTTGCAAATTGCAGAGCTATCAATTTATTGATTATAAAAGCGAACAAGGAAGAAGAGGACAGTTAATTCTCTCTGGATATTTTTCAATAGTAGAACAAATCTCAATACATTTTCTTAACCAAAACTAGTATTTAGTTTATTGTTTATAGTAGAGACAAAAAAGTCTAAGAATGAGTGTCAAGATCACAAGAGAACTTGTCCAGCGCATGGACCAAGAAGACATCATGACGGGTAAGAAAACCAACCACAAGATTTTCCACCGGTACTGTATTGCGGTCAATAACTTTGTAGTTTGAGCTGCTCTGTATGTACATATAAATTATTGCGTATGTGTGAAAAATTTGTGAACATTTCATTAGTCTAGAATTATATATGTATATGCCATAAATCAGCGTGAACTATTCGTATGTATGCACTACATAATGCATAAATCGGCTCACACTGGGGTTTATTTGTATTAACATGTATTTAGTAATTTTTTTCATGCTAACAGAGGTTTTAACATGTGTAAAAGAACTACTCTAATAATTCGTCATAATTTTCCCCCGATTGCTTCGGGCTCATAAATTAAATTAAAATCAATAAATTATTAAATAATGTCCTCCCAAACCGTACAAACTACTAATAATATTTACATAACCCTAAAAAAGGGGTACATGGGTTACATAAAGGGTATTTATATGCAATTACAAAAGGTTGCTAGACATTAGAAATAGTTGCAAGTGATTTTCTTTTTATTTGCAATTTTTAGCGATCAGTCGGAACATCTTCCCAACGGACTTACGCCTACGAAGTGCAGGAAATCGGAAAACAATGGATGACTCTTCTATGCTCAAAGTTGATGAATCTTGCAGTAAGCTCCCTTCGTCGTCTGTCAATGGTGGCACAAAAGTGGGGCCAGGAACGAATTTAAAGCCCATAATGGATGCAAAATGTTTGAATGGGCGACAGAAGGTTTACCAGCATCATAGCACGGAGAATAATTGTCTCATGCGATTTTCCATCTACATTCCTGAAACGGAAGACGCAAACCAAAAATTTCATGTCGTTATTTTTCTCTCTGGAATTATGTGCAATGAACAAAATTTTCTTTTGAAAACGGGATTCCAACAGTATGCCAGTGAACAAAATCTGATTGTTGTTGGAGCAGATACAAGTCCACGTAAGCCCAATATTCTTGATGGTTGATAAATACACATAAGCACATCGACTTGAATTGTTTAGGTGGGGTCGAGTACCCTGGGGATCGGGACGCACCAATTTTTGGACGATCAGCAGGATGGTACCTAGATGCAACCCAAGAACCATGGAATAAGAATTACAACATGTACTCGTACATTAGTAAAGAACTTCCAGAAATTATCAGGAATAATTTTCCCACAACGGGACAGTTTGGTCTTATTGGACATAGCATGGGTGGCAATGGTGCAGTAGTAATTGGACTTCGAAACCCTTCAATGTTCAAATGTATCACCCTGTTAGCTCCATCTTGCAATCCAACCTCCTGGGGTCAGGAGCTCATTTTTAGGAAATTCTTGGGAGATGACGAAGAACAGTGGAAAAAGTTTGATGCTTCTTGTGTAATTCGGGAATATAATGGACCAACCAGAGAAATTATGCTGGACCAGGTATTCAACCTTGCCAAATTTAGCTAAGCTTCAGCATGTGAACATCATATTTAATAGGTTTGCTAATTAGAATACACGCATATTTTTACTATTTACGTCAATTTTATTTCAGGGTGGTGAGGATGAATATTTGGACTTCCTTCTTCCAAAAAGATTGAAAACGTGTGCTGAAAATAACGTGAATGCATGTGTAACTGTTGACCTCAATATGCGAGAAGGATATGATCACTCGTACTATTTTGTGGCGTCATTTATAGAAAACCATCTTATATACCACAAAAATGTTCTAGATAATACATCAATGTAAATTACTCTTCAAAAAATCCATCAATTGAAGAATCTGATGAACATAGATAATCTTATCTTGCCAATATAAAGTATTATTATTTGTATTTATTTATTTAGTGTTGTATTATGAACATAGCTATTGATGTTCAAAGAAATGTGCTATGTTAATATGTTGGCTTTAAATTTTTAGCAGTGTACCTGGACAAAAATAAAAGCATATCTACAGATTACGTATGTAGGTAGATAATATCTACTAGATATGTATTATATTGATGAAAGTTCAACGAATATACGTAACTTCCAGCCATTTATTGATTCATAAATGTACATCCAGCAAATAAAGAAAGACATACAAACTCACATTCTCTGCCATCAATTATTCGTGTATTTTATCCCTGGCTGAATTAAAAGAATATCGAGAATCATGAATGACCTACTAATATTAGTTTTAGCTTTGGGGTGGATGGATGGACGTGAAATATAAGTGGAGCAAGTTTAGCCCATTTAATTTCATGGATCGATTAGTCTCCTCGAGGGTGGCGTAAAATTGTTACGCATCCATTGCTGCCTTGCATTATTCATACATATGTAGAGCCTATATATAGATCTATGTATGTATGTGTAGAACAAACCATACGTTTTAAGTACGCATGGATTTTGCCCAGGACATTTACTTTCAAGCATTTTTGTACCCTCCACTCCAAAATTTGTTGCTAATATAGTTTGCAAATGGTGAGCAATCGGGGTCAGCATTTCAACGAGATCACCGTTATCCTGACAAGACGCAGTGATAGAGTTTTGTCGTCGAGGTGTCACTTTTTGGGGGCGAGTTGGCCTTTCATCATCGAGTTTGTTCTTCAGATTTCCCGGAAAGTGAGTTGGCGAATCTTCTCGTGAAGTGAGGATTTTGAGAAAGTCAGCAGCACAGCAAAATAGAGAGCTGACGTGGATTAAACTTGCGGAGATTGTCAATTCCATCACTCTTGTCAGTCATTATCTGTCCCAAAAAGTTAAAGTCCTAATTTACACGTCCCTTAAGGCTGTCTCACTTGGTGGTACATTTTGTCCGATAAGTCACATTTTTATTTGGCATGATATTCGACTAGTTCTCACACCGTCGCCAAGAAATAAATAGTCAAACTAAAATAAATGCAAAAAGTTAATAAAAAAGAGAAAAATATATAAACAGATAAAGGAACAGAAAGCAATAATTGATTTGATAGTGCCATTGAAACACCTTTTCTGGTGCTGGTGAAGTGCAACAATGATGAACGGTGCGGCTTCATACGGTCAATCACAACAAATGCCTGGGCCTGGCATTGGATACCCACCTGGAGGAATGTCACAACCACCACCTATGCAAAATGGGTTTGATCCAAAACACGGGATGGGGGGTGGCCCACCTAATCAGATTAATAGCAACCAAAATCAATACCAACCACAGCCGCCCCATGCTCCTCCCCCGATGCAAAATCAAGTCCGTAAATAAATTCAAGTTTAAAATGTTCTACTTACATTTAATTTGTCAAATTTTGTAATTTATCTCCAGATGTCAAATGGACCCTTAGGCCAACCACCTCAACCATCATATAATCAGTTCAACAATCAATATCCTCCTCCTGCACAGCCCCCACGTCCAACTCCCCCTATGCAAAATCCGGTACGTAAGAATGTCGCAAAAATCAGCAATGTATCTATCATACATTGTTTGTAGAGCAATATTATAAATACAATTATAGTCATCATAGTCAATATGCTCGTTTGCTTTAAAGATGTCTAATGGACCAACTCTGCCAATGGTTGGCCAGCCCCCTCAACCACCTTATAATCAGGTTAACAATCAATATCCTCCTCCTGGACAGCCTCCACGACCTACTCCCCCGATGCAAAATCAGGTGTGAAAACGTCACAAAAAATAAACCAATATTTTATCATTGGTACTGTCGTGTGTTTATATTTTGATTTTTGGTCATTTGCTTTAAAGATGTCCAATGGACCAACTCCGCCAATGGGTGGTCAACCTCCTCCTCCTCAACCCTATAATCAGTTCCAACCACCACAACAGATAAATGCGTATCAAGGACAGCCACAGTTTAATGGACCACCCCCTGGTCCTCCTAGACCAGGCCAACCGATGATGGGACCACCAGGTCAACAGCAACCACAATATCCTTCATACCCTCAGCAACCGGGACCCGTGGGTCAACCTCCTCAGTCTGGAATGCCTGGTCAGCCAGCTTACGCACAACCGACGCAGCAACAGCCGAAACGACTAGATCCTGATCAAATGCCATCAGCTGTACGAACGAATCACTACTACTTGTCTTTCACGAGTTTAAATGTTGATTTTGTGCTAATTAATTGTCTTTGTAAATTTTAGATTCAAGTAATGCAAGAAGACCAGGTAAATTTAGTTGATTGATTTACGCTATCCTAACATCCGTACACAAAACGTGGTTACTTGAGACTTTGATTATATTTCACCAGCAAGCTCGTGGGGGACTGTTTGTAACGAATACCAAAGGCCTTCTCCCTCCTCTTGTAACAACAAAGTTTCAAGTTGATGATCAAGGTAATTCAAGTCCGAGATTCATTCGGTCAACAATGTACAACGTGCCTGCTCTACCTGACATGCTCAAACAAACTGCAATACCATTTGCATTGATCGTAAGTACACATCTCATCCTCTTTTGTACTTATAAGTGGATCAATGCTGGATAGACTATATAAAATCCTTATTAATTACAATCCATGTTAGGTGAACCCATTCGAATCCCCTGCCAAGGATGAACAACCAATAGCATGTGTCGACTTGGGATCGATTGGACCTGTTCGATGCATTCGTTGCAAAGCCTACATGTCTCCCCTTATGCAATTCATTGATGGAGGGCGTCGGTTCCAATGTCTTCTATGCAAGGCAACCACAGAAGTCCCAGCCGAATATTTCCAACACCTGGATCATACCGGTCAAAGACTGGACAAGTATGAACGACCTGAATTGCTACGAGGGTCTTATGAGTTTGTCGCAACTGCAGAATATTGTCGGGTACATTTGTATATTCTATTTTACGTTCGTTACATATGAATGTAATAGTAATTTGCAAAACTTGTCATTTTCACCATTTGTTTTTATAGAACAACGTATTACCGAAGGAGCCTGCCTACATCTTTGTAATTGATGTTTCCTACAATAACGTGAAATCTGGATTGGTTAACTTGTTATGTGCCCACATTAAATCCCTGGTTGAAGCTCTACCATCACACACACCTGTGGGCTTCATCACTTACAATTCAAAAGTATGTACATCTTGACATGTTTATTATTTTTATACAGTGATGATTGGTCACTGAATAACATTGATTGGAAGAAAATTACAAGGGAATAATTTCTAAAATTTAAACATTGTTTTACTAAAGGTGCATTTTTATAACATCGATCCAACACTTGCTCAGCCCCAAATGGTCATCGTTCCAGATGTAGCGGATATGTTTATGCCAATCTTGACAGGTTTCTTAGTCCCACGGGCTGAGGCCGCTTCTTCCATCGAAGTCCTCATGGAACAAATACCAGCAATGTTCGGTGACACTAAAGAAACCGATGCAGTGCTTGGTTCCGCTATTGTAGCAGGCACTGAAGCATTAAAGGTAAATAAAACCTTCAATAGAACGTTTTTTTAATTGACTAAATTAATTACATTGCAAATAATCATATAATAATTTTGTTCTTTTGTCGTGTAATAATTTCAGGCTTCTGACCGCGCTGGAAAATTGTTAACCTTCCATTCGTCTCTTCCAGTTTCGGATTCAATCCCTAATGCCAAATTGAAAAATAGAGAGGCAGACAGAAAATTGCTCGGAACAGATAAAGAAAAAGTGGTATTAACACCACAGAGCACCTACTACAATAATCTAGGACAAGAATGTGTCGCGGCTGGAGTGTCAGTCGATTTGTATTTGTTCAATAATTCATACATTGATGTTGCAACTATTGGGCAAGTAGCACGAATCACTGGAGGCAGTGTCAACAAATACACCTATTTCCAGGTAGAGAACGAAGCTGTTGAATTTTAACGATGGGTGTAGTTTAATTTAATTTAATTAACTTTTTAATCCGAATTTCAGGCTGACATTGACGGTCCACGAGTAATTGGCGAATTACAATATCATTTATCTCGTCCCGTTGCTTTCGATTGTGTTATGCGAGTCAGAACATCAACTGGTAAGGACCGCTTACACTTACTCTTTATTTACTAATTAGACTAATACATAAACCTCTTCTAACCTTAACTAATAAGCCAATCCCTTTGGTCCTAAATTATACATCAAAAGAAATGGTTTCACTTTTATGTATAAATTAATATATTTTTTTAATTACTAGGTGTGAGACCGGTGGACTTTTACGGTCATTACTACATGTCCAATACAACAGATGTTGAGCTTGCAGCCTGCGACTCTCAGAAATCGATTGCAATTGAAATTAAACACGACGATAAGCTCACGGATGAAGATGGCGTTTATATTCAAATTGCTTTGTTGTATACTTCCATTTTCGGTAAGCTATGTACTTATATTTAACGTACATTATTTTATAATTTTGTAAGTTGCATAAAAACTAATATTATATATGAAAATTTACAGGCCAAAGGAAACTTAGAATTCACAATATTGCACTTAGCACTTGTACTCAAATGGCTGACTTGTATCGCAACTGTGAATTGGACACAATCATAAACTTCCTGGCCAAACAAGGCATATCGAAATCTGTGGATTCGACCCCTGCGGCCCTTAAGGACAGTGTCATAAATCGGTATGTGAATTTAGTATTTAAACCCATAGTTTTTTGTCGAGCAAACGAAAATCATAACTCAACTCATAACATAAAATAGCTCAATAGCTGTATAAAAGTGATTTGACTTGGTATCGTATATTAATAATAATTTATTATTATTATTTGCATTAACAGGTGTTCCCAAATGTTGGCGACATACCGTAAACACTGTGCGAATCCCTCAATGCCTGGCCAATTGATATTACCTGAATGTCTCAAGCTTTTGCCATTGTATGCAAATTGTGTACTGCGAAGTGATGCTGTCGCAGGGACTGCAGAACTGACACCAGGTAAGTTTAATTGCTTAATCAAACGGAATGGATTGGAATGATTTTTTTACCCTATCACAGATGATCGTTCCTGGTTGATGTACATGTGTATGACCATGGGTGTGAATGTATCGGTGCATTATTTTTACCCTAAACTGATACCCATCGCCGGCCCTGGAATAACTTTAGACAACCCAACACCCGTGAGATGTTCCCGAGATAAAATGAGTGATGAATATGCCTTCCTTTTAGGTAATATACACATGGTTTCTATTTATTTACTAAATTTGCTACAATATATTATGTGATTTACTAATATGCTATTTTTTTGTAGAAAACGGTGTTTATATTTTTATGTGGGTTGGATCCGCGGTTAGCGGAGAATGGTTACAAAACATTTTTGGGTCCTCCAATTTAGCCCAAATAAATGTAGAAGTAATAACAGAACTTCCAGACCATGTAAATTCAGACGAGTCTTTAAGACTCCGAGCGTTGATTAGATCTATTCGAACCGAACGACAGAGACATATGCGGGTATGTTTATAATTGTCTTGCAAAATTTGGTGGTATTGTGCTAATCTGTAATCTATCTATATGAGTTTTTTTAAATTTATGGTTTTTCTCTTACAGTTGACTATCGTAAGGCAGCGTGACAAGATGGAAGCGGTGATGAATAAATTCCTGATTGAAGACCGTGGATCCGAAGGCCAACCATCCTACGTCGACTTCTTATGTCATATGCATAAGGAAATTAGAGCTCTTCTAAATCAATAGTTTATTTTTCTATTCTAATTTATCGTGTTCTTTCCCATGTCGTGACACAAATGTTTGGAATTATATCATTCAATTTATCGGCTGAACGCTAAAATATATTTAGGATTTCTCGAATCAAGAAATTTACAATTTCGAAAAATGTAGTGTCCTTAAAGATTGTTTGCTAAGTCTGCTGGCGTGATCGTGATCCACTCAAATTTGATCATGCCAAAATGAACACCATTATCCAGATAATTTGTGTAGAATTTGTAATGATGATCGGTTGTTGTGTTACTTATTACTAGAAGAAATCGCATAAGGATATTATCCCAGTTATAAATTTTTACGACCGTTTAATATTTAAATAGATTATATTTGAACTGTTACATTTGAATTACATAGAGAAAAAGTAGGCGACCTCGTTGTATTTAGCTTTACAAATTCGCACTAATTGCGATCCCAACAATTTTTACTCTTAGTTTATTAGTTGGTGTCGACATTATATTTTACGTATCTGCGTGTTTGTTAGATTTCTAATAATAACTCCCATGATATTTCGTATCGAGTCTATGATTAAATTCCCGGGGGTGCTAAAATATCTTTAAAGTAACGTAATTAATTTCTACGTATATTATCGAAATGTGCAAAAACTGTCTATTGCTCGTTTCCTAATATAATTATGATTGTTATCCATCTTCGAACTAAATCTTGCATACACAGATACAATAAAAAATAAATTAATCTATCAAAAAGAAGATTTGCCAAGGCCAGTTCCTAGTGGCAGCAAGCATTACTCATTTAATTCCGTTCCGCTCACTGGAGTTAAATTCATCAGTAAGGCAAAAGTCGAACTTCATAATAACGCAATCTTAAATCCAACTCTAATACGTGAAATTAGATTCGAAAATTGATAAGTGTATGTACTCTCATATTGGTTAGGCATATCCAGTACTTTGAAACTCTCGCACGATGAGAAACGATTCATAAGAAAACAATGATAGGAAGGGCGAGCGAGTCATTTACTTGGTCGAAATTTCCTTGCTCGTCCATCACATTCGTGATTCACTCATACTTTCAGTTTGCAGGAATGGAATAGGAAATCAATTTGAGACGCAAATTTAAAAATGACTATGTCAATGTCAAGTTTATTGTCCTTTTGTTTGGAGATACATACACACATTTAACACAATACAATATATATTCCTTTAACAAAAAGTTAATTAAATAAGGTATGCATTGAAGTTATTCACAGAAATGAAGATGTGTATCACTTATTCTGTCAGATTGCAGTTTCAGATTGTATAAAATCTGCCACAGATAAAATAATACTGGTAACATAATTTCACTACAACATACGTCATAATATTCCTATAACTAACAATAAGTAGTTAATTGTATTATTAATCCCAGGGATTGCTATTTAATGTACAAAAGCACCATGAAAATTTAATGCTCACCTTTTTGCTACCAGATTATCCCCCCTACAAAGATGCTTACAGTAATCATAATCCAATGAAAATTGCAATTGTACGGGAGAGAATGGGTTGAAATGTGCTGTGAATTTGTAGTTACATGTACCTATTATATCTTTTTTGTATGCATAAGTATGTACGTCTAACCTATGTACAATGGAGGGATCACATTTTGCTATAAATTGTCAGAAATACTGCAATTTTGACGTAAGCTAAATAAATCTATGTATTAAAAATAACGTACTTAAAAAACTACTACTACTCGCTAAATAGTTGCCTTACATGTTACAAAAACACTATAAAATATGCACAGTCCGGGTTATGTACGTACATAATCCTCACTTTTTTCTGTATATGGGACCTGGATATCGAGATCTGTTCCTGCCTGGGTTGATTTCGTCCCTGACGTAGAAACGGTGGGGGTGTGGTGACCTCCCATCGTCGTTCACTTTCAGCTGCGTTCCTATCCGCACGCTCCATGGTTGGCCGGACGCAGCGGAAATGGAAGATCCGTAGCGGTCTATGCGGTTGTGCGGAGGATAGTGTACCCTGGAATCCTAAAATAATATTCATGGTCCATTAGTGCACACAAATTCAGTAAACGTTAACCTCCCCAACACGGGACTGGTTTGCTCATTTTGCAGATTGTTGCAAAACATATGGGCCAAATAAGCCATTATATTAACAATTGGGTTCGTCGTCTGACTACTTGAATAATGAATAGCTCTATACTTCCGGTTTCAGCGATGAATAATGAATAATATTGCCGTCGCTGTTTGGTCTAAAAAAACGGACTTTTATTGTACCTCAGATCACAAGAATTTAAACGTATTCATCTCTCTTTGTAGGGTTAGCTTAATGATTTGTGCATCGCAGTATATGTACAAGATACTAAATAAATTGCTTTGCATGACATGACACGACAGGATGGCAATGGTGACACGCTTTTTAAATATTAGGTATTTATATCAATTTGCATAAGCCGACATAGGTCACAGTCTGCTCTTTTTTGCTTGTGTCACATACTTTGTTCAAAAATTTGGATCATTTGGGATCGAGAAAAGATGAGTTGAAATTGTTTCAAATGGAAATGCCAACAACCTCAAAAAATGGAAACTCTCTCCATTCCAGTAAATCATAAAAATAAAACTTACTCACTCCTATTTATTCGTGTCAATCCATATTCAAATTGAGAATACAATTGCATGTCAAATCTCTGCAATATTAAACCAGTCTAACGATGAATTTAGATCGCTTGTGTACATATCACCATCAAATGAGTGAGTATGAAGTTGTGAAATTGATGATGTCATTCGGGTCGGGTGTAATAAAATGTTGTTGAAACAGTTTTTAGCTGGTTATTCAAGTTCAGAAGAAAATAAATCCGTGTAAAAATATAACAAAATCACGATTCCGCAACTATTAGGACCTGTTTGGATGCAATTATGCTCTCCAACGCAATAATAACTGTGATTGGTCATTCTTTTCCTTTCTACTCAAGACCCAGTATGGCACAAATACTTGCTACATGACGAGACGCTTTTTATCAGTTTATTTATTGAAACTTTATTTATTCAAGTTTTTAAAACCGTAATAATAATTGAGCCTAGAATAAATATGATGTGCATTACTATCTTGTCATTGGTGTGCAATATAAACCAACCCCATGCAATTTCGTACTGCCACTCCTACAAAAGAATACTGTAATCATTACAGTGTAATGAAAATGGTTTATGAGGTCAAGATGACCAATAGGTACGAAAGAGACATATGTATATCAAGTCTAATGTGCAAGTCCTAACATGCATCGAACCGAGATTATTTATCCGAGTGCAGAAGAGTCCTTCACCTAATACGTAAAGTATCAACCCGTGCATTCATTTTGAAGATTACACCCATTAAAACTGTTGTCTGTGCAAAACATGAAGTTCACATCTGTGTTTCTTTCTTCACTGTTCCGTTCCACGACTGACGTAATTAGATTAGTTAACAGGAGAAGAAGGGGAATAAATGAGAATGACAACTTACGGGATGTCTAACAAGCTGCTCCCTTGTCAAGAACTGTTGGTCAAGATTGGCCCAACGGTGGTGGTGCTGATGGTCACGATGACTGTTCCGCTGTTGCATCATCATCATATTTGTCGGATAAGCATTTTTGGGCGCACTCATCAATTCGTATTTGTCGCCGCTGAGCTCATTATTGTAAAATTCGTCATCGTTGTGGTGTCGATGGCGCTGCGAGTTCCTCCGGTTTCTCAGTGGATGGGAGGCAAGTGCAGAAGGTGATGATGGTTGGTTTGAATTGGAGTTTGGGCCGTTTGGGCCAGAAGAAGAGGTTGCGGACGTGGGCGAAATCAGTGCGTTTCCCAATGAAGCAGAAGAGGATGATGAAGACGACGAGGGTGACGATGGTGGGGGAGGGAATGACGAAGGGAATCCTCCAAGGCCACCACCAGACGAAGAAGAAGGTGGCAATCCAGCATCCAGTCCGGCCTGCTTGTTGCGAAGCCCAATGAAGTAGAAGGGGTCATAATATTCCTGACCTGACTGCCCAATTCGTTTCTGGTATTCTGCATGGCGTTGTTGCCCATTGCGCATAACGAATTCTTGAGTCTGTGCGGCTGCTGCTTCTCGATCCCTAGCACTTTGGTAACCATTGTATCGATAATCGTCGTAGTATGGTTGCCGGTCACGATCTCCTCCCCGATAATCTCCCCGATCTCTGTAGTCATCTCGATAATTCCCGTAGTAGCCACCACCAATAATGCCACTACTGCCCCCACTGCTGCGACCACTGCTGGGATATGAAGACGGGTAGTAGTCCCGGTCACCCCTCAAACTGTTCGGACTGGAGCCAAGACCATTGCCACGAACAGGGTCATAACGCCCACTCCCACTTCCGAAATTGCTGCTGGGGTAGTAGTTTCCCGTGGTTGGAAGACTGTTGTGTTGGAACCCGAATGAACCAGTTTGACGCTTTAGCAATACAGCGTTTCTTCTGCCCCCATGTTCGGAGTAACTCTTTGTTCCCGTGTCTTCCAAGGACTGATGGTGTTGGGAAAGGTTTTCACTTAAACTTGCATTGATTTGAAGCAATGATAAGAAGAGGATGATCAAGTGCTTTTTGGGTTTCAACATTTTTGAAAAGTGAAAATAACCAAGGCCGATGGTTATTTGGGATGTGTGCCTGTTGTGGATTTTGAAGGTGGAATAACCTCTTATTTTTTGTGGGAAGTCAGAGCTGCGAAAAGAACCCAGCACGCAAATGAATATGTGTGCACTCTTTCAACCAAGTAATATAAATTGATGTGTTCGGATGACGACCGGTCTGGACGTGCTTTGTGAATCCTGATTTCCTACAAATAGTAAAGAGTGAGATGGTTCAGTTAAACGGCCTGAAATTATCTGACTATGTCCGGTATTATTATTATTATTGTTAGCATGTATACTACGTTGTTGCATCTGATGCATAATGGACATCCTGCATATTTGCATTTATTTCGACAGAGACACGCGATGTGTATGCTATCTGATCAATCTGGTAAGATTCATGCACATACATAGGTCAAAAATTTGCAAACAGTTATTTCCTTTTCGTCAACATTTGTGACAGCCATCGTGCTAGTTTGTGTCATTGACTTGTCAAAATTGTTATGAACATGTAGAAAATTTCTGTAAACTAGTAAGGATTTTACTGTACTTTTCAATCTCAATATGTACATAATTTGTGTAAGAAAACTGTAATAATTTGTTGCAAAACCACCCTGAAATTAAATCACGATCATGATTCAAGATCATTTGTGGTCGTACAAAATAAATAAGTGAGCATTCGGCTTTCAGAATGGCGTATGCGTCTTCTCTTATTATTACGTACCTAAACATATTTACATTTTGTGAGCTTTTTGATGCTTACATACCTATTATGCAATAGCCATAAAGATGATCATTGCTTCAATGCGATTAAAATCTACTTTGTCGACAAGTCACAGGAAATTAATTTTGCATTGAAACTGCCGTCCTTATTATGCACATTATTTCACGGCGTCCTTACTGCATTGCATGTGTACATAGTGCAATGTCATCCGGAAAATCCGGATGTCTTTTGCCACCAACAAAAATACAGCTTCCTTCAAATTGTCTAATTATTATGCATTTTGTTAAAAATGAAAGTGTAGTGATTTTGTGAGTACGTGATGCTTTGGTTCGTTCTGGGGTCATATCTATTTGCGATTTTTTGTACATAATTATAACGATGACAAAATATACTTAGACTCCGCTATGATGAAATGGTATTTTTGTGTCTAATTTAACATGTATATTCAAATTATCTTCCCTCTTTATCAGTGTTTGTTTTTATTATTTGTAGAAGTCCTCATAATATCTACCACTTTTAAAATATGTGCTTTGTTGTGCAAGATTGAAACGGAAAAATGAAAAGTTATTTATGGCCACGTATAAGAAAATTGATGCAACTGCAATATAAAATATAATTCCAGTCAAGTTCACCGTCAGTATCAATGTTGTACTCTTTCCAATTTCTTTAATTTTTAATTTGAAGTAAAACAATGGGTAACAATATGCAAACTTAGTTGGCTAATTTGCATATTTTACTCATTAAATTAAATTGCTCCATACATATTAAGCGTATGCATGCGTAATGCATATGATTTCCTTCCGTGCCTCAACTTGATTTGAGAACATTTCCTGAAATTGACGGTGCCAAATGACATTTCAGACTCGGAGGACACACCTCGCTTATTAAAATTCGGATGACGGACGTGTTGTTGATTACATTCAAACTACCTCTATTTACCAGAAAGCAGGCGTGGGTGTAATAATATTATAATTAAACGACTAAAATAAATAGACCCTGTGTTTCAAAGTTAAGGCTATTAAAGTACCTCCACAATCATGGAACTGCACAATGGTCACTATTATTTAACGATCATTAATTCTCATTGTTAAACATGCTCAAAGTCTTTTTCATTATGTGTCAAAGACGATACACGCAAATTCACAGACATAATTCTTGAAAATTGCAAATGAACACATGATTACAAGCCACATACATAGATCTAAAAGTGAGGATTTTGGTTTGGGATTAATTTCTGAACTAGATAGAGTACAATATAATGCACTAAATTGGACCATAACTTATTAAATGTAATAACCACAATGAGGTGAGAAGTCAAGGAGCTTCTCACGCCATATTAGCGCCAGGTAAAACACCCACAAGTTTAATTATGGTCTGTCTTTCGTGTTGCAAACAATAATCGTAATGTACCTAAATATGTACATTCTTTTTATACATGACATGCTCAATCAAAGTAGAACGATGGTCATCCAACAATAAAGGACAATGTGTGGATGGGTTTGCACGATGAGCTCTAAATTAAATGATGTAGGATAATTTGCCAAAAATAACGAATATGATAATACAATTACCAAATAAAGCGAGTTAGGAGGACAAGGATATTCTTCATTTTTTTAAATCATGCTTATAAAGTAGTATGTAGCAGTGAAAATTAATTCTTCCAGTGGAAAAATTACAATGGGTAAAAGAATGCATATTGATTCGTCAAGAACTTTGCACAGTTCAAAGTTAAAAATTCCTGATTCATACGCATAATATTGACTGTGAAAATGGCAGTACAACAAAGTACCGAACAAGAACTTGCACTTAATTCAGTATAATTTTAGCAATTCATATATGTGAAAATCCTTCAGAGTTATGTTCCATTAAAACCCAAAGACAAAATGCCACAGGCATGAATTAGCTGTATACTTACTGCTTATGGTTTTGATGGGTAGCAAAGATAAGCTCCAAACTTGAAGGCAACCGTCGGGTATAATTTGCACTATTGGTAATTTGACAACCTCCGTTACAGAGAAGCTATAAAAATTCTGGAGCTGAATTCTTGCGCTGAATAACACTTGTTCAAATGTCGTGAGAAAAGATGCTTGATAAAACTTGAACGGTTCACATAATTGCAGGAACGCCAGGACCAAGACAAGCGAATGAAGATGCCAAAGACAAAGACGAGAGCGACTTGACGCCAAGAAACTCTATTTACGAATGCTTCTCTTCTATGCTGGCAACCACGTTTTGAGCCACCAGCGTTTATTTTACGTGAGTTTGTGGCACTGACTCTTGTTCTTGGGTGGAAATAGTCTATACCACTTGTTAGACAAGCCGTGTAGACGCTGTTTGATATTTTATTTTAACCATAAAACGAGAAGTAGAGCTCAGCAAGACGGGTGAGACGATTATATCATTGGTTGGTGAGAGCTGGTTAAGGTTGAAGAATTGTTGGGATTTTCTGTGCGAGTGGAAAATGGTACTACAGATTGTTGGACTTGAAATAAACCAGGAAAACCATTTTCATAATCAAGAAGAAAACCGACATGTGTATGCATATGTGCGTATGCGGAAGAAATAACTAAGCACCTGGCTAAATTGTGTGCAATTGATGATTCTATAAAAAATCTGCAAATATGCATTTGTACGTTTGAGAATAAGACGGTCAGGATGGGGTGCTCTCCTAGTCTACTCTTTATATACGATAAATTAGATCTTTAATAAAATCGCTAACAAAATACTTCTCAATCTGCAATTTTAAGATTTAATTTCGATAAATCGTTATGCGAAACTACAAAATTTCACACATGTACAACTTAAAAATTATTCTTCTAAGCATTCATCCACTGCATCTGCATTTTAATTTAGATCTTTTAATTACACGAGAATGTACTGGCAGGTGAAATGCTTGTCATGCAGTACACGCCATTTTTGGGATTAAAACTTTTTACAACTTTTGAATAGTCCTCAGACACGTCCAGACTTGGAATACATACAAAAAATCGTTCCAAGCGACTTGCCGGAAACAAAGAAACTCGTATCCTCCTTTTTCTTATAAAAATGGGACTCCGCACAACCACATCTAGTTTATGTATCTTATTTATTACTTGATTGTTGCCTTCTTGAAGCGTAATTTAACTGGAGCAGAAATAATTATACTGAATCCCACTGGACCAGGGCAAGGAACTTGGCTGAGGATGAGTGCGTTAATCATGAGTGCAACATCCTGCATCAAACATTCGTAGCTTAAATATTGTACCCAGCCACGTATGTAAATTTATAGTTATGTGTTTGCGTTGGTTTAGCTATGTTAAATCACACAAATAATACAAGCAAATTGTATCAAGATGTTTGAGGATTCTGCATAACTTATAATTTGGAATTTGGAATTTAATCTAATTTAATAACAGAATATAAATAGCACTCACCTTTGACTATATGTCCATTTTCTTCAATATGAATTTTGCAATCGCGTCTTGCTGCTGCTGCTGTGATCCTCTCTAGAAAACGGTACGCTGGGTTGGTGGGTATTTGAATGTGGTCAAATTATTGTACTGCTCTCCAAACTGCCGAATCGAAATCGCAGTCAACAATGTGAAACCAAGTGAGAGCTGGAAAGGAACCAAGAAAAATCGAGGCTAGTGAAGTGAAATAACAAAAAATGTACTACATACATGTAAAACGAAGCTGAATATGTAGCAGAAAGGACTCGAGCATTGTTGATTGCAGGCAATTGTTGGTTGAACTCAATGTAATTGCAACGCCAGAATGTGGCACAGGATGCGATGTGATGATGGTCTTCTCTGAATTCTACCAACTGGGATTACACACTACTCACATGGAGTAAATGACTAATAACATTGCTGAATTTTGAAACCTCAGATTTACTGCTGCAAACCAATAAATATTATGGTGACTTCGTCCAACAAAGATTTCTTAATCAGCTTTTGACGCATATATGTAATACTCGGTATTTATAGAATCAGGATATATGGAAATTTCTAGTTTTAATAATATCTTCGGTCCGTTTCGCACAAAGTTTAATCCTAAAACTTTAATATCACGCAAGGTGCGAAACTGTTTTGCAATCATGCATGATTTCATCGTCATACCGGATGATAATAAAATCTAGCAAGTAAAACTCTAATATAATCAGCCCCACCTTTATTTCACATACACTGCATTTTTCATGGTGGAGTACGCAGAAAACAGTTACTAAAAAATGTTATGCTATGGTGGTAGCTTTCTCACATTAATCAGACTTTATTCTACCTAATACCCACATTTGGGTACTATGAAACATTATTTATTTATTTAGAATAATTAAGGTGAGAAGATCTTTGGTTTACGACCGATTAATACTTTTATTTGTCAATTCTGGTGTCCGACCGACTCCCAAATATTTACGTACAAAATTTTGAAAACATCCTCACGCTTTGTGACCAGAATTTTGAATCTCACTCCACCGAAAGGTTAGTTTGTAAATAATTTGCGAGTTAAATCCAAATATGTACTCATAATTTAAGTGGATAGCAGAGTGGCTTGAGCATAGCGGGTTGAATTGCGCTTTTGGCATTTCGCGTAGCCGTCCCGTACGTCACTCCAATTCGAAACTGTTCACCGGGGGCGTGACCTCCATAGTATGGAATAAGACCTTCACAATGTTGGTAGATGGTCTGAACTCTTCCGGTTGGCGAACTATGTGCATTCACAGTTGGATAATTACTCGAAGAACATTGATTGGACTCACTTGAACACGACATATTTAATTGCATAAAACTCATGACTAACCTTGTTCGACGGTGGGAATTGAGTTTTGGAATGACATTTCCGCAGGTCACACTTGACTTGAGTCTCGGTTCATTTGCTGCAGCCCACATTCTGCGTTGAGAATAGTCGCAAACTGATCTTCCAGACGACAAAATGCTAAAGTCCTGGGGATTTCCACATCCACCTGGACCAGACCTCCGTCCAGTGACTGCAGGAGAAATGGGACCATCGAACCCACCACTGCTACTTCCACCTGCAATTGCACAAGAAGGAAAATTTGAGAAGATAGGCATACTAAACCAAAGTCATCGATTGCCTGATTAATTGAAAATGATAATTTTATCAGAATCAATCAAAAACTCTTACCTTGACACAATACAAACACATATTAGTTTTAGCAAATAGTTTTAAATTGTTGTTATAATTGTCTAATTTTGACTTGTATAATTATCAAATAGACATTTTTAATCTTTGCATGTTAACGACGAAAGTTGATCGACTAGGTGCACGGAGGAAAGAGATAATAAATAAATAGGGGATTTATTTGCGATGGTTCGACCCTTAATCCAATTATTTACAGTTATTATCGCATTCTTATTGAGTAGCGTTAATTAATAAAGTCAAGTTGATATCCAAACTTTCACTCAACCTGAGCATCCGCATCCACTGGCTTGAGATCGGGGAGGAGGACGAGCAAATTCTTGGAGGTCATTGTTCCCAGGTCGAGTGACTTCGTTCGTCTCCCAGGGTTTGGACTTGTAGCAGAATCGCCATCCGTCGAGGGCTTCAAGTTCCTGAAACAATGATTAGTATTTAGTTTAATTTAGGTGATTCCAATTGAAATATCATAATTAAACTGCACTCATTCATATGTACCTTGGTGAAAAGCCGGTCTCGCCATTGATCCTAAGTTAGAAGGAAGAGAAACATTGGTAAAATACTCTTTCACGGAGATGCAAAGAATGAAATACATTTAAATTCCTTTCAACATTCTTACCTGCTCGAAACGTGCAAGTGCTCGGTTACACGCCCTGAGTGATTAATTTTATACTCACATTATTTTGGATACTCGAACAGAATAGTCGATAATGAGCTTGATTACTCAGAAAAATAATTGTAGAATAAATTAACTCACGGAGAGTACGTATTCCCGAGGATGGTTTGGAACCGAGGGACAAATCCTGTGTATCCTGGAGTCATATTGGGCTGATACTGTTGACGACCTAAGCTGTTTACTCGACTGTTGACTAATGCCATTTGCGAGGAAAGAAATGGGTCTGTCCCCAATCCCGGACGACCGAATTCGTCCTAAAATGGCATGCCAACCAATATTTTACAAAGGTCAGAAAATATATAAATTTCCATACGGTGCAATGCTCGGGATGAATATTGTTCAGGACGGAACGAGGGCTCATCTAAAGGACAGAAATAAATTTAATGATGATATTCACATCAGTCATCTAGAGGTTATCTACAGAAATGCAATGGAAAGAATTTTTCTGAATTATTTACATGAATGCAAGGGTCGATCAGGACCCGATGACTTGTTGTTCCATAAGTATTTCCGGGACGATACTTAGCCTGAGGAACATACCCAACGTATCTGGATGGACCAATGATAATTTATTATTATTAATCTTTAGTCTATGTCGCTTTATGTCTCAGTTGTCTTTGTCATTTCACTGACCCAGGAATGTAATGCGGTTCTGGGGTGCCTAGAGAAGATGCGTTCGGGTTGGTGAAAGCAGCAGGACTTTTCACACAGTTCATTTTGCAGATTTTGACTAATCAGATTACACAAAAAAATTTTGTAGGGAGTCGGTAAGATTCTTAAGTGGACCTGGTCGGTAGAGTGAGAAAGGAAAGTGATAGACAAAAATATTTGATTCTTCAAAAATTTCTTCTCTTGCCCAACTTTCTCCACAAATCAAGATCCGGCCAGTGGCATGGCGATAAATAGCTCTTATGCAACTTATTCTGGTGAATTTCTGATAGGCATAGGATCTGAGAATTTCAGAGTCGAACGACTATTTATGGCATAGATTTCCGAGAATTGCATCCCTCCACATCAGAATAATATTTACATTGTATGTATGAAGTGGACATGATCTGCTAACCCATTTATGAAGCGAATTGGATTTATTAAACACAAACACATTGATAAAATAAAAAATACACTAACCTATTTATTGATGATGCCTTATACCAAACTGTAATCCAAACAGTAGTGAAGTGTATGTTTGTATGTGTATACATTCCTCCCGTATTTATAATATTGTTGTTGCATGCAAATGGCGAAACGGGAGGATGACAAGACCACGTCTTTCACCACCTCAATTTATTACCTTCTTAAAGATAAACTTGGCTTGATTGACTTGTGGCTTGCAGTGTGTTTATGGAACCAGGCAGGCATTTCAGTCGGCTTGATATTATTTTAACCCGATTGGCTTATTGAAAAAGATGAAAGCAGAGCATGTCTGGCATTGCACATCGAGAATACCACCCATCGAAGTTTTAGTTGACCTTCAAGCCCACCCTTGGCTGGTTGGACGGGACTTGCCAAAAATCACCCTTTCGTCTCGCATTCCCTGTTATTTTCGTTGTCTCATTTAGACTGGAAACTTGTAAAAATGACGAAGAATTACGATGTAACGTTGAATAAACACTTCTGTTAAAGAGAGAAATAAATTACAGATTTATTTCAACAGCACACCTTTTGCTTATAAAACTCAATCGTAAAAATGTACATCTTTTAGGATGTTGTATTTATTGACACACTTCAAGGAATGAGGAGGTGGTCGGCAAAGTAATTTGGCAAGTGGTAACTTTTTACACCTCATTACAAGAGAACGGCGAATTCTACTTTAGCTTTGAAATCAGTAACTAAATACAATATTAGTTTACGCTATATCGACGACATAAAGTACTTATCATCAAGTGTGTACACGTACCACACCACAAATACAAAATTCTAACAACAATCAGTTTAGACTGAAAACCAGTGGTATAATCGACGTTTAGGGTTTAAGTATCTATCATATATGGATTAGTACATGGATAATAGTGCATATTGCAATCTAGTATTTGCAATATTTTATGGAATTAATATGCACGTAAATCTGTACATATATGCATTCTGTCTTATGCATTTTACAAATAAAGCCACTATTCATAATAATATATGTGCATTTTATACGTACAAGAACATTATAGTTAAATCTAAAGTACAAATACCATTACGAATCAGTTTTAAATTTGCCTGCATACTGAACACAGAAAATATGTTTGCATTGATTTTTGGTGTAGTTTTGTTTGATTGACTATTGTGAGATTTAACATGTATTCGAAGTCGAGTAATGCATGTCAATTATTTCAATTGCAAATGTGTTCATCTCTTTTGTACGGGCATTTGTCACACTCGACTCGACAACACCAGACAAATTGACAGTTGCAAGAGTCCACCCCTTCCCGCAGCATCGTTTGATAACCTCGGCCGCAGCACATGATGAGACAGCCAGAAGGCCCATCGCTGGTCTGATTACACACGCGACCCTTTGTTCCCAACACTTGCATCCTGCAGACACAAAGTTTAAATATCTTAATTCCTAGAAAACTAAGATCGTTCTCGTGCATATTAAGAATCGAGTGAAGGAATCAATCAATCATCTCACGTCTCATTTTTCTCGCAGTAAGTTGGAGAATCGTCCAAAAACACGAGGTCCTTCTTCGTAGGTCTCTTCATCTCTCTGAGAACGGGTTTGAGTCTCTGCAACCAAGAGTCAGTCATTGTAAATAAATTTGTATCTTGTTTAAGAATTTATTTATCTGAGTCATTCTTGCTCGAGGTTAATATTAATTCAGTGCATGTTGCAAACGATAATTGGGCAAATACCAGTTTGTTTATTTTCCCATTTTTATTAACACTCCGTCTCACGGCTTTGACCCGGAAGGCTGAAATATAGCAGAAAAACAGGAGAATTTTGATACCACTTGCTGGTCAATGTAACACAATTTAATGTACCGGACAATTCATAATCAATGATAAGCGATACAAAAGTTGAACTTTGCAAAAATCTCAAATGAACATGCGTCTTCCTTCACTAACCTCCATCAAATTTCTCTCGAATTTGTTCAGCAATGGAACGGAACGGAGTGAGCACTCGCCAACACACTTTCATTGTACAAGAACCTAAATTTAAAAAAAACGAGACGTGTGAATAATATTTCATTCATATTTTGCAAAATTGTTATTTATACCTGACACGCCATGACACTTGCACGACATGTTCATCGAATTCTTCATCAACTGTATTAATTACACCCAGGATCATTTTTTTGAAATGCATAACTTTTTTAATGTTCCTCCAAGTCAAACTCAAGAGGAGGAAAAATGACTGGTTTAAGAAGACGGGAAATTTTACGAGTAAATAAGTAATCTCTTCAAAGGAAGTGGAGGAAGCTGTCTAAACAAAATAAAATCTATCCGGATTTGCTAAGTATATGTTGACTCGAGGAGATGACTTTCTTGGTGTTCTAATACCGGAGATTTTTTATAATCCTTGTTTGAGGAAGGGGCGAATAGTAAAATTTTAATTTACCCTTCGACCAGCTTCGTTATTCCATCTGCAGCAGAGTTTACACATACATAAGTTTTCTTTCTGTATATTCGGAATACAGCAATGTGCCCAATGATGCAAACAACTTACAGATTCATCAGTCCAGTGGGCGACGTACCGTCTTCTATTGAGTCGGCAAACTCTTTGCTGAACAATCCGCCGTATTTCACATCCTTTTCAAAGAACATAAAGAAGCGTGCACAAAGTCAAGGATGGTTTTTAAACACATGAAAAGTGTAAGTTTGTTTGGCGGTGATGCAGTTTTGTATATGCATTTGAGCAAAAAATTAAAGTATTTGTTTGTTTGTGTTAATAAGTAGGAAAAAAATAGGGGGTCGACCATGTCAGACAAGTGCCAACAGTCGGATAAAGAGCACATTAACGTCAAAGATTTATGTACACGTATACGTTATACAATTATGTTCACTACTCCTTAGTATACATATTTATTGGTACGAAATCAGCTCAACTGACTGAGACCCTTTTCAGTTATTTCAATATCTATTCATTTTTGAATTTTTAGCACTTGTATCTAAAAAGGGTGGAACCGTCGTTATTAAATATATTTCACACTCACCTCAGAACATCCGCCCCACTGCCACTGCCCCTTCGTACTTCTCGACCTCACAGTCTCATGGGAGGAAAAAAACAACGTTATTATTTTCATTCACTTTATACAAAACGACTGCTGTGCATTATCTCTTGGCGTTAGTCAGTTGCCAAAAACTGAGATAAAATTCTTTGTTTTAAAGTTATCATGTGTGTGGAATCTGGGTACCTCATCGCAGGAACAGTCTTGTAATTCTCCCTTAGCACAAGCTATCACCAAAACCATCATTACTTAATCAGCAGAATTAATTAATTTTGAAAAAAATTAGTAGGATTTCATACCTTTGGTCACTTGATAGGCCAAACTCGCCGCAGAAATTGCGTGGACATATGCTTTCTCTCTCGTATCTAATAGAACACATTTTATGACGTGATTTTTTCCAATTAGGTAAACGAAATAACATAAAATGTTTAATTTCCCAGGTTCGTTGGCATTAACTCGGCGAATGGGTCTTATAGTATGATATCCCGTCTCGAGTTGTGACTCTCAACGGGATAGTATTATTTTAGCTGTGCCTAATAAATGGGCAATACTGAAATGATCGAGGAAATCAGAATAAGGGTTTTGAGTAGAAATAAATGAAATGTCGAATGTCAATTTTACGACGACCATTGCAGAGTGGACACCACTTTCCTTGCTTGTAAAATAAATTGCAGTGATGGTATGCATGTTTATGCCGCTTTTATTTCCTCGTCCATAAAAGAAAACGAGGTCTAAATTTTTCCCATCTTTGACCACTCGGCAGAATTCAATTCTGTCTGATTCGACGTGGCAGAAGGAACAACTCTGCTCAGATTTTTGAGAGATGAACCCCTGCAAGAACTACCCCTCACAAGAACGAACGACGCATATGCATTTAAACATTGGATATGGAAATAAGTTCCAGGTATTCGAAAATGCCTGCTTTCTTTATTAGTGTACTCAACTCAGCTCCCTGGCCAATTTTATTGAGTGTTCTGACGTGCACTTCTAAATAAAGTTGAGGATTTTATTACCCACTCGCCCACTGACGACGGTACTGGAGTCTTTTTTTCGTGGGGAGAATGGAAAATTGAACCACCTATTCATTCCCTCTCTCGGAATATACACGCTCAAGACGAAATATGCATAGCAGCCAATGCTCTTGGAGTTGGTTAGTACAAAATATATGCAGTTGAATGGATGCAAAAGGGAGAAATCTTTCCGAAGGTTCAGAATTAACGAAATACGTGCATAATGATATCTTCTCTGTGCAATGTGGTCTATGTTCATACGTTTGGAGAACGCGAGCAGCAGCAGAACATGATGGAAGGGGGTTATCAAATACTTGAGAATTTTTTGGGTGAAACTTTGATCTCTGAGGACCTCATTAAATTAATGCACAACGTGCAATTCTTCCACAACGCATATTCCAAAAAGTGGCATTCTACAACTCAAAAACTTTAAATTTACTTCCCATTTGATTGAATGCAAGTTTTATTTATCAATAACAAACACGCTTCTGCCCACTGAAGACTTTTATCCCTCACGATAATCAAAATAATTTTTGACATAAATTGACCAATATTGGTGAACTCAACAGCCAAACGAGAAACGAAACAGGAAGGAAATTTGTTCAACTGCAACTTTTACGACTTACGAATATCGAGCACTTTGCCAAAGACGTTGGCTGCTTCACGAATGACGGAACAATTCCATCGGTGCGACTGGAGTTGATGTTGACATTCTTCAAATAAAAAAGAATTTTACAGACATGATTACATTCCTGTTAGTCAATCCAACTTCAACCACAGAAATTCCAGCTCAAAACATTTCCCTTGGCCAAAATTTCTCGCTTTCTCATAATTTTCTAGGTGGTTTCTTACCTTCAATCCCCAATTTGGCTCCTGAGCTGATTGTCTGCATACGCATGATAAAGAATTGCGATGTTAATTAAAACTAGTTTATAATGTAGCATCCTAGCAAGTAAAGTATATAAGCAGTAAAGAAATAAAATTCAAGTCCACAAGTTTCGATCAATATAAAGAAATAATAATGTACACTGCACATTTAGTATATCAACTCCTGCGTGGATGGTCTCAAGAGTCAAGACCAATGACGAAAATTTACGATTGGGATATTTTTTATGTCTAAAAGCCAAACAAGGATGGAGAAATAGCACTAAAACGTAAGAAGGAAAGTAATCAGTGGATTTATTACGTCAAAAACTCTGTCGCTCTTCTGACACATGTGCTTCTGTCGTTCACTGAGGTATGTGACAGCAGAGCAATTGTTGTGTTGGGGGGACTTGTATCCAGGGGCCATGTCGCTCATGTGCTGGTGGGTGGAATGTTGTCTGTCCGTACCTAATAACCTGTGGAAATCACAAAATTAACGAGTTTAAATTATTGTAGGCATTATTCCGCTACGTTTTCTGCATTATCCTGCATTTGTGCGGTAATGAGACTTATTATAGGTGGCTGGTTATTAATATGAGTAAGGATCATCGAGAGGGTGAGAGAAGCCTGTTCCGTTGAAGGCTGAATATTAAGTGAGCCGGGTGTAATGGTGAAGAAGAAGGGTGTCCATTGAATACTAAAAAGGAGACGAATTTTGGGGAGATGAAGCTCAATAAGTGCACATTATCCCATTTAAACGGCCCAGCAACAGCTTAATTATGTTATTAAGAAACTAAATCCCCAATTTACACGAACCTGTAAGTCTAGAGTTGTTTTAATGCCGTCTTTTTGGAACGCCTCTTTATACAAGCCTTCTCAATAAGTTTGAAAAAATGAACAATTCATCCACCGAAATCATGGTCATGGTCATGGCTTGCTAGCAAACGCATGGGGTTTGTGCTCCATTGACTAAGCAATTTTATCGTTATTAGCAGAGATTTGGTCCTCCAGATGATGGGGGAAAGAGGGGAAAATAAGAATATATCGACGATCGTATACGTATAGAAATATCAAATCAAACAAATGAAGTTGTTGATGATTGGCCATTAAAATTCTCTGGAGAATGCTGCCATACCACCATCACGGCATTTTTCCTTGAACGATATTGTACGTCAATTAATCCATGTAATGTATTTATATACCTAATTTCCAATGTGTACAGAATGGAAGAAATTCCTGTTTTCTCTCGGTCTCTACTTTCCCTTGGTCAGTTCATCTTCAGATAAGCTCAAATAGCCCAGGAGGGACAAAACTTCTCGGTGCAAGACAATGCGTGGTTAAATAAACCTGGGATAAGAGGGTGTAATGATAAGACAACCAATCCCCCTTGATGTGATACAGATATTGCGACTATTTCCCATGCAATGGAAAGTATATGTTTCTAGCAAATCTTCCATTTCCAATTACATGCAGCTCGGATTGAGATGAAATCAGCTCATTCGGTCCTCGCTTCCCTTTTACACATGGTATTTATGTAATAAACTTGTCTGTTGCGTTCGATTACATCAGATTGGGTAAAAATAAGCGCATCAACCGCTCTGTTTTGGAGGGATAATAGAAGAAACAATAATATTCTTGGCTAAATTTCCTTGATCATGAGACATTTACTGTAACAGTGAAACCCACTACTCAGGAACTCATACATATTATCATTTTATGTATGTATTTTCAATATGGCTAAAATCATTCATTCGTTTAATACGTGATTCTACGGTAAATGTGGTGTGTTATCCACAAAACAAACGAAATGTGAAATATGAATATTAATTTCCGCAATACATACAATCCTTGAAAGCAGCGATGTGATTTGACTACCTGTATTTCATTGAAACAATTCGTTCACTGTCAATGTGCGTGCAGTTATTTATACTTCCGAATTATAATGTATACTTTTTTATGGAAATTTCAGGTAAATGCATGAAATATGCTACTTGGTAAGCAGGAAAAATACAACGTTTGTAAAAATGTCATCCACGATACCCGTTCAAAAATTACTAACAAAAGTAAGTATTCTAAATACCGGACAAAATGTACTCTACTAGCGATTGCACCTTTGTTATTTTAAACAAAGTATTTAAGTGTGCATATCGCGGAATAAATTTTCGACGTGTACCAATAATATATCGCCCAATCTACAACATGCGTAGAATGAATTACTTAATAGAATCCTTGTTCCTGTGTACTTTTACTGCTCTGATTTCCACATACTTGCAATTGCGACATTACATTTTTCCTCGCTTGATCTGCTGATCTTCGCCGAGAAAGCTTTAAAACCTTTTCCCGACTCATTTACTGCTTGACACTTTTATGTGTGCACGGGATGGTTTATGAGAAGGCTTTGAAAGTGGCATAATCTCGTGCTTAGCGTTCTATCCACACAAACATTCTCTTCATTTGCTTGTTTTGTGAATGAACAAAGTAGTCGCAGGCAGTCAGTCGTCGGTAAAAGTACATTTTTGCATTACAATGCAACGAGGAAAAAGATTTAGAAAATGCGTATATTGCTTATTATTCTTCTCTCCTTGCTCAATAATAATCCGACTGTAGACGTAATATGAAAACAACGTTTTACATATATGAAAGTAGGTACCAATAACAGTGGTGTATTGTGAATGAATACATCGCAGTATCATCCTTATTGTCCGTGTTCTTCCAATTTATTACTTTGAGAAGGTGAACCAATAAACTGAAATGGAACAAGAGCAATCATACGAATGAATGTACGTACGCACGTATGTACCAACCCTTTTCTGACCACAAAACCACAGAAAACATTTTATATGATCCCTTTGTTAAAAATTTACAGCCGATTAGTTCTTGGAGATGGGAAGAATTTTCAATTTGCCATCAAATAGGAAAATGGGAACATCTGCCGTACATTTACTACAGGCTGAATAGGTATCGTACACGGTTGGTTTTAAAAGTCAAGTATTGGTCGTTACGAGCCATGATGATCTGATTGCATCGTGTTTTACTTACTGTGTGTGCGTGTAATCTCTTTCTTGTTGTTCTTGCTACTCTTGTAATCATAATAATAATGGATCGAAACAACCCCTTCACGTCCTGCCGTGAGCTAATCAACATCAACTTTGCTGACTGAAGAAGAAAAAAATGGGATCTCTTGGTCAGCCCTGTAAGCTGACTCCTATCAAGATTTCTCTCAAGAAGTCGGATGATCCGATCTTTGATTAATTTGTTGGGCAACACCTTCACCTCATTCTTTTCGTTCAGTAAATTGAATTGCATACACAAAGTCAAATTGAATTATAATCTTATTTAGATTTCACCCTGAAATATTATTGCAGAGTAGAATTTTTTGATACGAGTCTCAATTTCCCCAATCTGAAATATTAGCATCTAAATGCGTATAACATGCACTCATATGCGATGAAATAAGTAAATATATTGAATGGCCAATAATAGGACAGTGTTATCACGGACACGAATTCTCTTACCACCAAGTGCCTTCATTGAGTACGCTTCCCGTGGCCAGGTTGGATATCACAAAAGGTAGTAACACGAGTATTTTCAAGTGATTATATCCGATTTCTTTCGCACCCATGACTAAATCGTTTCTCGTCGTGAGCAGCAAGTTCTCTTAATCGCTAACACCGGAGAAAGTCTTGTTCAACTTGGTTGCAGGATGAGATTTGACAAGTCAGGCCGGGTGGGTGTGTGCTCAACATTTCTTGCTCTGTCTTGTCGTCAGATTCTCACATTGATTATGGTTTGCCTTTGCATAAGCGAATCACGAGAGGAGAAAGCTGTGAAAAAGTGTCCAAGTTGGATTTCCTGTAAAATCTCAGAGAGATTTCCTTGGAGCGAGTGAGGAGTAAAAGTTGGTGAAGAGCGTTTTGACTGAGACTCCTGAGCTGACTGAGGGTTAAACGGACCCAAGTCGGACTTTTAGTTGAAAGAGACGGACCCTCCTCCTCCAAAGTTAAGCAGATCGAGAGACCAGCAACAGCAGACCGTGTGGTCATAAAGATGTTCTTCGTGGTTCCTCCATTCTTAGATTTTACTACGAGTCTTATTTACAACTCCTTCTAGCCAAACAACCAACGCAGTGGACATACCGTATCTCGTCCGCTGCTTGTTGTTGAGCCGTCATAAAATTATTAGTTTTCGTGAACATGTGCTCTCTCAGATTTTATTATGAATCCATGAAACATGTCCATGTACATAACTTTCTGTAACCCGTGGGCAAATGTTTTAGCATCCTTGTTCATAATCAGTTTCGGTTTCATGCCTTCCCAGTAAGTGAAACTGAGGATGAGACGACGACGGTGCGGTTTGATGTGTGTGAGACAGGGGACGTCTTCTCTCGTCTATACTTGAGACAAGACAACAGATTCCTTTCTGAACTCCAATCTCTTCGGGTTTTATGGACACTGAAATATTGTCTATATTTTCCCATAGGAAACGGGAAACTCGTTGCACGTTGCATGAATGGGGGCAGGGGGCAGTAAAACAAAAAGTTACACAGAAACGCACCCTTCGTTTTGTGTTTCATGGATAAAATGTCGGGATTCTCGTGCGGATGAAAGTTGTTGGAAGGGTGGTGTTATTTCTTTCAGTCGAAGGAGAGAATCCTTCCTGGTACGCACTTTACCATCAAGTTTCAACCCTTATGCACAAAGGAAAACAATTTATGTACCGGCCGTATGTATGCAAGTGCGACATATGCAGAGTTGAGAGTCCCATAAAATCAACCCTCCGTGTTCATGCAAATAAGTTCGGTGTATACATATCTCACACTCAAAATAAGTAAATGCAAGACTTTTGCTCATTACAAAACTCCTGTTGAAGAAATCAGATAGATTTCGAAAGCTCGAGATAAAAAGAGACGCATCTTCTGACCATTCCATTGAAATTAAGTATATAAACAGCCAATTTAGAACGCACAGATATGGAGTTTCAACGTACGTATTGCATAATTTCAGACATACTCGTATTCAGCAGGTGAAATCGAAATAAAGATTTGCACAACACTGCAAGGACACTTTACACGGCTTGCAAACCTTGTAAGAATGGGAATGTTAATGACAACCCATGACACGAAAAGTGTAATAATAAGTTTGAGCAAAAGGTGATCGTGTGTGGGTAGAAACCAGCGTCATAGGCGGATGGGATGCCAATTTCGTGTAATTGAAACAGTAACCTACAATTAAGCAGTCGGAACAAAACACAATAATTTCTTCCCAAATTTGGATGATTCACCATGTTTTTCCATGAGTAGCTGCAGATCACGAGACTTTCATGCCTAGATATTTGCAATTTTCATGAGTATGGCCATACACCTATTTACTGCAGGTGGCAGGATTTGTATTTGTGATTTGATGGCTGGTAGGTAGAAATAAGAGAAAATAGAGAATTGTTAAGGGAGAGGATTTCTGATTGAAAGGGATTTGTCATGAGACAAATGAGCAGCAGTTTTTCCTTATATTATGTTATCGGATTGTGTTGTTGACTTGGATGAAATTGTTTTCACCCTAGAAATCCAAACGTGAGTCCAATGAAAGTGAATAACCACCGCTGCCCATTGTGTGATGAACACGGCTGGACAGAAGGCTAGTCTCTTGGTGGGGAAGGTTTAAACTAAACTTCCCCTTCTGGTCAAATAATTTCATGTTCCATGAAAACGATACATGCAACCCATAACTCTGTCACGAATGAAATGGATTAGTTGAGGAAGGTAATCAACCGTTAAACCCTGCTGGCTGCACTAATCCCCCCGAAACAATTTAATACTTGACTGCATAAACGAGATGCAATAAAAACAGGAAAAGTCATCCACACAATACCCAAAAACAGGCCAATTCAGTTAACGAGTGAGTAGTGCCCGACCGACGCACATTCATAAATGTGCAAATAATGAATGTTGGACACGATAGTCGTCGTGACTCATCACTGGTCAGCCCAATTTTTAAAATTTACAACTTTTTTTCCCACCACCAATTACTGAACTTGACCTTGTAGAAAATGTAAAATAATTGGATTAGTGGTCTGATATCTGATAGATACGCGATAAAAATATGAGCATATTTATAGGATTACATTATGCAGAGTGGATTATTAATTGCACTTACATGAGTGTTTTTATTAGTACATAAGTAACTATTGCATAGTCAGAGTATAACAACAACCGCAATTCAATTAAATAAATTCAAACAAGTGTCAAGTACCAAAAATAAATAAAACTAAAAGAAATATGCTAGAAAAATTCTGTAGTCACCCTCTTCTTCTTACAAGATCTATCCTTCTTCTTCAATCGCTAACTAAGTTTGAACTTCCATAGGTTTTGTTTTCTCAACGTTGCTTTCTTCTTCTCGAGGACGTTTCGTCCTTTGCAACTCTGCCAATTCAGGAGCCACAGACACTTGAATCTTCTCTTCCATCTCAGTCAAATATATCCAAAGGCACAAAGGATTCACACCATTCATGTAGAATGACTCTTTATGAAAGAGAAGGACACCGTCAACCTTTTGGCTGAAACTTGGCAAAGATGACATCATAACTTCTGCAATGTCACCGCAGTCAAAAGAAGGTAACGGCAAAAACGGGTAAGGATTTGAAAATGATGATTCAAGCAATCCAGGAGTTTCAGAGAGTTTCGATGTTTGAAAAAATTGGCGATATGCTTTCTGTTATACACGTAAAAAAATGCTTTTCAGTTAACACACCATTAACAAGGATAATACAATTCAACTAGATATGTACCAAGAAAATATGTGTGATTGGTAGACTTACATCACAGTTATTGTACGATTGTGAAGCCCAACAAACCATGTCCAGAACATAGAAGACTTCGGCTTCCATTGACCAAATACAATCAAGAATAGTAACACCTTTCTTTTTCTTAATTTCGGCTGTAAATTAAAACACAACTGATTAGTAATAAAAAAAGAGTCGTGTTATTTATAATTCATTTGAAAGACATGAGGTACTCACGATCCTTGCTATTTAGTTTGCTCCCTCCAGGTAAGTGCGATTGAAACACTCCCATGTATTCATGTGTACGAGAAAAGACGCAAGTCTTCCCTCGACTAGCAACGACGAGACAGCGCTTTCCAACTGGACAAAATACTCCCATCCAATTTTCATAAAAATCAGTGGGCTTATCAACTAACCATTCAGACAACATTACACGACAAGGAGAATTGCGCTTCTGTGAAAATATTTCCGTGATCATCCCAATGAAATGATAATTATGATATATACTTATGCATTTTAATATTAAACAAACCTTATTTGGCTTTTTGTAGCGCCGCCTGGCTGGTCTATTCTCTCGTGGAGCACCTGTTGTGTCCATCCCCTCGTTCTCGTTGGTTTCTTCAGAAATCTTTTGCAATTTGTTTTCCTTGACTAGACTTACGAAATCCTCGTCCTCTTCAAACTCGCTGTCACTCGATGTCTCCAATTGTCTAATCTTATCAAGAATTGCATCCCGTCTCCTATTAAAAATATAACATGTACATTTAATTCTTGCGATGTCGTATTTATATCGTTTATAATAAATTACTACAAGAATCTTACTGCTTTTGCACGTTAAGTAGATTCTCGCGACGTTTCTCCTGTGATGCTTTGGGATCATATCCAGTTTTAACTGACTTGCGAAAATTGATCTCTTGTTCTGGCTCTGATTTATCACAAAAATCAGGTACATCATAGCCATTCTTCTTATCTTTCCTAATGTTTTCTTGATCTGCACACAGCTCGTTTTCTTCGTCCAAGTCATTGTCAAATTGGCCTTCTTGGACTTCATTGTCTTCTTTACATCCTCCCCCAAACACGCTACCAGTCTCATTGTTTAAAAAAGAGGTGACAGCCCCATTCCAAAATCCTCTTGCAATTCCAAGTCGCATGAAACCAGAACCACGGCCAAGTGGCGAAACGACTGGTTCTTCTTGCATCCTGTGTATAATATTTCCGTACAATCGTTTTTCGTCTGTTATTTAGACTTATCCTCGTTCAGAATATGAACCTGGAAAAATATTAAATAAATCAAATTAATATTAGTGAGCTAATAACAACCTTTCATCCAGTTTCGGCGTCCACCGGGCTTCCGAGTTAAAATAAATACTTATTATGTCGTATTATTATAATATACATAGTTAACTTTGGCTTACCACCGTCACGTCGTCACCCAAGTATTTTGCTGACTAGTCAACCCACAAAGGGGGATCAATGTTGAGGAAATTGCTGTATTATTTAATTATTAATTAATTGTCGCGTGAAATTAAGCTGATCCGTGCACGGTTGACTTTTTGAGAAGAGAATCGTCTCGCTTGCTTGAAGTGAGCGGCTACAAGAGATTGGTTCTGCTCAACACGCTCTGACCATGCTTCCACTTCTTCACCAGAAATCCATCCATCCATCCATCATTCAGCTAAAATAAATAAAGTGCTCTCCTCTTTAAAATTTCTTTAAATAATTTCAAGTAAAAAGTAAATTTTCAACACAGCATTATCTATTTTTACCTAGTTCTGCCTTTGCTGTGACGGTGATATAGTGATATTCCGATAATCGCACCAGAATCGAAGGCGATAGGAACATTATTATGGAGAAACACGTGGCGATAAGGTTAACAAAGATTGAAAGTTCAACAGAGAAATTGAAACCTGAAGACTTTCTAATGTAAGATAAATATACCCCATGTATTCGTTATTTTGATCAGTACGTATTATAATATATATTAATTACTATTTTTATATTGATTTATATTGTAGTGCTTCAAATAAAATATCTGCGAATAGTTTGCTCGTGCTGAAGGAACTTTATGACCTGACCAAGTCTGCCGAAAACGATGCATCATCATCTAGCGCCCTCCAAAGATACCTCCCCACCCTAAGAGCAAAGAAATCGCCCAAGAAAAAGGGTACAAAAAAGAACGAGTTTTCTCGAACGGAAGTCCCTCTCTCAACACTAATCACCGATAACTTTGACCAAGATCAAATTTGGGAGGAGATTCAATTGCAAAATGGGCTCATTTATGAAACCCTAGTCTCCTCAATATCCAAAGTTTTGGCACATAAGTTTCGAGCTCAAAAGGCTCAGAAAGACGATGATGACGATGACGATGAAACCATTTTAAGGGATTTGGAAGAAGGAAGTGCTGAAAACGGCAACCTGGAAGAGGACGAAGATGATTTGTCCGACTTTTTTGAAAGTGATAGCAAATCTAGAAAGAAGAAATCCAAACAACAGACCAAATACTCAAAGTCAATTGTGGATGACAAGTTTTTTAATTTGGCCCAGATGACAGAATTTGTCGATAAAATGGATACTGAAGAGGGTCAGAGTGAGGATGATGATGATAACGATAAGGTCGACTATTTCAAGGGTGACGAAGAAAATGAGGAAGAGGAGGAGGACTTGTACTACAAAGATTTCTTTGATCCACCGCTGGACGAAGAGGAGAGAGTAACACAAGAATCAAGGAATGAAGATAGAACAAACCGTCCAGTTCAGTTTAACTTAGAGGAGGATGAAAATGCAACGGATGATGAGGAGAATGGAATGAAAGAAGAATCCAACACCACTGATGATGATGATGAAGGACCTAATAGCGTCAAAGAGGAAGATGTAGTTGCTAGTTTATCAACCTTTGAAAAGAAACGAAGAAGAATTGAAGAAAATATCGAAGCAATGGAAGAACAAGCACTGCAACCAAAGTCCTGGCAGCTCACGGGTGAAGTAACAGCACAAACTAGGCCAGAAAATTCTCTATTGGAAGAACATCTTCTTTATGATCATTTACTTCGACAAGGTAACGTTGCTTTCTAAATGCCATTTAATATTCTTACAATTTGTTTGTTAGCTTGCTAAAATGATGATAGCTCCAATCTTACACATTATGGTGAAGTAATTTTTGGAATTCCTCGTTACTGATAAGCAGTTAATTTCTCAAGAGAAATCCGAAAGTATAACTATCTCATACAAATATCTCGTTTTTCTGAAACTATAATTTCTTGCAGCTCCGGAAATCACAACAAAAACTACCCAAAAGTTGGAGGACATAATCAAGCAACGTGTCAAAGACCAATCCTGGGACGATGTGATTAGAAAAATTAAACCGATCGAAAATATTTCCGAGTATAAGAAACGTCTCGTCCTAGATGCTGAGAAGAGTAAAATTAGTTTAACAGAAATTTATGAAAAGGTGAGAATTTTACTTAAGCATCTTGTTGAAAATCAAAATTACAAGATTTGTGCATACATGATGATAACTCCAATCTTACAACTCATGGTGAATCTCTTTTTTGGAATTCCTCGTTGCTGATATTTAAATTGAATAATTTAATTTAGGCAGGAAAATATAAGTACATAGATTGCTGATTAATGAATAATTTCTTGTTTACTTGTTTTTAGGAATATATCGAAAAACAAAATGATGGGGGGATTGCCACCACAGAAGAAGATAAAGATCCAGAAGAACATAAAACAATTAAAAAAGATCTGCAGACATTATTTGCAAAATTAGATGCACTGTCCCATTTTAACTACACTCCGAAAGCGGTTAGTTTCTATTTTTCCTATTATTTCATCCTTTGTCAATAATTTAAAACAAATGATGACATAACACTTCATAATTCGTTTGATGAAACATTTTTGTGGAATTCCTCGTTGCTGACACATGATAAAACTAAACTCTTACTTAAAAAGTTGTCGACAATTAAATAATTGATTCGCGTTTTATGAATTATTTAGCCTGTGCCTGAAATCAAAACCATCACGAATGCAACAGCAACATCTATGGAAGAAATTACCCCGTCGACATTTAGTGAAGCAATGCTACTTGCTCCTCAAGAGATTTTGGGTATGCAATAAACAATACTATCAATTTTCACTATTGAAATTCTTGTATTTTGTCATGTAATTTTTATGGATCTTGTGTATGTTTGCAGAACCAGCGAAGGGTGAAATTAAAGGGAAATCAGAACGTACGTCGACTGATAAAAAGAGAGAAAGGCGACTGAAGAAAAAGAAGCAACATTTGAAGAGACTATCACAAGAGGAAAAAGCTAGAGCAAAGGGATTGGGACTAAGGAACATCAGATTAGCTGAATCTGTCGTTAAAAAATCGAAAAGAGCAACGAATGACGACAGCAATCTTCTTAACAGTAAAGAACTCAAATCGTCTAAAGCATTTTTTGCTAAACTTCAGGAGCAAGTTTCCAGTCACATTAGCAAAGTTGCAAAGAAAAATAAAGCCTCGATGGATGCCAAAGTTATATCAGTCAAAAAGTATAAACTCTGAAAATAAATCAATGTTATTAATTATTGTTAAGCCAAAAAAACAGACTACATTTTTATTACAAAATATTGAACATATTACAGTGCATTATTATATAGGTAGTGTATTCGCATCTAACATTGTCTTATTATTCCGACGTGTGTGCATGAGAAGTCTAGGTAAATTCTATCATTAGTAAATATATGAGTCAAACACTTTTTCTACTACAGTAAGTGCTTACTGTGTTGGATATTTTATGAGAACCATGATCTTTGTTAGAGATTTCAAAAGGCAGATTAGGCAGAAAATATATTACATTTTGCATTATATATATAGCTAACAAAGTATATTCTTATGAATGTAAGAGTCAAATGTAAGAAAAATACTGTTCTATGTAGTTAAATAATGATATTTTCAAGTAATCGACAAAAAGCTGGCTGAAAATCTAACATGACCTATTTTTTTTATTAACAAACAGAACTCCACATATTAGACTAGTATGGAGTCCTAGGGTCCACGTTAGTCATTTCCCAAGTGCTAAATTAAATTTAAAAAACATTCAGAATAATATACCAAAATTATTGAACCGAGGTATTAAAATTAAGTCACCTTTTCCCATAATTAATATGGATAAACAAGAATGCGATTCCTGCAATAATACGAAATTATTTCGACAATGAGAGACGGAATTAGGTTTAATAATAATAATACAGATGAGATGAAATAAATATAAATAAATGAGTTATGTATTTGGTGGTGGTCGCTGAATTGAGACCAATGCATCACTGAGGTTTGCTACTTACCAAGTACAAGGCAAATGGTTCCAACAATGATGTATCTACATGAAAAAAGATGTTTGCTAATGAAATCATAGAATAAAGATAATATATGATAAAGAACCGTTGAATAACTGAGGAACATACTAGTAATATGTTAGGTGGCTTAATTAATATACGTAGTTCAAGTTATTCATAAGGTAAATTCATAAATTGACGGATTTTTCCAATATCGATTTTGCTTTCTGACCTAGGATCAACTGAATTGAAAATAAACCGTTACAACGCATGTAACCAAGGGGTGAAAGGAGTGTCATACGTCAATGTGAATATCAAATTGTTCGAAAATTTGTTAAGATTGACACTTCTGACGTGTTTTCGACTTTTGTGTCTTATTTGTGTCAAATTTAACAGTTGATAACCCTTATGTGACCTTTATATGACCTCTGAGGTCAAAATGGAGGTCACCATTGAATTCGGGGTTAAATTTCAGTTGAAATTGAAATAGATATGTCCTATGACCTTTACATGACCTCTGAGGTCAAAATGGAGGTCACCATTGAATTTGACATTGAAAAATAGTTAAAAATGATGTGTCACATGCCAAAACTGACAAGTGACACTTTTTCGTCACTTTTCGTCACCGTGACGTCCAAACACAAAATGACCTGAATTTTCGAATTCCTCGTTGAAAATTAGTTAAAAATGATGTGTCACATGCCAAAACTGACAAGTGACACTTTTTCGTCACTTTTCGTCACCGTGACCATGTCATCGTCACAGGTGACGTCCAAACACAAAATGACCTGAATTTTCGAATTCCTCGTTGAAAATTAGTTAAAAATGATGTGTCACATGTCAAAACTGACAAGTGACACTTTTTCGTCACTTTTCGTCACTGTGACGACGTCATCGTCACAGGTGACGATGTCACAGTGTCCATCTTCGAACTCGTCCTGTCCCTTGACGTTAGGAGTTTACGTTCAAAATTTCAAGTGTCTATGTCTTTTCGTTCAAAAGTTATCGGAGCTACGGACAGACAGACGGACGGACAGACGGACATAACGATCTTATAATGGGCTTTCACCCCTTAATAAACGATCCCCTTTTCCTGCAATGGTTTAATATCGCAATTGTTGCAAACATAAATCATCATAGTTTTCAAGATAACCCAAATCAAAGTAAGATTTTTCACAAAAAATCGAACTTAGAGTAGCCTCTTGTACTTCATACGGCCTACTTTGTATTTGTTTCTAATAAACATGTTAATTTCAACCACCTTCAACTAAATCAGTATGTTCATCTCAGGACTCATCCTCAGCATTCTTCACTTCACACTTACGCGATTCCCAAAAAAGGATTTTTCCCCCCTAGCAAAGACGTTGTCGATAAAATGATCGATTTTGTCCCATGGAATGAATTCACTTCATATGCTAAAAAAACAATATTATAAATTAGTCCGATTTATCCTTTAACGTATTGTACGCAAAGTCTTTTGTTATATGAATGAACTTACAATATTTGATTAGCAGTGAATACTTCCCAGCAGGTAGACCCCCCCTAGAAAGAGTAAGAATTATTATAAATCCCTATCCTGACAGATAGACGGACAGTAGATAATATGTTAATTTTTAACAAAGTGAAAGCAAATTATTATCTCTCAATCTCGTTTTAATGTTTCATTATACCGAAATCCATCTGCAGTAGAATTGACAATTCTGTACAACTTTCTAAAGTTGGGCAGCGCTGCTGTTCTCATCCAGACGATGAAATCTTCATTTTGAACTCCATTATTTTCAGAATTATCAGGATCCAGTTCCCACAACTGTTTTCTCCAATCTATACATAAATTAAAAAGACAATGTAATTACTAAAATCAATTAAATAACTACATATGAAACTACTACGTAGTTAAAAATATTCACCCTTCGGTTTCGTAAACTCATTCCAAATTGGACTAGAGTTTCCTCCAAAATTAGTGGGATTCCTGAACTTGAACCTCTTGTCCGAATCCCAAGCTATCCCAGTTCGGATCAAACTCACGTTTTTCACCTTTTGATCTGGAGGATGATATTGCAGAGCGATTTCATCGTTAAACATGGAATTAGCGATTGCTCCACAGGGAAATATCTTCTTCCCATCTGCAAGACATGAACCCAGATAATGAAACAATGCACACGAATATTTAATGCCCTCCAACTTTTGCTGTTTATTACCTTTGTCCATGTTAAACGGACTGCAGTCAGAAGAAATGGAGGACAAGTCTCCCCACAGCTGATTATCGTCTCGCGACTTTACATACCGTCTATGATTTTGGTAAAAGTTTGTCAAGGCGTAGTACATATAAACTCGATTCTGAAAAAAATGCACAAGAAGTCTTTGAAATATTCTTAATTTCAATTTTATCGCATTTCTAAAATGTTCTTACATTGAAATTCGTTGGAAGCGTAAATTCGACTTCACAAGAACAAGTTGCAAGTCGATTATCCTTCAACACTTGATCGCAAGTGGTTGAACTATTTTCCAAACTTGTACAAGTTGTATAGTAAACAGTTATTTCTTTCACGTTGTCGGAGAAGAACCAAAGACCGATTCCCACCTTTTGATAAGTAATTAATCAATTAATTAAGCCACAAAAAATGTGATAAAGGGCATAATCCTTAAATGATTCGTTACGAGAGGCCCCGGAAGCCAGACAAAGGGCGAATGCCCCATTAACTAAAATTAAAATCGATTAAGACAAAATAATTCTCACAGGGATAAATAGAATTCCGATCACAAAGAATGTTGGTAATACTGTTCCTGTTTGGGAACAATGGGCACAGTTAAGGTTAAAATTACAGTCTGGTACAATTAAAAATATATATAACGCACCTGCAGTAAGGATGGGCTGCCACGCCGTGAGACGCTGCTGTTTAAAGGCTGAATCTATAAAACAATAAAATAATCCAACATAATTCATCAAGTCTACTAATAATTCATCAATATTTTCAGCTAGTAAATAATTATCAGACTTTACTTGAAGGCTTTTTGGACTCCTTGATATCCCCTCCATTTCCATTACTATCTGTCGAGGTCATCTCCATTCTGTTCTTGTTTCAAAGGTGAGTAGCAAAATGTCACAATTCTAGCAGATTAGCTTGAAACGGCTTCTCCGGACCGTTTTCAACTATCAAGTCATGAAGCTATTTGTCAATAACATTGACTAAAACCTACAGTGCAGACTCCATATAGCCCGAGTCAGGGACATAGTCCCTGAATCAATAAGTCAGAGCCCACTTCTAATTTTTTTCCGACCGACATAATATCACCAACTTCCGTGTTGTGGATGGTTAAAAGTTTGTTAGATAGTTTCTACTATTTGGTACCAAATTTTTGAATTAGTTACAAATCATGTGCCTTGACCACCATGACCAGTGGGCTTCTTTAACATCATGAAGTTCTAAGCTGTATGCATGTGCTATCCAGCAGTGGTTTTCACTTTTTCAGCCTCCATATCAAATTTCAGCTCAATATAACGATTTTGAAAAATCAGTATGGGTCACCCGATAGGGTCACTCTGGTTGCACTTTGCTCACTTTTAACTTCATATTCTTTAATTAGAAGCCATTAAGTATCATTGTGCCGGATTCCATCTTTTTAAAGCAATTTCTAAAAATGGGTATGGGTTACCCCATAGGGTCGCTCCTGATAACAATTTTACCAATATCATATCATATTCTTTCATTAAACCCCATAAGCAACCTCTCCACCAAATTTCAGTTCGATATGATGGTTTTTAAAAATCGGTATGGGTCACCCCATAGGGTCGCTCAAGATGAAAATTTTTCCAACTTGAAGTCATTTTTATCTAGTAGGAGCCATTAGCAACCTCTGTGCCAAATTTCAGCTTTCTACGACAATTTTGAAATTTTGGTGCATAAGACCCCACCTACTCCGATGACCCCCACCGGTCAATCACTGGACCGATTTCGCCCATCTTCGAACTCGTTTCCTAATTTTGTCCAATATGCATGTGGTAAAAATTTCAAGTCAATCGGTTCAGCCGTTTTGGCTCTATCGTGCCGGACAGACAGACGGACAGACAGACAGACGGACAGACAGACAGACGGACGGACATGACGGTTCCATAAGCCCTGACTCGGGCTAAAAAGTAGTAATCAGCCTTCGTTTGACCTGCACATTAAATGCGAAATTAAAATTTTTGTGATCAGTACATTCAGTACTCACTACTCGGTATGAGTAATAATATTCTGTCAACTTGTGAATTTGCTATAAAGCAGCAACTTTTATTTTTATAGCAAAGTTGCTGCTAAATTGTTGTACCATATTATATGATTCGTTTCGTATGGTTTGAGTCGGTATCGGAGGACATATTAATTGAGAATTTTTATTATCTTGTATATTATATGATATAATATGTGATATGGTATAACAAATTGTTATTAACAATCACAAATTTTGCTTTAAAACGATATAGGTAAATCCTTACCTTATTTAAAAATAAGTCTGGCATCCGATAATAAAAGTTTAGAGGTTATTACATTTTTATTCTTATTGAATTAAAGTCGAGTGTAGAAAGGAATTATATTTTATAAACCTAACTAAACTGAAGGACTGATTTATAGACACTGAATTATAGTACACACGTATTATGTAGTATATGCGATATTGTGGTGCAGTATACTCCTATTTAATACGTACACATCATACTAGTTGATTATTAATCCGTCCTCCTAGCTCAAATATTAGTAATTTGTTAAACACTGTGATATAGAATGGATGTATCAGCTCTATTTCACGGAAACAACACTGCCTGTAATTCGTCCTTAAAATGCTGCTGCAGTGAAATATCGATAGTAAATAGTAAAGGGCAACATTGGCGCATGCTAAATACTGCAGAAAATATATCAAAATTAGCACACGACGATTCAGCCCAGCTCAGTGTCAGGGTTTTCCTATACATCCATGGGGTTTTGTGTGCTTTTTTGTGCAACTCGCAGGGCAATGGAAAGAAACTATGCTTTCACCAATAATGAACGTTTATTTCAAATATGACTCCAAATTTTTACAATGAAAGAAAATGCTCTTGTAATTCTTCAAGTTTCAGCAGTTAACCCCAGAGAAGAAAGAAAAATCACCATCTGCACGTCATCAAGTGGGGACTGGTTCATTGCTAAGAAAACTATAAAACTTGTAGAAATTTGTAGCTTTAAATAAATATCTATATGCATAATTTTAGAACGTACAGTCTGGAAGTTTGTGCTCCCACATCATTTGTATGTCGTTCAATGAACGAGCTCCTGCGAGGATGTACTCTGTTTCAAATGAGGGTTTTATTAGTAATCTGTATGCTGACCGTATGAAGCAATTCTAAAATATTAAATATTATTTACTTGACTTTGATGAATCTGTCGAGGAAGTAAAACAGGAACCCCACAATGACGCCTACAATGCCCAAGCCAAGCGTAAACCATGCAACAAAAGGCTTTCGGGTACCCAGAAAAGTGGTCGTAGAGAAAACAACGGACTTCGTCCCATTGAAACGTGCCACGGCAAAATCTGAGGAAGATGGGTAATACAAATTATTAGGGATTTGTTGATAACTGGAATATTTGCTAATAATAATATTTAGATGCATATATGTATTGGTAATACTATAGTCTATGTGAAGTGTGTAGTTTCCTGAGCAAAGAGTCTTCTCTGCATGCTCGCATCCAGTCGTAATCACTGCATATAATTTGCGGAAACGTGCCATTGGTGCTGTAAAAATTACAAAATTTATAAGCTGAATAACCAGCCAGCAACTGTTGACTGTGGAACTGAAAGGAACGACTATGTACCAGGATGCATCCAGTTGATAAAGTGATTATTTTTCATTCCACCTCCCTTCCACCATTCCTCATACACCTTTTCAGTCCAATCTCTGGGTTTCATGAAAAATTTTTGAAACATTTCTTGATGGGGAGTTGCACTGCCTTTGTAGTTAGCCATATTAATTCCTGGAGGGTTTTTGTACTTGTGATCTTTTTCATTTTGCCACACAATCTTGTTTGAATTCAAAGCAATCTCTTTTCCTGATTTGTCGTGCATTAGTTTAAATTTATCGCTGAACATGGAATTTGCAATTGCACCACAAGGGAAGTAGTACTTATACTGATCAGTTTCTGCTGGAATGCATCATTTAGTCAACTTTCCCGGAGATTGTTGAGTATTTAATTTTGTTATGCTTACCTTTATTGCCCAAAAATGGATCCTTGCACCCGTCATGAGAAGGTTTGTTAATTTTCGTGGGGTTTTCTGGGTTATTAAAAATCATTCCAGCAAGTTGTAAATCATCTCGACTGCTTACATAACTCCTGTGATTCTATATTTTGGAATTAATTAGAAGTCAAGGGTGCGAGTCGATATACATAATTCTACCTGATAAAAGGGATCCAACTCATAATATACATAAACTGGGACCTGGGGAGAAGAACGTCGTCACTTCTTCTGGTGACACATAACTGATTTATCTGATTTTTACCTGTAAATCATTTGGAATTTGGAATTTCCTTTGACAATTAAAAGGTTCGCCTGTTAAACAAGATGAGCAAGGCCCTTGTGAAACCATGAGTTGATTTTCACAAACAATGCAGGCTTCGGTTTTGGAGTAGTTGACCACAACGTCTTCACTTTGTGCCAGCACAATATTAACGAGAGCAACTCCAACAGCCGTGATAACCACACCCACTCCGACAAAGATTTTCCATGAAGTTCGGAAATTGATTATGGGCTGCCAAGTGGGAAGCTTTTGCTGACTCAACAGCGAGTCTATGAAAATAATTATTATTTTCATGTGTAATTATTACACATGCAGAAACGAGAATTAGATATATAAAACGAGTTAATTTGGCTCTCAAGATATAACTAACCAGGTCGTTTGTTTTTTGTGCTTAAAAGCTTCATGCTCTCCTTTATAAATTATTAAAATTTAATAATATTTAATATTATTATTTAAAATTGACTCGAGTGTACTCGCCCTCTTCAACCAACTCAAAAATCTTTAGCATGATTGCACCAACGATAAATTCGTTGTTATAGTACCTACAGTACCATAAAGTACCATATCGGTTTATATATCCTGTATCATATCCTGTCAAGGTACGTTTCGTATGAATAGTTATGTTGTTATATTTGGCTTGCAATTTTGTTTTTTATTCATTAAAAACAGCATACAAAGGCCTAATGTTTAGCTTATCTTATGACTTTGGTGCACAGCACACATAGACTACTATATAGTTTACTCTTGGAGAACACACCACAATTTTGTGTAAATTAAAATATCGCGTAGTGTGGTCATCTAGGACATATAGGCTCTATATTTAGTGCACCTAAAATTTATACTTTAAATTTTTCTCTAAAATAATAAAGCGAAATATGGCATCGGAATTTGAAACAACGTGAGACCACTTTATGAGCCAGAGATTGTTGTTATTGTTCTAAGGTCTATAACTTTTAAAGTCAGATGCCATCGTGTCAAAACAAACTATAAAATACCAATTACTTCAATGCAATTGGTGGAGCTATTATTGTGTATTTCTTTTCAATGTTGGATTTCTTAGTTTAGCCTCTAATATGCGGTTTTCATGTTGCATTTGGGCCATATCAGCTTTCAACCGATTCAACTTATCTTCAACACTTTTTCCTTTTTCAAACTCGAGCTTATCTTCTTCTTGCCGTTGTTGCCTTTTTAAATTTCCAATTTCTTCCAACGTCTTGATAATTCTAGACAATGAAAGTAATACATAAATTAGTCAGGAACTAATTATGGGAATTTTGTGTACAAAATTTTGTATGCAAAAATGTAGAAGAGCAAAAATTCTTAATTAATTAAGTAAATCATCGGTCGGTGCCTTGATGGATTGGAATTTAGACAAATTGCTTGTAAATAATTAAACCGATACTCTTACCTAGAAAAATCAGAATGAATGGCAACTAAAAGTTTATAGGAGTGGGCAACATTTTTATCCTTGTCTGCGACCTAAAATGTAATATGCACATTAAGATAAAAGAGAATAAATATTTAAATATGTACACATAAATAGAATTTCAACAGTGCACAATCTTACTTTAAAAATTAATTCGTCTGCAACAGCAAACGTTCTATCCAATCGACCAGACAATGTGTTGATATCCTTTTGAATTTCTTTGGTTTGGCCGAGTACTTTTGCTATTTCCTTTTTCTGTTTTTTAATGTTTCCAATAATTTCCCCAATTCGTCGTGTGTATGAGGACCTATAAATAAATAATAATTTTGATCAAAATAATTTTTATTGTCAACATAATATGGGCGTGAGTGAGGAACAATAAACTGTCAGTAGTTTATGAATTTCGTGTAGAATGATTACCTGCTGAGATCCTTGGGAAGTTTTTCATATTCAATCAGTAGCTTATTGCACATGGCTTCCTTGTTTCGAGCTTCTTGTCCCATTAATTTTAACGTCGCTTTAAGATGTCTACCTTCCTCCACAATTTTATCAGCCTCCGACTAATTAAAGTAGTAATTTCATAATATTAGAAAAAGTAAAAAAAAAGTACAAGTTGGTCCATAATGGCTGATAGCAGTACATGTTTGAATGCATACCATTTCTTCGACGGATTTCTTGTTGCGAATCCTATCAATCAATGGTTGTCGATGTATTTCCCATTGTTGGGAAAGTTTCGTTAATTTTTCAACTTGTGAATCAACTGCATGTTTAACTTTCCCTAAAGCATCGTCCCCAGAAAGTAGTTGGTCCATTTTATGGAGTCTTTCCAACTGTTTGGATTTTTCATTCATTTTTAGATGCATTCGATTTATCTCTTGCTGCAGTTTTATAGAGTTTTCAGTGAGGTCACGAATATTTTTTTCCTTCTCTTTAATTAACTTGGCTTTGGACTTTGATTTTTCTTGTAAACCTTTAATGTATTCTGCTGCAGCCCTTTCTTCCTCTTCACGATTTTTCTTGTCCGCAATTTCAATCTCCTTTTTATTGTCAATTTTTGGTTTTTCGGGTATTGCTGGTTTTATTTTTGGTTTATCCAGCAGTTTAGGTTTCTCAAGTATAACATGTTTCTCCTCTTCTGGGATATCGGGGTCACCAAAATCATCATCAGAGTCTTCTTTTTTAATCACATGTGGCACAACTGGTTTAACATCTACTTTATTGCGATATTTTTCACGTTGTTTTTCGAATGTAAGGTCCGCAAGATGACTAGCATAGAATTTTAGAGTTTCTGAAAATTTACCCAAATCCCTTGTTAGTAAATGTATCCGCATACATATCATGCAATTAGTAGTAGTTATTAATCGATTTTATGTCACCCTTTGGCAAAGAGTCCACATCGACAGCGATTGGAAGCTTGATCCCGTCCACCTGAAGACCTCCATTCGTATAACCATCTCCGCTCCCATCAGTAAATTGATTTGATGCCTTTTCCACTGCTATTTTAGACAACAAGGTCTCAATTTGATCTCCAACTTCACTGTCTCTGGGCAGCTTTAAGTAAAGAAATGTATCATAATCAGCTTAGTTAATTAAATTTATGACACAATTTAAGTAGTAAATATTACCTTTTCTACCATGAATATCAAAATTTTCCTTGTTTCCTCTTCCGTGGGGTAGAGAAAAGACTGGCAGCCAATTTCTTCAGAGTATCCAATATCCTAGATGATTGGATAAATTCGCAACAATACATCAAAGTTTAATTATCGTGTAAATTCACACACTCACACTGTATCACATTCAGATGTAAACTATAATACCGTGATAAGTTGAGCAATTTGAGAGGCCACTTTATATCGCACTGCCATTGATACATTGCAATCGAAATCCGGAACATCTGCATCAGGACGACTGAGTTGAAGGCATTTAGTCACACATTGTATGAACTGAGGTGGAGAAAGTTCAGATACTTTTGAACCAATCTCACTGCAAACAAAAATAAATCCATATACATACAAATTTTAACCCCCAATTCAATATTACACAAATATTCATCAAATTCACCACCCAACGTACCATCCAATGTGTTTTAAAGTATAAATTAAAATTCCGTCAACTTCATCCATCCTAATCCTAGTCCCGTTCCCTCCGGGTCAGCGAAGATCATTAAAATTAAAATAATAGTAAAACCCTCCCCTTTAATATTCCCTAAACCTGATGAAATTTATTTAATGTTTGTGTGTGTAAAATGTACACTTTATTCGCATTTAAATAATGCTGAACAATAAGTAATTACGGTGTACGGTACTAGCCTAATGAATGTAGCAATTTATTGTAAATTGATACTGTTTCGACAATAAAAAAAGATGAACGATTTTTGATTTTATTCTGTATCAGTGTTATTATTATTGACATGTGTACGACTGCCACCAACTAATCCAGGCTGGGCAATTGGAGAACTTTTTCCGGTTTTATTACACGGAGGGAGGGAAGTCTTGTCAAGAGATTTTGCATGCGAAAAGCTTGATGGCCATTCCACATGATTCTCATAGTACTCTGTGAAACTGAGCAGTTGGCGCCCAACAAGCGAAAAGCCAGCATTTCTTTGTGTGCATATATTGTTGTCATTTGCAGTTCAACTTGAACTGTTCAAGTCGTTGAGGTGAAAGCAGTACAGCAAACTTTTGAAGACCTTGGCAAGATTCCCTCCAGTCAGTATTAGCAGGTTTGTTTGTAAGCTACACATTTTAATGATGTGGTGCATATCCTTATAAAAATTGGTTTGTGAAGATAGCTGTTTAACTCGATCTTATAATAGCGTAAAAGGGGACCGGGCATAGCAGAAATGAGTAGAGAAAATGGGGGTCACGATCAACTCGCCGACGCTGCCAGCAGATATGCATCAGTGGGTACAAGTCCTATGACGATACCTTGCACTTCGTCCGTCGGTACCAATACTGGGACGGCCTCCGTAAAAATTGAGGCAAATGGCAAGGGGTCTCGAAACCTGTTTCCCGAACAAGTTCCCGAGCTCTTGAATATTAAGGACAAGGGGTCAAATATGTTACCAATTACGGTGAAAAACGGGGAGGCCGGTGTCATCAATGGCAAGGGGGACAATCAAGAAGGAAGCAACGTGATTGTAGATGAGCAGCAATATTTGGATCTGATTCGAAAAATTCTGAACGAAGGAGCGATTCGGGATGACCGTACCGGGACAGGTGATAAAAATAAAAATTTTATTTAAAAAGCTAGTATTCGTTTAGTTGGAATTATTATGATTTAGGGACTATTTCCATTTTTGGGAGCCAGTTGAGATTCAGTTTGAAGAATGGTTAGCTTAAAAGTTTGGTTCCTGTCGATTTCAAATCAGCATTATTTGAGGTGCGTATGTAATATATATGTAATATAGACGTGATTCCACTACTGACCACGAAGCGTGTCTTTTGGCGAGGTGTGGTGGAAGAGCTGCTCTGGTTCATTAAAGGAAGTACCAACGCTAATGAGCTAAATGAAAAGAATGTCCACATCTGGGATGGGAATTCGTCCAGAGAATTTTTAGACAATCAAGGATTCACAGATAGAGAGGAAGGTGACCTTGGCCCAGTTTACGGGTATCAATGGCGTCATTTTGGGGCTGAATACAAAACAATGCACGATGACTACTCTGGGCAAGGTGTTGACCAATTGAAGGAGGTGATTCGGATGATCAAAGAAGACCCATACTCGAGGAGAATTATCATGTCAGCTTGGAACCCTAGTGATCTTCCACTCATGGCACTTCCTCCATGCCATTGCTTTGTTCAGTTTTATGTAAATCCTGCAAAGAAGGAACTGAGCTGTCAAATGTATCAACGGTCGGCAGATGTTGGGCTTGGTATGTCAGTTTATTTATATTTTTAGCAGAGTCAGCTCAGAGCTTATGGGAACGTCATATCGGTCTGTTTCTGTCTGTCCGGCTGTGACCCGCTAGCGGAACCACTGAACAGATTTTAACCAACTTATTCTTAAAGTGTGTATCCCTTCAAGGCCTTGAACGGGCTCGATGATGATCGATCTGGTGATTAGAATTAAAATAGAACTCAGACTCAGGCTAAATGAAGTCTGCACTATAGGTTTATTATTTATGCATTTTTGTAATTTTGATTAAATACTAATAGCATTAGTATATTATTTGTTTAGTCTAGTGACATATTGTCCAAAATCCATGACATGTAATTAATTACATTTGTGAAACCTGCAGGGATTCCAGGCTGGCCGCATAATTTGTTCTGGAAAGAAACGATTCCAATTTGATAAATTCTTGATTGGTCACTCTCTGGTATCATGATTGGTTTAAGTAGTGGTCCACCATCCTCATCAGAACAAATTCCTTTGTTGGCAGTGCTGGTTGCACAGAACTATTAGAATGCACACTTAATTTGCAGTTTTTGTTGTTATTACATTAATTTCATAATGATCAGAATGTAACCCTTCCAGGTCCAAATTTTGCATGAGATATCTTATAAAATCGATCACAATATTCCCTCAGTTCGAACGTCATTTCCGTTACTCGTAGATTGCGTGGATATAACATGTACGAAGAAGCCAAAGAACCTGCACGCATTTCGACATAACCATATGTCTAATACTAATTATGATAATAATCGTGTACATATGTTTGCACATAAATCGTTGATACCTTCTTCCAATTTTCCCCAACTAACTGAAACGGTCTTGTTGTTTTTAAAACCAGCGAACAATGTCTCTGCTTTGGGTAAACAAACTGGTCTCATGTAACCTAAACAAAACAATTGTCATATAAAAACATGTGTGCAATTTCCTGTTATATGCTGGACATATGAAAGTTTAAGAAATATCTTGAACCACTCCAACACACTCTCAGTGACTGTCACGCTTTTTGCCAACTTCACAAGACCAATGTCATGTTGTCTTGTTGGGAGAACATAGTCAGGATGAATCACAGTGTCGCTGACTTCCACAACCTTGGATATCGGGAAGCACTTTCCATTGTCGCAATGTGCATTATGTCCTCCAAGTACGATATTCGATCTGCGGGATGGGATTTATGTAGACAAAGCATGAGACATATACTTAAGAATTATTGAAATTTAAGTAGTATACACTTTGACTGCACTGTTGAGGCCGATTAGGCATGTTGCACTAGTCAATACATATCGGGAACTAATTAGGGTTCCAGAGCAAACAGGCCATCTTACGCCCTTGTTATCTGCATTATATTTATGCTTTTAGTCGTTCTCGTTCTACGGCAATATATATATGCATACCTTCCACGACTACTCGGACCATCCACGGATACTTTGAAGGGGTATTCGGTTTCGTGAGAAATACTTTACTGCCACTTTGTTGCATTGAAGTTGCAATATCCTCTTTATCCGCAAAGCCGCATTCCTCTTCTGCGGGAAGCAAGAGGATGTTTTTATGCTGGGTGACATCAATGCCTTTTCCGGTTGTTAGTTCTTTTGAGCCAGGGACCAGTGCATCCTCGTTACCCTCTGTCACACCTTCGTCATAAGCGTCGCATTTTACTTTATTCGTCACATTCAATTCTAGAATTTCTCTTGGTTGATGATAATTAACTAAAACTTACCTATTCCACCAAAGATTAGGAGGGCTCCTGCTATGATTAATACTGTCGGGTTCATGCTAAAAAAATAATGACTCGAAATTGGACGAAGTCGGTTGGTGGTGAAATTAAGTTAAAAGAAAAACAGAACAAAAACCGGGGAGGCTTCTTCCGACCAAATCATTTTTAATAATTATTGCCTTCATATAGCATATTAATTGACATGTGTAAAATAATTTGGTCTTTTATTGCTGCAGGTGTCCCATTTAACATTGCCAGTTACGCCTTGTTGACGAAACTGATTGCTCATGTCACTGGATTGATTCCGGCTGAGTTTGTCCACACGCTTGGTGATGCTCATGTGTATTCCAACCATGTCGATGCCTTGAAAATACAGCTTGAACGAGCTCCACGACCACTGCCTACCTTGAAATTCAAACGCGAAATTTCCGACATTGAAATGTTTACTGTCGATGATTTTATCCTAGAAGGATACAACCCTCATGGAAAAATCGAAATGTCCATGGCCGTTTAAAATTCTAATGTTTCACCAAACTATTAAAAAGTGTCTTCATTGATCACTAAAAAATATTGTATTCTTTAACTATTTAAATATAGTCTTTAATTTGATATCAAACTTTGTATTATCGTAATGAAACGTTTTTTTATTGATACGTAATATTTAGTGTGCATATAATAGAGTTGATAAAATTTCTCCTTCTTTCAAATTACATTGTTAATGCGTCTCTTATTATGTAAGGGTTTTCATAATGTATTCATAAAAGTGAAATCAGGACAAAATAAGCAAGTATTACATCACTTGGCTTGAGCTATTTGTGAACTTTAGAATTTGAAGTAATAAAGTTATTGTCAAACAAGGAAGCTAAGTACATATAAGTTCAAAATGAAGCATATTCTTTACAAGCAATTATTCTGGACGACTGTTTGTGCAATAACTTTGAGTTGCAGTTTATTTTCGTCTACTGCACCAGGTACAGCATTATTTATCTGCACTATCCTTGCAATTTGATTTTGTGACTGACATCGTAAATTCTGCAGTAAATGAACAAATCTGTTTTGCATCCACACATTTTGCAGTTGGTGAGGCCGTTCGGCTGAACCGAGCTCGTCGGGCATTCAAATGTTATCAAGGAATATGCAAAAAGCCACAATTATCGGAGCAACAACTGGTGCGTCCATTTGTTCCAAGTCCTCTAGAGTTGGAATACTTTGCTCTCCAGCAAGAATCCTTTCCTGACAACCAAATTATGGGATCTGATGAAGACGACGACGGTACAACGGAGTCTTCAGAAGGTGACGATTCCGATACTGAGACTACAACTGAAAGTCAGGAAGATGATAATTCCAATATTGAGAGTACAACTAAAAGTCAGGACGATGGGGATGCTGATTTTGTTTCAACTACTGAGACCACATTTGAAGAAAAAGATGAAGATCAAGGAGTGACCGATAACTAATAACTCGAACCCAAATTCACCTTCATTTGAATAAAGATTAATGCTTGCAATATTGATAATTATAAACTCGCACAAGACGTACGTATGTCAATGTCATACAGATAGCATCGCTCGAATCCAAATACATTTGAATAATAATTATTTAATATACCCCCTATGCAGATCTTGAAGTTGAGAACGAAATAGTAGAATGAATTCCATTTCTATGATCCATACACATGTATGCATGCATGTATTTAATAGGGAGGAAATTATAGTTTTGTTGTCAATATATGCAGGACTAAGGCACATACCTCAAAACATTAGAAAATTGTATTTATCTACATAGTTTTTGGACTAGTCTAATGTAATTAACCTTTAAAGGTTATGCCCCATGGATTCCTTAATTTCTCGTTAGTTTGCTCGAAGTTCATCCTCAGTCTGTCTTCCACCACAAAAGCAGCATATTAAATTTGTGATTTTGCACATCCAAATTTTCTTTTTGTCATTACTCTTAATTTATAACGTACCACAAGTCAAAACATTCTCAGCGTATTCAATTTTAACTGCCGTTTTATAAACTGACGATGACAATGCTACTGGAAAAAATGGAGACATCGATGCTTCAGGTATTTAGTAAAGCTTTTTAACGCCTACATTTTTTCTTCTTTCTTGAAATATGTTCTCTAAATATATCAAAATTTTTGTGATTTGTTTGCTGTCTTAGATCAGGGACAAAATGTCGGCGGAGTACGATTGGGACTTTGTAATTCCACCTCACAGCCGTATTAAACAGAACATGTCGGATGTTTCAGGGGGTGGAGGATTTGTATTCTCAGACTTAAAGTTCAAAACCGGATTTCTTGCAAATGCGTATCACAAGTTGTAAGTGGTGTTTCCTAAAAATAATTGGCACATATATACATAGATAACATCGTGAGCCACTAATGCATATAATAATTACAGGATGTTTGCCATTTACTCCAACCAAGTGAACGCATACGTGATTCTTCAAAGCAAAACTAAGGACAAAAAATATGACCTTCTGCGGACGGGAAAATTGGAACTGTTTTCTCAAAATAGCCTAAAGTCCACAAAGGAGTTGAGATTCGCTTGCGACGACATGTCCCACGCTCCTAATCCTCACAATGTCTATGCCACCGTTTGGATAAACACTGACGGCAGTTGGGATGACACCATTGATCTCATGAAGCTCACGATCCGTGTTGAGTACCAAGAATGTAACATCAGAAATTATTATTTGTTTTGAACCTCAGAAAAAAATATAAATATTTATGGGTCTAAAATTGCATATCCTCTGCTTTAGTGGGAAGTGTGATTCCGTACGTAAATGAAAGTGTCTTCAATAAGCTAAAACTGCATACTTCCCCCCTGGAGCTGGACGCGAGTGATTTGTTTTTATCCAAGAGTTTGTCCGACACCATGTTTGTTTGCAATAATGAAGTATTTCCGGCTCATCGATTTATCTTATCGTGTAAGTTAGCCGACGCATTATTATTTGCGTAATATAATTCAATTAACGATTCATTGCTTTAAAAAATAAATATAGGCAAAAGTCCCGTTTTCAAACAAATGTTCCAACATGAAATGATGACAGAGACGAGAGAAGGACGAGTAGTAATTGATGACATGACCCCAAACGTTCTTAAAGAACTACTTCGATTTCTGTACTGTGGTCAAGTTCAAAATATGAAAGACATGTGCCTTGACTTGTTTAAAGTTGCGGAAAAGTACGATATTCAAATGCTGAAAAATCAATGTGAACTTGCTCTCATCCAAAATATTGACTATCAAAATGCAATGAGCATGTACATGATCGGCGACATGTACAACGGCGAGGTCCTCAAGGAGAAAGCTGTTCAGACGCTAAAAATGTGAGTTGTACATACTTATTGTGCAGCCAAAAGGTTTAAAATGTAGATTATATAATAAGCAATGGTCGTTTTTTAAATTTTGATCATGTATATTTGCTGCAGGCACAAATCAACAGTCGTTCCTGATACGGAGACATTCAATGAATTTACACAACGGTACCCCGAACTTATGTTTCAGTTGTACAATCTGTAACCCCAATAATTATCCAGTCTCACGAATATCCTTATAAAAGTTAATGCTTTATACATAATTCAATATTTCTGCCACAGCCACGTTGCCATTTTGCAACAGAAAAAGCTAATATGTAGTTACAGAATTATTTTAATATTTTTTAACGCTATTATAAACAAGTAAAAGTCACTAAAGCGTCTTAGATTAGATTATATTTTATTTACACATTTTTATTGTTTTACAATAGTTGCAGGAATGATTTGCTTCTAATTTTGTTTGTTTGTATGTGTGTGCTATGAGTGCACATTAAAATTTTAATGTAGCTTCGAGTAGATATTTTGTTATGAATTTTAAGTACACTAGAGAGCCATCGAATGTTACAATTTGTCGTACATATTTATATGGAACCATTTTTATTGTTTTTATTGCGTGTGAATGTACTAAAACATATATATTTCAAGCTTGTATTCTCATTCATTAGCATCACAGATATTGCTGTGAAATAAATACATTCAGCATGCCTGATGAAATTGAGAGATTGTTACGAGCTGCGTCATTAATATTAGCATAAGCGTTCCTGCCGTTGAAAATGGCGGAGGAGTCAGCCTTTTGGTCGCGGAAGGCAAACATAACTTTCTGCGGGGGGCGGCCCCCAAATTGAGTTCGATACCAAACCCACCATTATAATTGGCACTACTGGAGTCCAGATCATTAGCAGTGCCATTTTGATTAAGATCTATCAATGTAGTCGTGTTATTCGTTATTAAATCGTTGTTGGCGAGGAATTCCTGAGTATCATCGTTTTTATGGATGTCTTCGTCATGGGCAAATCTTGCACGAAGTGCCCTTTCCACTCTCTCTCGCAAATGATGAATTGGTAACACGGTCGTGCCGGAGGAAATTTTTGATGACTGATTGCTTTCTAGTGTCGGTTCGATGAGGAATTGTATCCGGCCCAAAGACGAACCTGAATTGGGGTGTTGTTCGACCACCTTTGTGGATTTCGCGTCTTGGCAAGTGAGACCTGCACTGCATTGCTCAGTAGAGTTGCATGGCCAGTTGATAAGCCGTTTACAAGTTCCGTCCTGAAATACCATTTGTTCCACATGGGTATCTGTCAGTCGGACCATGAGGCATCTGCACGTCCCACCCACACACTGAAGAAATGGGTTTGAGTGAAAGCAAACGTCGTCGGTTATATCTGTAACCTCAGAGTTCCTGCAAGGGTCGCCATGCTCCAGGTTCCCAGCCTGGAAAAATTATGGAAACTTAAAATATACAACCAGTGTGCAGTAATTGTTTTATATGTTCACCTCTGATGGTGGTTCAAGCAAGGCGAGGTCCTTCATTTCCAAGATTTCCATTCCTATAATATTCATGCAAGAGCTGAATCCTGCTAACAGCAGTATAAGTGAAATCATGGTAAAGACTGACAACATGCCGGAGATTTAACTCATTTAGACATCAATTGTTTTTGTCATTCATGGATTTCTATTTCATAAATAATACACAATTCTTGGATTTAGTTGATGTTTCCATGATTTGACATGGGTGTTTAGTGTAGAAGATTTTAATTTACGTACAGTGTAGACTTCATTTAGCCCGAGTCAGGGACAGAGTCCACTTCTAAATTTGTGTCAAAATTTACCGGACGACCCCGTGGTGGGGATAGTCGATTGGTTGCTAAATATTTTCTATTATTTTGCCCCAAATTTTCGAAGTGTGTACAAATCCTTCCCAGTAACTACGAGAACCAGTGGGGCTCGCTTCTTTCAAAGCTAGAACTTTCAAACTTGTATTTGCTACTCAAGTTATTCTTAGCATCCATACCAAATTACAGCTGAAATAGCAATCACCCATCACCCCACCCGTAAACCATTAGACCGATTTTGTCGATCTTGGAACTCATACATGGCCTTGTTAGGATGCACATTTTAATACCAAGTTGGTCTAATAGCAACATTGCATCTTACATTGAATGCGTGCCCAGAATTTACTTAGGATTAGAACCCGTTTCAAATTACATTTAATAGCTTAAAATCATATTCTGCATTTACAATATACATATCATCCATTATACATTTCTTTTGTTGTGTACTACAATTTCGGGCTAAAACTGTTCATAGATTTCGGGCGATGTGTTACATCGAGAAATAGATATATTGACCAAACTTGATTTCGTTCACAACGTTCACCCACCGAGCATAACACAAAATTCGCCGAACCAATCTAACACAATTCTACATTAATTAATGGTGGCAATTCCTATTTGATACTTGCTGCAAAAACCCAAAAAATGAGGATTTTTGAAGTATCTAAGGAATCGTCACAACGTTATAATCAGAGCTAAATAAGCGTCTAATTGCGTTGGGTTCACTTTATAATTTTATCATTGTGAGTATACATAAATCGCAGGATTCGGATTTTGACCTCGGGAACAATTTAGCTAAGAATTAAAATGCCTGTCACGCGGAAGTCTGACGTGAAAGGAGGTGGTGGCGACATTCGTGGGACGAAAACATTTGATCGGAGAAAACAGAGTAGTAGGAACCCTTCGATTCCTGGTGCTTCGGCTGCTGGGACAACTGCCCCGTCGGGTGGTGGTGATACTGCTGGGTAACGGCCACCACTTGGATTTATAGATGGATTCAGCTTATTTTTTAATCAAGATGACAAATTATAATTTGCATATCACAGGACGCACGAAGATGATGACGCACTTGCCGCATTCTTTCAAGAAGTAAAACAGGATGAAGCAGCAATTTCTCAAGATATTCGGAAAGCAAGCATAATTCTTGGACAGAAGTTTTTCAAATTGGGACCGGATGTATGTACAAAAAAGATGCTATTAGACTTTCCTGAATTTGAAGTTCTTTTTCCTCTTTGTATTTGACAGTTCATCGATGAAGATTTCCTAGAATGTACTCCTGTGCCGCTGTATGAGCAAATGATTCCTGTACTTGACTATGATTCCTACTTGGACAAATCAGACGACCTTGTGCAAGTTGTGAGGATCTTAAATTAAGACGCCAATTTATTAATGTCTTTATTTTCCTTTGTAAAACGTAACTTTATCATCAACTATTTCTTTGTTTAGACTCCAATAAGACCTCAAACATTCAGTGCATTATTTGCATTTTATCGTGATCGAGGTCCGGCTCTGAATTGGGATCCAAGTTTAACTGATTTAGAAGAAGATTGCTTTTTCCAGGAAGTTATCAATTTTCCAACCAGCAAATTGGCGTGTATGATGTATAGTAAATGCGTTATAAGTGGTTCGTCAGTTCATTATAATGACAATTTTTCATAGATATTTTACCACGGGAAAGGAAAAAGGACCGCGTGAAAAAGAGACGAGTCAAGATATTTAAGCCGAATGGAGATTTCGTAGTTAAAACAAGACTCTATATTGACCTAGTGGAAACACCGACAATATTTCTTATTGAGATTGTGGGTTCTTGGGTCCCTGAAAATGATGCTAACATTGATGCAATTAAAGAAAGAAATGACAAATATGACGAGGTGGGTACAGAGTAATATTCCAGAATTTCTCAAATTCACAATTTACATGAATGCGTGGTCGTTCTTGATGAAGGTGATTCAACGCCACTCCGTGCCTGCAACTGCGTCATTGGCTCATGATTACAGCCAAACTTTTGAAAGTTACAAATTGAGCGAGTACACAGACTACAAAATTCAAGGATGTGCAGATATTGGGACAGAATGCCACATGTACTACATTGAAGACGAGTACAGACGAGTTGCTGCAGAGGAAATTAAGAGAAAGATTCGTGAAAATGGTATGGAATCATTAAATACAACGAATTGCCTGAATTTACAATTTTTATGTACTACGTATGACCATGTACTCCTTCTTTTTCCAATCTTATAATGTATAGAGATGTTATAATGTATGCATGTTTTTGTGTACATATGTGCAGAAGAGCAACAGGCAAGATTGGCTACCGAGAAAGCTCTTCAAGATGCCCCAGAAGTCAAGAACTCGGATGAGGATTCCTCTGGGGATGAGGAGGACACCACCGTTCGAGTTGACCTCTCACTTTACAAGGATGACGAAGACAGGGATGAGGAGAAGCAGATATTGATAGATGAAGCAAGTGCGGATGAAATACCAATGAGCAGCGACGATGACGATGAGTTTGAAATCCGTCTCCCCTTACAAAGTAAGCATTTGGTTACAATCTGTGCATATAAATTAACGGAGAACTAAGTATTTGTCAAGTTGCACATACTTTGTTCAGCTATTTATGACCGGAAACGTCACCACAATAAGCATCGCGGGCTGCGGATGTATCCGGACATAAGTTTCTCCATAATTGCACTGGAACGAATTATTTGTATGGATTCACAACAGGAAAACCAAGCAGACATGAGAGGGTTCACTCAAGAAGAGGTCAAAATAGTGATTGGACCTGCAGTGGAAGAGGCGGTCGGCGATGCTGTCGATGAAGACGTCATGGTCGACCTTCTCATTCAGCAACACAGAATGCAAGAGCAGCTGGAGAAACCCGAGGGTGACCAAGGGGGACATGAAGCAGGAGAGATTACGGAGGCAGACATTCTCCGGATGCAAGCGGAAGTTGAGGCTGTCGAGGAGGGTGCAGACGAGGATGCAGAGATGGCTGGTGGAGGCAAGAACGCTGCCTCGAAAGTGGAGGAACCCACGATCACTGCCACCACCGTTGAGGACGATGAGAAGGACGCCTTTGACTTGGCTCTGGACGATGGTGCCATAATGGAACATGATGATGATGGTATGGTCGCGCTTTTGGACGAGCAGGTGTGTGCATAGATGTACAGTTGATTACGGTTTTGAGGTATGTACATATGCATTAATTAATGAAATTTAATGAATGAACAGGGTGGAAATCGGCAAGGTGGCGGAGGACAAGATACTGAAGATCGCAGCGGGTATTTAGAGCGTTTCGGCGCGGATGATTACGACAGTATGAGCAGTCGTCTCTCTGGTGAACGAGGAGGACAAGTTGTTCTTGGGAATTTGCGATGCGAGTGGACCGACAGTGCTGAGCGAGAAACAGATTTCCGCGACGAATTTAATGAAGCCAAAGCCGCTGAAGAAATTATTGTGGAAGAAAAACTTAACCTTCCATCCGTGAATGATGATGATGATATTGAGTACGTGCCACCCACGCTTCCGGCCGACCCTGCGGAGATAGCTTTAGAAAAGAAGGAAATGTTTGAAGGCTTAGTTCACACGTTTCCTGACCTTGTCAAGATTCCAAAAGTCCCCACCCCAGAGGAGATCAAGGCGCAGGAGGCCGCCATGGTAGAGCAGGAAGATGATGTTTCAGACCAAAGTGATGGAGATGAAGATTCTCGACTCTCGGATCATGTTGGATTCGACGAGGATGTCGAGGACTCTTCAGACAACCTCTCTCCAGATGATGCTGCCGAGGTGGCTGCATTCAAGGACTTGTCCGCAAGACGAAGTTCGATAAGTCGACACTTTGCTCTTAAGACAGCTCAATCAGAAATACCATCACTAATGGGTAAAAATAATCAAATCACACATAATTTTGTTAAAATTTGTTAATTAAAAAAATCAAATATATTTTCGACTTGGTCTAATATTTAGAAACTGATGGGCCACATTTGAAACAATTTTGGGAGTTTAATGCAAAGATTACAAGGGGAAAGGAGGTCACTGATATTGCTCTCCATCCAAGCAATGGGGTAATTATGCATAGTGACGTGATACATATGCACATGAATATTTGCAATAGGTTTGCCATTCTATAGTTGTATACCAATTTTATAGAATCTGATTGCTGTGTCCTATGGCACTTTTCAATTTGGGAAAGAGTCCAGCGAAGGATTGGTGTGCGTTTGGAACGCAAAAAATAATCGAAGTCCAGAAAGGACTTATTTTCTAAAATCACCTCCAACGACGCTCGCATTTTCCGAATTTTCGCCCTACATTCTTGCAGTTGGGATGTTGGATGGAAATATTGTAATGTATGACGTGAGGGAAAGCGACCCTGCCATATTGTGGAGTACTTAGTAAGTGCTGTTTCCATTTCGAAACACAAGTTTGACTGCCAATTTTTTATTATGAATCACACATTTATTATTAAATTCATGTGCTCATTTTCTCGTTATATAATGTGACAGTGCTCAAGAGGACAGACATTTAGGACCGGTTTGGGTCATTTACTGGTTGGTAGAAGAGGACAGTGCAAATGAGCTATCCGTCTCAGAGTCCATGCTTTCCTTGGGGGATGATGGTTACTTGAAACGATGGAGTATGGCGAAAGGACTAGAATCTGTCGGTACTGCTAGAAAATGCTTTGCTATTAATGCAGCACAAATGTTTTCCTTCGTTATTACGCAATTCATTCCTGCCCTGGCTTATTATTTATTATGTAACACTATGTACATGTGTTTATTTAGATGTAATGAAGGTGATGAGATCTACGATGCAAATTCCTGGGCGGAGAGAAAAGAGAAACGAGTCCCTCATCACCACACTGTCCACTGCGTATACCGTTTGCTTCTTCTCGGACAATACAGAGCTTTTTCTCCTGGGGACTGAAGAGGGATTTATCCACAAAGTATAATCATTATGCAAATAATTATATCATCAAATTTTTGCAGGCTAACATGCTTGTCAACGTTTCCAATATTCTTTCAGTGTTCCACTGCTTACAAGGACCAGTACGTGTCCACGTATGTTGGTCACACTGGTCCCGTGTACCGAATCTGCTTCTCGGTTTTCGACGAGACAGTTTTTGTAAGTTGTGGTGGAGATTGGACGATTCGCATTTGGAAAACGGATCACCCGACACCATTACTGTCCATGAACACTGGACTTGTGAGTTGTGTATTGCAATTCTTGGCATATTGAATTTGGGATTGCATTTACTGTAAATATGCAAATGAGTCAGTATATAGAATGAACAGGGAGAACTCTTATCTAATTTATTCCAGAGAACGATTTTTGACGTGGCTTGCAGTCTTTATTCTTCCACGATATTTATTTGTTGTGCAGAATTTCACATTGAAGTTTGGGACCTTTCCATCAATACCTTGGAACCTGCGGTGCAACAACACCTGCATAATGATTTGGGCTTGAGAAAAGTGGCTTTTAACGGCTCATTAAATGTGTGTGGATGTACATGTGGACAAAAATGTTATAAATTAGCTAAATGAATCTTTACATGATATGTGCAGAGTGTAATCATTGGAGACGATGATGGCGGTGTTCATATATTTGGATTGAGAAAATTTCCAAAACCTCAAATTGGACGAGGAGCTCAGGTTTTTAGTTTGAATAAATTATATGATGAACTTTTAGTGAATGACTGGTCACTGCATGTTTGATTCTGCACGCATGTTTAGATTGACTCTTTGATGGAAGCACTTCTTCCTGGGTACAAGAAACGTCAAAAGGAGACTTCTGCGGGTGATGCCAGTACGTTGGGGTCGCAAAACCTGAAAAGCGTCATGAAAAGTGGTGGTGCCAGTGCCAGTGCTTCGTCGGCTAAAGTCTCAGATACGCACACAGACGAACATGGAAGGACGAAATCAACTCGATCAGGAATGGCAAATTAATTGATTGCTAATTTCATAAAATCAAAGAATTTCATAAATTGAATTAAATATGATAAGCTTAGGAAAATCTTTGTTTTTGAATGAGACAAGTTATCTAATTTCTTAATGTAAGTTTGACTACTCTCCTCCGTATGCTACATGGTGAACTATATGAACTCTGGAAGTTTGCATGAACATTTGAATAAATTGAGATTACATGGCTGCATAAAACTAAATTTGGAAGGAATGGAATTACCATATCATAATATTCACTACGGTTTTTGAGATTAACGAAACATCGACTTTTCAATATTTTTAGTTGAACCCAAACCGTATGGGGAATTCTCATCCAAATTAAAGCTTTCTGTTTATTCTAATTTGAACTTTATTTGGACAAGCACACTGTTGTCTGCATGCACTTGAATTTACAGATATGCTGATGACAATGAACGTCAAAATGGTTTGGTTGGACTTCCCCAACCCAAGTTCCTAGATTTATTATACCATTTTAACGTCGGCATGAGATGCATGTGTACACACATACACACGTTACGCTATTAAGGGCATTTGTCCCTTTTGTGTCTGGAAAACCCCAGAGTTCAGTTTGAACTCGATCACACAATAGAAAGTGGAATGACCGAAACAAACGACAATTTCTTGAGCAGGTATAAAAGAAGAGGAAACCTCGTTCTGTGACCACACTCACTTTTTCGTTCTTGAAAGCTCACAAAGTTTTTCAACATCTTAAACTCAAAACTCCGAACAAACCTTATCGTCATTTCACAGAAATGGAATCCAGAACAAACGTTTGCTTCCTTCTCGTGGTCTGTCTCTTCACATTCTCTGTTGCTTTGCCCCACCAACCGATCGGAACTTCCCAAGTTAACAATGGTAAGTTAGTATTCAAAGTTTATCTGTTCTAGTAGAGTTCGGAAAATTTCAGAATTTTTTCAAAACTGACACTTTGATTTGAATTTGAAGATCGAAATAATAGTAAAAACTTATGTGTGTTTTGTTTTGTGCGTTGTAGATGTTGATCCGTCGGTGCCACTGTTGAGGGGGGCGAGACAGTACTACCCAGGAGGAGGTTACGGTGGAGGTTATTATCCTGGAGGCGGCATTGGGGTCGGAAGCAGTCAGGCAAACGCTGCAGCTATTTCCAGCTCCTCGTCCCTCGGCGGAGGTGGCGGATTCGGAGGGTTCCCAGGCTCGGGAACATCTTTCTCTGCTTCCCAGGCAGCTGCGAATTCATTTGGATCAGGGTGAGTAGATACTTTTCAGTTTAAAATACTTTCGCTATGCACCGAAGTGAACGTGATTCAATTATTGGATTCCCATCCTAATGAATTTTTTTTTTACTTATTTATGATTTCAGCTTTGGAGGAAAGTAATCATCTCACCATTTGTGACATCGGCGTGACATCCGCGTCGTCCAGACCTGCCTTCCTCTGTCCCCGTATTACATAGAATTATTATTTAATCTTTCCGAGTTTATTTTTCAAGTGGTGCTACTTACAAATATTTTATTCATTCTGATCTTTACCTATTTTGACGATTTATCTGCTGTAATTCAGATCAAATAACTAATGAGAATCTTATTAAATGCTCAACATATCCTATTCTTTGAATGAAATTCTTGGTTTTGTTTAAATGTGGATTTATTTCGGTTATGCATTACTTTGTCCATTGCATTTCATCGTCCATGAAACTCGCACACATGCACTTACATCGCATATTAATACCATCATCATTATTTCATCCATCTCTCTTCTTATTAACTCAACTGCATGAGACCATGAGCATCTACCATTTGGCACTTCATTTTTAGCAAATTCTAAGACAATTCTAAGTCGCAGGAAGTTTTAGACATGGCAAAAATTATTATATTAAATGTTGAATAAATACACACATATTTGGTAAAGTCTAGAAGCATGTGTACCAATCAAATTATTTGGTAGGAGATGCATAAAGTACAAACTTTCATTTTTCGCAAATCAGGTTTTAAGTTTGACATTTGTATCCAGACTGTTTTTATTGAAATTCAATTTAATAAGTCCACAGGGAAATCAGGGCATTGGATCAAAATATTTATGCATTTCAATTGGTCGCACACCCAACATGCCATAAATATTTAAAAGAGATAAATCTCCAAACTACATTCACATAGTGCGTACATTTCTATAAGTAAACAGCATTTCGTTATGAGTTCAACTCAACCAATTTAAAGTAATTTGGAAAGCCTTTGTCTTTTATTCAAACGAGAATGAAGCCTGCCATATATAAAAGCTGGATGACTTGAACGGTTACCAATTTCGCTGCGATCACCACAATCGTACACATCCATACGTATTTTCATACTTTTTGACACCTGCGAGCACGTTTCAATATGCGAATTGGTCCCGTTATTGTTTCCACATTATTCTTCGTAGTAGAAATTTCTGCTGAATCCCAGTCCGATAATGAGAAAAACAACGAAAAGAAAGATCAAGTTGGCTTAGCCCCAGCTCCTCCAAACCAATCTGATCCAAAGTATATGCTATTTTTTAAATTATGTTTCCACGTCTCAAACCCACATAAACTGTAATTAAATTAAGTTTTACTTCCTCAGGAACTCGTACAGATCATATCAAAGTTCGATTTACTGCTCTGCCACATCTCCCATGCTGTATCCAACGTCCGTGACAGAAGTCCAGCAAATAATACGAGACGCCATCAAAAATGGGAACACCGTAAAATCCGTTGGGAGCAGACATTCAATAACCGATGTGATTTGCACTGACGGGATTCCAATGTCAATGGAAAATATAAAGTACACGATTGCCAACAACGATGAAACTGCCACGGTTGGCGGAGGGGCGGAAATGAAAAGCGTCTTGGAATTTCTCCACGCTAGGAATCGAACTCTAATTCATGTTCCAACTTTTGGTACGTATCGTAAATAATTTCTTCCCATGCACAATCATATGCACAATTAAGTAGCATTCATAATAAACAAAGCGAATAAAAATTACGCAGGGGGAATAACGGTGGCTGGTGCAATCGGGACAGGAGCTCACGGGTCCTCGCTACTCCACCCCCCGTCTCTTTCAGATCAAATCGTGCGACTCACAATTGTGGATGGCTTAGGAGAAATTCGAGTCATTGATGATCCCCACGAGGTCAACGCGTTCCGAGTGCACTTGGGCCTTTTAGGTGCAATTGTTGATGTAACTCTGAAAACCGTTCCACTGTTCAAAATGGTTGTAAGAAATTATGTAGAAGGAGAAAATATTCTTTTTGATGGGCAAGCAATCAAAATGGCGGAAGAACATGACTGGTTTGAAATGTGGTGGTTCCCTTCGACAAAGAACGTCGTTGTATCGAAAGGGAACTACACCAGTGATTTGGAAACTGTTGGAAATGCTACCACTAATTTAATCCCCGACCAAAACAGCGCAGAAATCATGAGTGCACGGGACGCGTTTGAAACTCTTCAAGGAACTCGAAATAAACGGGGATTGTACGCTATCCAGGATTTTACTCAGTTTTCAATTTACCAAGACGTAGTAGGAAAACCCGCTTTCTTTACCGAGGATGGAAGAACTATTAAAAACCCAGCTACAGGTTATGCATGGCAATTGCAATCAAATAAGTGCACCAACAAGTGTCCTTGGGACAACGGGAACAATTCCGTCAATCCAGAAGAATCATCAATGGCGTTTGAAATCCAAGAGCTACCCGGAGTCATAAAAACGATGAAGAGCATTTTATCCCAAATCCAAGCAACATTTACCATGATTGGCGTATTCATCAGGTTTTCGCCCCCTTCTGACGCACTCATGGCAATTTCCAGTGGACGCCGAACAGTAACAGTAGAGTGGGCTACTCCCATGAGAAGAGACCCTTATGGAACGTCCCGCGATGGTATTGGAGCCTATCAAGCAATTCTACAGGCGATGGTACTCATCTTATTTTTACAAATGCAAAGTATTTTTCCACATATCTTTTTTTAATTTAAGGTGAAACAACACGGTGGTCGTCCTCACTGGGGGAAAAACGGGCTGTACTATTCCAACCCTGATATCATCAAAGCAACCACACCAAACCGAGAAGCTTTCATAAAGGTCATGAAGGCATACGACCCACAAGGACTATTTCTCAACAAGTTCGGTCGACGACTGCTCGGTGTGTCCAGAGAGATGGACGTGGATCCAAGTGTGAAACGTTGTGCGTTGCAAGACTACTGCATTTGTTCCAAGCACTCGGATTGTGCTCCGCTGCAGCAGTGCACAATTGTCAACGGGTATGCGGTTTGCAACGAAATTGGTGCTGGATTTCTGCCTCCCACAATAAAAAGTTACAATCCTACCAATCTGACATCCATTTATGAAGCTATCGAGAAATACTCGTTTCATTCCGAAACTATTGAAGGGGATGACGCAGAAGCAGCTCCACAATTTTCTTAGCGCTGAAATATGTATACATTTCTAATACGATTTGTGTATACATGTTCCTGTACATACTTACATTGATTTACCAGAACGCATGCCTGATTAATTTATTAAACTGTATTCCAAAAAAATCGTGTACGAGTGGAAAGTTATGGTTCAATTTTTCTCAATACCCAAGGCATGTGGAATAATATGTTTGTGTAGACGGAGGGAGTGCCTTGCTCGCCACATTCAACGAAAGAAGCTATCCCAAAGGCGTAGTAACGTGGAATGGATCTTGGCCCATCTGGACCTGGGCCCCAAATCCACCTACAAAGGTAAAACACCATTTAGAAATTTGCCACGTCATTTTTCATCTTCACATTTTTGTCTACCTCATCATCGGACCACCTGTGTCTGCAGAGCTGTGGTTCAACGTATAAAATTAGGAAATAAAACGGTGATTTATGGATGAAAGAAAGTATAATTATTCGTTTAACCATTCGCCTTTCCCAGCATCGCCCCCCGCGCAGAGCTATAAAAATTGCAAAATTGTTAAGCTGTAATACTAATTAATAAGTCATGTGCTTACTAACCCTTGACTTATCAAGGACCCCAGTTTGCCTGGAGTAGACGAAATCACAAGCTTTCCGACTTTGAAGAGTAATATTAATGGCATGTAATATGTTGGAATGCCTATGTTCACCATTTTCTACTGAAATGCGTAGTTGTTAAACTGCAAAATTTCTGAATTTTAGTGCATTTAAAAGTAGATAATTCAAACCTGATTCGCCCGATACTTTCCCCCATCCCGCAGTTGTAAATTTTGAATCTGTCCAAGCCTGGTTGTCATCTTCACTAAGAGGAAGGCAGATTGGTTGAAGGAATTCTAATTGCAATAAATTGTTATCTGCCTTCATAAATTTGCAACCTTTTGCATGTACTAATAATAACATTAAGTCAATTACTGCCAAATTTTATTTCTTCTGGAAGTCTGTAACGAAATATAAATCAAGGTCATACCCTGAATTTTGTGAAATGATTTACAATCTGTCAGAGCTCACCTAATGAGGGCGACATCATATTCATGAGTGTATTTCGCAAAATATTCATGCACTACTACATCCTCGATTGGAATAAATTTTCGTTCATTGCATTCCTCCTCAATACATTCTTTCGGTTGAAGCCTATTGTAGTTTCCAATCACGATGCTATCCCTAAATTTGGTTCAATATAATATAGCAGCAATTTTTAGCACAGGTATGTCTGCACATGTACTTATTTAATTCTCAAGCCATTCAACTTACAATGCATAGGGCGATGCAATTTCTGTCACACAATGCGCAGCCTGGTAAAGAACAATGAATTATGGAACACGCAAACCTTATTGTCTATATTGGGACATTTATTGTTTTACCGTCATAACATATCGGGAGGAAATAATAAATCCGCTGCATCTCAAGTGAAGATCCAGCGTAATACCTGAACGGATAAAATAACAACTCACGAATAGCTTACATGAATACTTTTCATAATACTGTATTTATTTTTTAATTGAAATCTCACTATTTCTCACGTAAACTTGCGCCATCCAGGCGAGAGATCCCAACCCAAAAGGACGTCCTCCCACCACTCGCTTGACCCTCGTCAACCCCGTTGCCCCACTTCCGGTCGATCCAGTTCCGGCCATCACCGTGGGCAGAATTGCTGGGGGAGGACCGCAGTCAGGGAATTTTGGCAGCAACTCTACATTTTTGTACACCCTCACGTCCACAGAATTTCCTGTATTCAACTCCTCCGAGGGTTTCACTTTATTTGTTACGGTGCAATTACTGCATATCGTAATCTTTACTTCTATAAAATTAATAATTGTTTTCATTTATACATCATTGTGTCTGTTTCCGTGATCCATGAAGTCGTATTTTGCAACCCTACTCGGAATAATGTTGTCCAAAATCCAAGGCAGATAGTACAAAACGGAAGTATACACGGATGGTTTGCCTGTTCAATCACATTTGTATAATAATAGAAGAATATTTACAAAATCTTCAGCATGCAAATGTAAATATGCTAAATGTGTTAAGGTTATTGTGTGCATATGATTTAGAGTTTCAATTTTTCTTGCACCTTGCTTTCCACATTCGACAACTGCTCCGGTGGACACAATTCCAAATTGGAAAAATCGTTCTATCGTGTCATTACTTCCTTGTAGGCTTTCGACAGGTAGCTTTTTGAAAAGGGGGCCTCCTTAATTTATTCATAAGACATCACAACGGTCATTTCATTATTTATAAATTGCATTATTCAGGTTTGTTAACTGCATGATGCAATCTGCATCGCTTCACCTGAATCGCCCTGACAGTCCCCTGTAATAATATGTATCGTGTAATGCGTAATAATAAGATACTGTGTAATAATATTTAGTAATAGTGATGATATACCTTTTCCTGGATAACCACCTGCGCATAACTAACTCGACTTGAATTAAAACTTGAACACGAATTACACAAGTGGTCTGATGTGTTTCTGAACGTCGTAAAAACTAACCTGAGAATAAGCTAATTTGCCTGTGGTCCTGCTGAAAAATCGGTTACAGTTTTCTCGCGACACGAGATTGTTTTCTACTTCCTGTTCCTTCCATGAGATCACCCTGGGCTTCCCGTCTGCAAAAGAATCAATCAAACCTTAGCTGAAGCTTTTAAAAAAATATACTGGGAATTTTAGAGGAATAAAATACCGTCCGCTTTATTTTGTGTGCCCCAACCAATCACTGTCAGTTTTCCTATGATTAGAATACATATAAGTATGTACGGCCCACATGCATCTTGTGCCTGATTTAATAAACATAAATATGAAACCATGTTTGAAATTATCATGTCACACCATCTTTGAATTTCTTGAATATGTTTTCAGTATATGGTAAGCAAATTGGCCTTGCAAAGTCTACACAAAATCATACAGAAAAATTAACTCTACACACGCAATACAAAATTATGAATAAAGTATACTGCAAATATTTAGCATTTTACCATTGAATATAACATCCTGTTTCAACCGTATCATTCCGATATCGTTTCGAACGTTTCCCTCGGCATAAAGTTCATGAACAATTGTCTCTTCGATGCCAAATTGTGTTGAGTTTGTGCAGGTCGTATTGTCATTATCACACTCGAATAACTGGCGACGATCAATATTTCCAACCGTTATTGCTCTCCTGGTTAACAATCAGAAATAGATAAATTTATAGAATCGACAGCATTTAAAAATATTTAGCATGAAAAGATGAAACTTCTTGCAGTGTTGTGGCAGTTGTGATCCGTGTGATGCAGTGCGCAGCCGTAAGGACCGTCCTAGATATTTTATACGCGCATTTATAACAAGGGCCATAAATCCAGCAAGACCTAACTACATCTGCACCTTTTGTTGATGAGGGTCCCACCACAGTGGAAATATGCATTTCCAAACGAAATATTATGAAGGTAGATCTGGACCATCCATGGATATGCCCCCACCTCGACGGCGTTCCCTCCTACGATACGCTTCCGTCTGCGACGACTTTTTTGTGGGACAACGCTGGAGAATCCACACTCGGATATTGACGGCACTATCAGATATTGAATTGAATCTCACATTAATCATAGTGAAATACTCACATTTCCCCGAGTCACCCACGGTGGAAAATTTACTACATATGTAATCCTCTTTCTTTACTACTACTTCTCGCACAGTAGCAGCAACAACTTAATTTTTTGTGACACTTTTACTTGAGTTGTGTTTGAATAACAATGGAAGCGGACGAGTCATTTTCCGACGACGACGATTTGGTCACATCACAGAAGAGGACGAGGCGGAGGGGGACACCGGAGGTCGTTGAGAAAAAGGCGAAAGTAGTGAAAGCCGGTCCACCTACGTCTGCTGCTAAATCAAAGCTGTTAGATTAGTTTCCTCCTCCTCCTCCCCTCACAACTTTGTATTTAATATTTAATCAATATTTTTAATTTGTGTTGCTAGTTCCACTGCTACATCTACCACTGCTACCCCTGATCCTAACAAACATTTGGCCGTGGAGACTACGAGAGCTCCCAACTGTGCCGAAGGGGAATTAAACCCCCGTGGAACGAAGGACAAGGAGAAGAGAAAGTCGGAAACCGCTACAAGTCTTGCCCGTGCAGACCAGACTTTCCAACCCGTCCCGTGGTCATACATTCCTGGTGAGGAGGAGATGGAAGTGGAGGAGGTAGAGATGCGATTCAGGGATGGGAGGGGGATTATTCCTAGAGTTGTGGACGATGTGGAATTGGCTGAAGAGTTCCAAATAAGGTACGTGGCTTCGTCGGATACGAGACTTGGCACAACGGTCAAAGGTAATATAATAATTACCACTTGCATGATACTGAATAATATTATAAATGATATATATTACATTAACATGTTGTATAGGTGATGGGGTCGATCAAATCAAGAAAACGATTCTGCGGTTAGTTGGGCTAGCTCCGAATGAAACCACTTCGTCTGACCTCGATGTTTTTCAAGCGTCTCCACAACTAGTTTTAACCCAGGAGGATGAGGGATTGACCGCTGGACAGAGGGAAGCTCTCTTCCAAGAGATTTTCCGCAGAGGAGGTCGTGTTGAGGTTGAAGACAAACCAGGATGGTTTTTAATTATTCACAAGGCTCCCACTACCGGGTTAATTCATTTATGTTTGGAGACACCGTATAGATCTAAAGGAGGATTGGCCTATATAGCTTCAAGGATTTGTACAAGACCAAGTAAGCATAGTTAAGGTGGATGTTTGTTGTATCTTTGACATATATTTAAATAAGGTGTCATTCTCACTAATCAGACTGTTACCAATACAACTCAACTCTTGCAAGTGATGTCCTCCCCAAATGCATGCAACATCAACCCGAATTCATCTATACCGTGATGAAAGTTACTGATTACAATCGAAGGGACGTGTTGGTGCTTCTTCACATGAAGTCAGCATTCTCTGTATCCTCGAATGTGTCCAATCAGAAGAGAGATGAAGAAATAGAATTGAATCTACATCACCTATGTACTGGGTACCCGCACTGGGCAATTTATTGTGCTACGAAGGACCTAAAAATTCGCCCAATCCCCAAATCTATATCCAAGCACCACTTTAACAACGAAGGCGAGGCTCTCAGGATGCTATCATTTGAATCGGTTAGTGAAATTGTCTCGACACTAATGTCTTGAGTAATGAGTTGTGACTTCATCATTATTTATTTCTAGACAATTGGAATGTTTATCAAACTCGCCTCCGGATCTCAACCCATCATCAATTTGGATGATTTAATCCCCTTGTGTTATGGCATGGAGGGTGAGATCGATGCACGACTAAAGCAGTTGGGGATAGAGCTCAAGATTCGTCGCCACTTGACCAAAGAGGAGAGGGAGGAGGTCAGGTACCCTTTTTGTGGAGAATACTTGTTAGGGACAGAAGCAGCAGCACAACAACAACCAGAGAAAGGCTGGACCTTTTTGTACACCATCATAAGTCGGGATATGTGGTATTTTGGGTGGAGCAACACCCCAGATTTCAAGGCCCGTCTGACCGGAGGGGCGACGGATGGTGCTAGGGAATACAAACGCATTACAGAGAAGAGACAGAAAGATAGACAATTAGAGATCGAGGGACTGAAACAGAGAGATCGAGAGTTAGGTAGAGCAGAGGATTTATGTGTCTATCCACCGCATCGCAATTCCGCCTCTCCAGTCATTGCTTTAAAAAATAATACAAAAGTATATTGATATTGATTTTTGTATGAAAACAAGTACCAAAAAATCTCCCACCATCTCTAAGGTAAATCTGCGCCAAGAAAGGAAACCACCCGATTCCTGCAACTCTTCCCCCAACCATGCGTTTAGACCTTCTTTTTGCACGCTTCTTATTGACATTTCCGTCTTCCTCCGGCTTGTTCCCCTCTTCGTCGCCATCATCGTCATTATCGTCGTCATACTCCACCTCAACCGAATCATCGAAATCTTCACTGTCTATTACTGTCCGATTTTTTGGTACAGGTGGAATATTGCCGCATTCTTGTAAAGATGGAAGTTTAGACAAATTTGGGTGTGACATGATGTCAACATCTCGCCCCGTAGATAATTCGTATTTGTATTCGTCTTGATCGGTAGCATTTTGATTCTCCTCTGAACTTTTCTGCTCTCTGGAGGAAAGACTCTTCAACTCTGCAGAAAATGATTCCACAGACTCCAATGAATAACTCGTTTCCAGCTTCTTCAAAATCCATGGGACGTGATAAAGCACATTCGTATAAATTGCTGGACGTCCTTCATAGCCGCAGTTGTTTGGAGTTCCGGAGGAAACAATGCCAAATTGAAAGACGCGTTCTTTTCCATCAAGTAATGGGACTGGCAACTTTTTAAGAAGCGGTCCTTCGAAAGTTACAGCAAGAATAGGCACTTTAAATTATGTTTTACATTTTCGTATCAATTGATGACTTACCACCAGAGTCCCCACTGTGAAAATATGTACGTTTCATATCGTATTTAATACTCCGTAATAGTAAAGTGTATAAAAGTTTACATATGTACCTACAACTTGCGGCACCAGGCTCCCCTCCAGCACAAAACTATAAACCAACAATGACCAGAATTTTATGCAAGGAAATAAATATTTGCTACAAATTTATCAAGCTGCACGATTTATAATTTTACCCGATTTCCTCCCAATATTCCATATTGCCTCGAATGAAATTGATCACAATAGGTTCTTTTTCGAACATGAGTCTCAACACTGAGGACATTGCTTGAAAGAATTTTTGGGCCTTCGTCTAGTTTTGTCATCAAACCCCAGCCAACAATGCGGAGTTTTGTAGACACCCAACCTATACATTTTACTCTATATTTTGCTACTTCTTCTGAATGTCCATAAATAATACGTGTCAAGTGAAAATGACCTTTCAAGAGCTCTTCTGAATACGGGAGGCAAATGGGTCTAACTCTCGCTGGAAAATAAAACGAAATTAATGTTGCTTGCTCGTGACCATTACCTCAAACACAATGCGTGTTACATTTTTTTTGTGTTAATTGCATGCACCTACAGCTAAATCTTACAGGTTTATTAAGGAACACAAGGCCAACGTCATTCTGGAGATTCCCTTCCGAAAATCCTTCGTGAATTTTAAACTTTTTGACACGTCTTGTAAACTTTTTTGAACATTTTTCTGACTTTTCCTTCTCCCACTTGCACATCTTTATCTTTGATCTGTCGCTTTGACCAAAAGCTACCGTCATACTGGAGAAAGAGATAACTTTGTTAAGATGTAACTAGTAATTTTTCTTGTATTAACTTTGCTATTAATTGTCTTTACAAACTCGCTCCGGTTGTAATCCTGCTGAGACAATGGGCTGCCTGTAAATTAAGATTATAATTCCTCAAGTCACTTTCGCATGCATATTTAGTTAGTTCTTCTTACTGTTAATACGACATTGTTTGTAATAAAAGTCCCTCCACAATTAAGTGTCGTATTCCCATTTGTCACTTTAAATGAAAAGTGTGCTTATCATTAGATAGAATAGATTAGAATAGATTCCTGTACAATGTACGCAGTTTCAATCGTATTCGTAACGTACCGTTCGTAAAATAGAGTTGTGCCATCCAAGGAAATTTCGTCCACGACGAAGGTCGCCCTCCAACAATTCTTTTGGGTCTCTCGTTTGCTGACGTAAATCCACAACTTTCCAAAGAGGGAAGCAATTCGTAATCTTGATCTGAGGTGACATCAATAGCCTGATTCGTTCCCAACTCCTTATCAATTGACAAACATTGCCTCCAAGGGATGAAGCTTAACAGTAGCCCGATTGTTATGTGTAACACCTTTAAACTATTCATTACACGCTATTTTAACACTAAATAAGCACGTACCAACAATAAGTTGCTAAAAAGAGAATATTATTTCATTTTGGGATTTATTTTTAGTTATGTTCAATGCATGTACGTAAAATTTGCAAATATAACAAAATTTTTAAAAAAATGTCCTCCCAAACCGTGTAAAATAGGATATTAAATAATAACAGAGGATGGAAGGAAATACACACCAAACTATATAAAAAATTTGTCAATTGAATTTTGCATGCACGTAAAATAAACAAATATATTAAGCTGGCATACTGTTCCTTACTTGTTTACATGTTATTCCAATTTCCTTATCATTGTTAATTGTCATCATGTTCATTATCCTTAACTCAAGGCAACTTCCATTGTGTGACGGTTAATGCATTTTTCATACACTTAGCAACAAAATACACTCTGCAAGTTGAATTTCTACTAATCTCAATTCAAAATTCCTCGTGGTAAATTACATTACCAAATGAACAGCGTAGGGTTAAATGCAAGTGCTCAGATTCAAAAATACTATACTTTTTTTTATTTTGCCGAACGTCTTACAAAAATACTTTTGGTCAATCAAATGTCCTATCGTAGCCGGGCACACAATGTTGCATAGCAGTCGTTACCTACATCTAGATTTTCAAACAATCCCGAATTGCATACAGATCTGAGAATCCACGACTCTTTATCCGGATATAAAATAGTGCATATACTTCGTCAAAGTTGGGTTTCAGGTGATGGCAGTCACGAAACGTCGTCTGGAGCTGAATTGTATAATATGTTCTCAACCACTGTCCAGCATGCAGACCTGTTTACCACAGGACGTGTTGCAAATGGTCGCAGAGCAAAATATAGCCATGAAAAGAAAAACGGACCATACAGAATATAACAACCACGTTGACATCGACCAGTATCAGGCCATTGCGACAAAATGTGGGCACATGTGAGTGCATAAGGAATTAATTGGCAATCTCCCATAATATATGCAGTTATTTGTGCCGTTCACAGGTTTCATATGGGTTGTATACGCAGCCATGTCAAGAGCCATTTAGAGTATGCTCAATATTTAGCAAACTTTTACATTCCTTAAAATTCCTTAAGAATTAATAATAAATTTGACAGTCGAGTCGGATCAGCCCCGTGTCCCATTTGCTCCAAGCCCGTGACCCTAACAAGAATATGGCCCGTTCTCATCCCCCCAACCCCCGCTCAACTTTCCAGAATCAAAAAGCTCAACTTTATGAAAACTGAAAACACGGAGCTTAAAGTTGAGTTGGCAGAAATTCGCAAGAAAGTGAAAGCATGCGAAGCTGAATTGAAGACCATCGAGCAAGAAACAGAAAGCTGTTTGTGAGTTTACAATGTAGCTGGGATATGTAAATTGAATTGGTTTTCATGACCAGATTTCCAATCTCCACTTTTCAATGCAGGGCAGATATTCAAATAAAACAGCAACAGCTCGAGGATATGAATGGTCCGACGGAGTCAGAACTTGAGGAGTTGAGGCGTATTCATAAAAATAGACAGTCCATCGTTCGTGTGGTCACGAAGCACAATGCAGATCTTCTTGGAGTCCTCATGTGGGTCTCGCATTCTACTTAATTTATACAGTATTTAGTTATGTGCATAACAATTTCTGAATGGTCACATGTCCACTCAGGCACGAAACTAATCTGCAAGTATCTGATGCTGACCTTGCCCTCTCTGATCAAGACATTGGTGAAATTAACCACAACCTTCCAGAGAAAAAAGACCCTATTTGCATATACGAGAACTCGCTGTCCACTAGAAGAAATCGGAGCAGGAGTAGAAGCTTAGTCGACAAAGATAGAAGCACCGAGAGGTCATCTCGATATCAGGAGAAATTTCATAGCAATAATTTCAAAGGGTTATTTCAAGGTTTACATAGCTTCTTTTAGTAATTAAACCCATATTTAGCACTCAGCCAAGTGCCCGTTTACACTTTCATTTCCATTTGTCTAGCTCCATCAGAACAAAATTCTGAATCTGAGTCGGACCATCTCAACGGAGGAGTCAGTTCCGACTCGTTCTCGCCCAATAATGCCCGACCCCTTACCCCCTTCCACTACCCTCCTACTCAACTGCGCAAGGGTCACCATCGACATAAACAAGGGCCCAATTTAGTCAAACCTACCAAGAGTGAAATTCGATCCTTCGCCATAAATAAGACCGCGAAGGCGGGTGCAATGATGGAGGTAGGAAACTATACGAGAACTGGTGAACAACGCCGGGTGGGTGGTGGTGGTATGGCGTTGAGGGCTGGTGTTGGTGGTGATGGTGGTCCTCGAGGGGGGCTTGCCCTCACCCGAAAGGACGGGACGAGGGGGATTGTCAATAAAGATTATCTCCAGCCCGGAAATCGTCTAGTCCAGCAGGCGGTCACAAAATTTAGACCTCCCGTCATATCCCATAAAAATATTAGTAGCAACAACCAGAATAAGGTCAGCAGATCGTCGTATCGACCAAAATGGTGTTAAGCTAGTTAAAGTAAACCTATAATGATGACACGTGCAGAATAATAAATTTTGAGCATTTGATAACACAAGTTTAGTTTTTTTTAACTATTTGTCTATACGAAAATTGGTTGTACTTAATTTCAGTTTAGTTAAATAACCTTTACAGATTTGAGTAAAATGAAACATATACATTTAAAATTGCGAAAAATTGCGTGAAAGTGTCCCTACATGCAAACTGGCTTTAGGTCAAATATGTGCAGAATTTCTTGTGAGTATGCAAGTATTGTCGATTACTGGTAACAAATCGTGTACGTTGCTGATATATGTTAATGGATAGCATACTATTAAACTATTCTCTTAATTTTATAATATAGTTATTTGCTCTGAGGATGAAAATGACATGAAGCAATGAAAATGAGACCAAAACGGTACGATAGGGAGCAAAATAATGGCCTGTGTGGGGATCGAACCCAAGACCTCCGCGTTATTAGCACGGCGCTCTAACCAACTGAGCTAACAGGCCGACGACTTGTCAATATGCAACTTTTCGCACAATATGTAAATGACAGCAATATTTTCTGGAGGTTATCGAAAATGCTTCCTTGCTGAGCAAGATATGCGGTTTCTGAAAACAGATAATAAGTGATATTTGTTTAGCGAAACGATATGCATCTAGAGTTGTTATTTGAATTGCATTTTGCTAGATTGAGAATGTGTAAAGTTCAATGTTGTACAAGATATTTACATGTCTCAAGTTGAGACATGTAAATGTTGAGAGTCTCAACATTTGCATCTCACTTTGCATATTCCAGGTATCATTTGACTATTTGAAGTGCTAAAACTCTAAAATTGCAATTAAAAAAAATAGTCAACTCGCCGGATTTGTATATAAGCTTGAACATTGGAGGGGATTGGAGGAGAGGCATACTTAAGAAGGTAGAAGGATTAATTGGTCATTTGTGACCATTTTAGTCCTTGTCTTCGAGTTGTGTACGCGGATCGGGAATAATGTAATGTCCCTTATGGACTGCGATTCTTCCTGGTTTCAAGGATTTTGTCCAGCCAAGCCAAATAAACGTGATCGAATTGTGCACAGTATTAAATTAAGATCAAAATGGAGGTTTTTATCGTGGTCAAACCCAGTCAAACGTATTACCACCCAATTTATGTAATTCTGTAGTTGTAAGTAAATAGGTAAACATTAAATGATTATGCACAAAGATTTGAAACCTATTTGCAGTTAGTGTGCCTATTTTGGCTATGCATGAGTCCATTATTCTAATTCTAAGGTATTCCAACAGGTCAGAGACCGGATTAGTTAACGATGGACCAAAGTTAGCAAACATTACAAAATCTTGTTGTGACCTTGAAGTTGATTGTGTTTTTGCTATTTTGCAATGCAATTGCAATGTAGTCATGCTAAATACATATCTAAATATTACTGCACCGGCAGCTCTTTGAGAGCCCCAAGCACGTTCAACTAATGAACTTGAAGTACATCAGTTAATTTATTTTAAGACAATAGAATTTAGTGTCACATTTATAAATTGAAAATCACTTTAAATTACTCCAAACATTTAGAGCTGATAAGAGACAGGTGCATGGAAAGCTACTCGCACGGTTAACTAGTTGTGTGTTGTGATGATGCAATACCACTTGTGCCATCAATTCAAAGATAACACTAATTCTGATAGACTGGATAATTATATCTCGGGAATCAGAAGTTTATTCTTTATATACATGTAACACACACGTGTTCATAAGTGGTAACAATAACCAAGCCTTCTTTTGGTGTAATTGTTACACACATATTTAGAAAACCTAAATTTTAATTGCATGAATTTTCATTCATCTTCGAATTTCTCTCCACTATAAAACACAAGACGGCAAACCGACAAATAAATTCTTCAAGTGCTGTCTCACCATATAATTAATTGGAACAATGATTTTGGAAATTCTTGGATTTTTGTTCAGCAGCGTGATAACAGGACTATTTGTGTTGAATAGAATAACCAACGATATCTGCCCTCAAAGTATGAAATTATATATAATTGATTCATCCATGCTTATTTACATACTCCACAAACTACGTTCACAGTAAAATTATAATTCCAGAACTGAAAAGGGCTCTTAATAAACTCGTCTTGTCTAATTGGGTGAAGGGACTGCCACAAATTATCCCCGTTTATAACACCAGCACCCCAAAAACGGCGAAGGAGGCTGGAATTTTGGCTCAGGATGTTGAATGGGATTTGGAAAAACCTTGCAAGTTGGATTCTAATCAGGTTAACCTGGAATTTCGTATGACGAGAAGGTCTATTTATGTAAATATGTACATAATAATAAACTAAACTAAAAACAGGAAGCGGATGACGTGATCATCCATGGAGTCGATGATAAAGGAAATTGTCTGGTTGGAAGGATTACGAGATATCACAATGACATGAGCAGAGCATCACTGGCACTGAGGAGAAATGGCGAAAACTTTACCGGTTTGTGTACACAAGAGAGCGATTAAAACTCAAAACGATACTTATTTTGATTTTTTTAAAATGTAGTTGAGCTTGAAGGTGCTTCAAATAATCAATTGGAATTTTCTTTGGGAAATTTTAAATTGGAGCTTGTTGAACCCTTTCGAGCTTGGAGAGTGTGGTTCAACGGCTACATGCGGTATTCATCATTCCCTAAAAATATGATATTAACCAGCAAGTTTACATTTGAGGAAAGTTATTTAAATGACTGATTTTCGAAAACGTAGAAAGCAGGGCGCACCACCTACTACAAACCTGGTTCATGTTACTCTCAATTTTTTGTAAGCTGTTGTAACTTCATTGTTTATTAAATTCACTTGAATTCAACCATAGTAAATATGTATGTATGAACATGCGAGCAGATGGAAACCACTGGATTACGCCAAAGACTTTCGGAAAGATGCAAACATATTTCTACTGGCTGACGTGTTTTCCTGGAATGGATCTTATGGACAAAATTTTGCAAATATCAAGTAAATTTGGCATTTAATATCAAAATTTAAACATAAATGGATAAAATAGTGATTGAATAATAAACCATACTCAGAGAAATGATACCAAAAGGCTATCACCAATTCGGCGTACTTCACGGTATAGTAAAAATTGATGGGGATAACATTGAAGAAGATTCGTTGTACCTGTATGGAAATCGTACCAGGCGACAATTACTTCTTGGGGTTAACACAAACGATGAAACGATCGAAATTTTTGGAATGCAAGATAATGATGGAAATGCTCTCAGATTGACCAGTCGTAATGGTGAGAAAATCATGAAATGTCAATGTATAATATCTAAACTATATAAAGCAGGCGAGTGTATCGCTGCTGGGTCGGTGGCTTAGTTGAGAAGTTAGCCTCTCCTTTTCTCTCTCCACTCTGCAGAGGGAACAGGAGAGGCTAACTTCACTAATGTTGAGGTAACTGGCTTATCGACGAGCCTATTTTGCACGTCGATTGACGGGCTTCTACACTAGTTCATATGTAATGCGCAGCGCACCCATATTCTGCGTGTGTGCAATTTGCATTTATCTTGCACTCCAAGGACCACACGTTTTAGTTAATTTTATAATATTTGTTTAAAACAGGATCTTGGGTTGATGGGGAGGCGTCCTACAGTTCAACGTGTCTGTACCCAACGCAAGAAATTGACGCTGCTGCCACATGTTTCGAAAGAAACTCGACCATTCCTAAATTGTTTGAGCTGACAGGTACAAATGAACATAACGTTAACGATCACACCGGTCCATGCTGATGTTTGTCTTATTAATAACTTTATTGGGTCTTTTTTTATTTCAATAGACGAAAAGTCAACTATGCGAGTTGAAATCTGGCCAAACTACGAAGCCATTAATGTGGACGATTCGTTGAATTTACTTCTCTTGCAAATGGAAATAAATGGGAAGGAATCACACGGAATTGTACTCAGAAACTCGAATCCATCAGTCCCCATCATCTCAAGTCATACAACGGGGGTAGAAAATTGGAGATCAGTCGATTCAAACGACGTCTTTGCTATATCTTTGGAAGCTGATGCCTGTCAGAATACAAATCTGGTTGGAGGGAAGGGAGCGTCTCTTGCGAAATTAGCTAGGATGAATAGAACTGTCAACGTAATGTAGTAAATGCTCGCTAAATACATAATACACACTGAATAATTTGTAACTGTTGTATATATGTAGGAATTTAAAACTGCGCAAGGATTTTGCGCAACGACCAACTTATTTAGGAAAATGGTTCATGAACAAAGTTTGAAAGAGATTTTTGAAAAGCAAACCACAAGTTTGGAAGAGTCATGTTTGCAGTAAGTATAGTTTATCATTTGCATAAAAATAGTATTTATTAGCAGTAGCACACCAGATTAAAGACGTACTTTATTTTGAATCTATAGAGCAACTGAACTTGTAATGAGTTGTGCTACTGCTGAGAAAGATATTCGCCCTTTGGTCGAGTCACACTTGCAACAACTATTTGGGAAAAGTCGCCCCTCAACCTTACGGTTTGCCGTGAGATCTTCCGGAGTTTTGGAAGATGGATCCGATGTATCTTGTGCTGGGCAGAATGAAACATTTTTAGGAGTTGATGAGGCATCTATTCCAGATAAAATTGTACAATGTTGGGCTTCGGCTTTTACATATAAATCTGTTATCTATCGACTGTAAGTACATATGTGGTAAGGAAGCTCATTTTTTAATTAGTGATGTAATACTATCATTCCAACTTGTAGAAATCATGGCCAGCCAGCGGTTACGCATATGGGCGTCGTAATTCAAGAACTGGTCACCGCCGCGTCTGCTGGGGTTTTGTTTACAGCGTGTCCACTCACAGGAAATCCATTTCAAATGCTCATCACGGCAAATTATGGTCTTGGAGAGGTATATATCATTGAATTGAAAAACATACGTCTTCAAATATGGTGTTGCTAGTAAATTGTCTATAATATTTATCGATGTACCGCACAGAGCGTCGTAAGTGCGACCTGTGATCCCGATTCCATAATCATTCAGCGACACCGTTCCATTAAATCACGACAAAAATGTCGTAAACATGATTTATCAATCCACCAAAAATTAGTTGGAAAGAAAAAGTCCAAAGTGATTTTGAAACCAGGAGGAAAATCAGTCGAAGAAGAAAGTTTAAGCGACGTTGACTCGAACCGTTTATGTTTAACGGAGCCCTCAATGCTGCAATTGGGATTCATTGCCATAAAAGTCGAAAATGAGCTTGGTCAATTAAAGCCTGTCGATATTGAGTGGGCCATTACCGGGGTGACTTTTTCTTCACTTGGCCATTCAAATTCATCTTTACAATTTACACAGTTGAGAGTAAAATAATTAACTTCTATGTACAGGATGGAAATATTTTTATTCTTCAATGTCGACCCATGACATCTCTGAATGTGTGGAATGATTTTGAAATTGCTCATCAATTTGACACGTCCATTAGAACCAGAATTGAGTTGCTGACTACAGCAAACACTGGGTAAGGAAAATTGCAGATCACTCTGCACTTTCACTCTATTAAGACTTGCAAGTAATTGCCTTAGGGTTTTAGCACTCTGACATTTTATGTGACTTTCAGGGAAGTTATGCCGAAGCCTGTGTACGCTTGTTCCGTTCAGTCAATGACAAGGAACTTGGACGTCGGAGTGCAAGACAGGACGGGGACCATGACCGGAAATCCTGTCTGTTCAGTCGTTTCCAGATCGTGTCCCTTGTATCAGAGTAGACTTTTCATCTCCGTATATCCAACTTTATACAAACGGATTGATGCTGAAATTAATGCACCCGTTTGTTGCATCGATTTAACGGTACGGAAAAACCATTTTTACTCATTGCATAATATGAAAACTATATTTGTTCTAATCTATAAATATAATATAACAATCAGGTTTTCGGAAGGCCCGTAAGGAAATTCACTTATCTTTGCATTTCACATGAAGGAAAACATATAGCATTTAATGTTGGCAAACGTTGAACAGGTAATCACCAAAGAGGTTCACTCAGTTGCGCTGGAGCGATATGGAGTGTCATCTCGGTCATCGAAAATATTTAGCACACTAGATGCCATTAAATTAATTAAAAACGCACACAATCGGTTAGACCAAGCCAACTTGGAATACGGGAGCTGGACTTTTCGAATCAAAAGCGGTCTGCCAATCTCAGCCAGAACAATATATGATCAAATTACAGCGGATTTGATGGTGGTTCATGATGTGCGTAATTATTATGGATTAATTTTTAAATACTTTTACAATAATAGTATTTACTTATTTTTAAAATGACAAGGTATCTCTTCACCACTGCGCCATGTCAGAAGCAAGTAGCATAACGTTGATATTTGCATTTTTGACTATTTCTGAAGGAAAAAATGGTAATATTTTAACTACTTCTTGTCCCGAAATAGTGGGTGTGCCCTTTATAAGTACAAATTTATGCATGCCAATTGTTTAAAAATTGCAGCTGAACATTGGTCTCCCTCATTATATGAAGATGTTGGAAAGATGTTGTCAGTCTATGCGTCCGTCGAGTCTGCCGAATTGCCTGCTGACATGGAAAAACTGGGGGAAGCAATTCTCGTACATGCCGACACGGACACCTTTATACGCACAAAGTCCGCAAAAGAAGCAATTTCTTGGTTAGAGTCAGACGATAATTTGTCAAACGCTTTAGAAACCTTTTTGGCAAAATATGGTCACCGTTCTATCGCTGAATTGGATATTGGGCAGGATACTTGGCGGTAAGTGAAGTACGACTTTTGGTAGTGACGATTTATTTAATGAGAAATTGGTTCGTACGCTTGTTTATTGGTTATTCTTTAATTTCTTATCGTTACTACATGAATTTACATGCTTAACAGGACTGACCCTGCTCCTTTAATTCAATTATTGAAGAATATTGTTGGAAACAAGATCAAAAATCCATCCAGAGCTGCCAATCAAATTCCAGGGGTTTTGCCAAATGACGAAGAGTTACTCAGGTCTTTGAAGACACCTTTAACAAAAAGTGGAAGGTATCTAAAAAGAACTAATTTATGCCAAAGAGAAAATCTTGAATTCTATATAGAATTCCGTAATTCTTTAATAATTCTTTAATAATATTGTTTATTATTTTTCTTCAATAATATTGTTTTTTTCATGTTCAGGTGGTTTCTCAAGTTTCTGCTTCCCTACTGTCGCCAAACTGTAACTTATCGAGAGCGAACCAAGTCACTGCTGGTCAAAGTTTTAGAACAAGTCAAGTTTGCATACCAAATTTTAGCAGAAGCCATGGTCAGGGAACAGATCATCTCGGATACGAACTTGATAAAACATTTGACACATCATGAAATGGGTCTCTTGATTGACAAGCACCACTCCAGTTCATCCATTATTAATCGGTAATAAAAACTAGCCTTTAGTTTGCAGTGGCTTCTTTACAAATAGGTGACTGTATTTTCAGCGCGATTCAAAGAATGCGGTTATATCCGACCATGGAAGCCCTGGAGTTTCCAGAAATTTCCGTTGGAATCCCAAAACCAGTACAAATTTACTGATACTTTTTACGCTATAGTTATCGTATTTACCAAATATTATTAATTTACAGTTCAACAATTCCGAGCAAGTTGAGACCTGTGATGTGGTAAAGGGGACTCCAGTAAGCGCTGGAAAAATCAGAGGAATTGCCAAAGTGTGCTTAAGCGTGGAAGATGCCTCCAGCCAACTGGAAGATGGGGACATTTTGATCACTAAAGGGACTGACATAGCTTGGTCACCATTTTTTCCAATGCTCGGGGGAGTCGTCACTGAACTGGGTGGCCTTATTAGTCATGGTCAGTGAGGAATTAATCCGTCAATATACAAACTTCTATATATCTAGTACTAATGTTTTAATGTTTACAATGTTTTTTGGGGGGTTTAGGAGCTGTTGTTGCGTAAGTAATCGTTTTTCACACTTTTTAAGTACCTGCCTTACTTACAATTAGTTAGTTTAATTACCTGTTTAATTTTGCGATTCTCCTTATTTTCGCATGAATTCTAATCTACCCTGTCCAATCAAGTCGAGAGTATGGCTTGCCTTGCATCGTTGGAGCTGTCAATGCCACAAAGATATTCCAGTCTGGAGATGAAATTGTTTTGGATACGAGTATGGGTACAATTTCAAAAGTGCAATGTTAAAAAACAGGTCCTTTGATATTGATCAATTTTCCATGAATTTTCCTTTGTATTTCGAAAGTTACCAGTGTAGTATTGTGTGTTCAAAGTAAAGTTGTAATAATTAATAATAATGCTACCAATTAGAAATAAAAGTGTCGCATTACGTCGCATTACGTTTTATAAAATTGTGTTTAATAACCAATCTTCTCCAAGCAACATATTTCAGTAGAGCACGAGCACCCACTTGATGTGTTTAATTTTGCATACGTTTGGAATTAGAACTGCATTATCTCACGAGACCATGTCGTGTTCTAAGTTAGTGAAATGTGTGGCAGACTTTCTTTAATGATGAGGAAACTGTCTTCCTGCTTGATGAAGCCTTCGAAGGTGGTTCCAGAAGCGGTTATTGACCACGAAGGTGTACCAATCGCAGCCGTCGAAATTCTCTCCGAGGAGGCTCAACTAAATAATAATAATGGAACGTCTATAGGTCTTCTTGACCTCCCACAAAATGTGCGGATGCTATTTGCATGCATTTGAATTTTAAGCGTGAAATCCTCATTTACTACATCTGCACAACTATGTAACGTTGATCAAGACTGTTTAATAATTTGTATTATAATATTGAATTTAAGGTACGTAGAAAAGTTTATGGTCTGTTGGACTTCAATTCACTTCAGACGTTGGCAATCTTGAGCAGACAAGCCCGGAAGGACGTCGGGAATATTTGCGATTTAGACCCGGGTATGGCAACCTTACATTGTTTGAGTGTATGCTAAACTAAATACGCTCCGATTGATCAAACCACATATCTAATGGCGCAGATCTATTGGAAACTATAATCAATGGAGAGATTGGCTTGAATCAACTGATGACAACTGGACCTTTCCTGCGAATTAATTGCAGCGTCGACCAATCAACTGAGCTGGTTGATAAACTTCTTAAATGTGCCCTTTATTCCAACCTTCGTAGTTTGCATGTGAACGTTCACATAGCGGAAAACTCCTCATGTTCTGATAAGCAGTCTTCCGCTTTGTCGAATCACGAGTTGAAAAATACGCCACTTGGTCTCTACTCAAATATTTCATCGTTTCCGATATTAAAACATGTCAACTTAAAACTAGAAAAGTGAGGAAAATTTACAATTACAATTTTACATTTCGTTCTAAAATTATTGACGGCAGAGTCGATGATGAATGGCACAAACTATTACAAGCTGCACAACAAAGTCTGGAAAAACTAGTTCTGGAAGCAATTCATCCCATTAGCTGGAGCCAGCTTGCAGTTGACGTTGTACAAAAATGCAGCAACCACCTCCAAACATTGGTGGTCATCAATTTATCGTCGCAATTGGGAGATTGTGCTAATTGGCCGCTGGATCTGAGCCTTCTTCGACACTGCACTGCCCTACAGTTCTTGTCATTGTCTCATCAACCTCGTCAACAGGAGGATAAGTCCACCTTCCGTGTCGCCCAAATGTTCGCATTTTTCTCGCGCTCTATGGCACACAGTTGAACTCATTCAAATCTTTTTTGTGCAACACGTTTTTTGCTCACTCTTCACAAACAGACAAAAGAGCTTTACAGTTTATTCTATTAAAATAAAAAAAATTTCAAAAAATAATAATTTCAAAATGGGCGGAGATTCGTTTGCAAAGTGGGCCGCTAAACAACCTCCCCCCAAATCAACGATATTATCGTTTTTCAAGCCAAACAACATTCCCAGGTAAAAAAAAACCGCAAAACTAATGACATTAATCTTCTTGAATGTGGGAACGATCCCATTAATTTCTGTTTATTTCTGTCTGACTACGTGTAATATGGTTTGTTATATGGAATTAGTAGCTCATCAGCGTCATCTTCGTCAGCCGCTCTCCACGACGGTGACCAAGTCGATGTTGCCGATGATTCCGGGTAAGAAGAACAGTGCAACAAGTTGTTATCTACTTTACTGAAACTTTATTTTATTTTAGGTTTGACATGAGCACGACGTCGTCGTTAGATGATTCCATCGCATCTTTAAATGATGAACGGTAAATACCTCAATCACTCCATGTTTTGTTTTAATGGGACCGCTCCCACGATGTAATATATGCACATACATAATGTCAACTTATTATGTTCCCTAGTTTAAGCAGCGCTCCATCATCATTGACAACTGCTAACGACTCGGATGATGATTACGAAGATGAAGATGTTGAGTAATTTAATCTTTATACATTGTCTTATCTTATTTACTGCGAGGGGGATCGATCCCATATGTTCATATTCTAAAGTGAAACTATACCTAATTTGTGCCTTAGTTCTGATGGCGAGGACAAGGACATTCAAGATGTATCATATGACGACGATGATTTCGAGAATCCGCCCCCAGAAAAACTGACGAAGAAAAATGTGGAACCAACAGCTGGGTAAGTAAAGAACAAAGTATACATACTTATGATAATTGTTCCTTAATTATCAACATATTTCAGGACTAGTTCTGGGGCCGGAGAGGAGGAAAAACCTCACATGAAGTTCGGCAAGGTTAGTATATCGACAAAGTACATACTTTAGGTGTGGTTATAAAATATTTATACATGTTGCATCATTATAGTTGGCCAATAAAGAAGGTCTTCAGATTCCGAGAGAAAAGCTGTTGGATTTCTACGAACGTTCCAGTTCCACTCTTATAAGAGATGACGACCTTCTTCGACAACTTAAATACGATGCACGATACGGTGAAAAACAAGAAATGTTCTTCGCAAAAACACCCATTGGCAAAAGTAAGTCAAATATGGTTAGATTATGTCTGCATAGCTTATGGGAGCGGTCCCATTGTTGTTATCGATGTATGGGGTAACTAATTTGGCAATGTTTGTGTTACAGGGAATAAGTTTACCGGGTATTACATTAAGGAGGGATCACAGTTTAAAAGTGCGGGGCCTCGGGCGCTGACTACCATGAAAGATGGTGTTACAAATAATCGCGTCCGAGACGAAGAGGAAAATCGAGCAAGGATTCGACAAGCTAAAACCAAAAGGTACAATGACGCTCCAGAGTTAGAAGTGTTTTATATTGGGTGCGCTTCCAACCGCACAGAGGAACAATTAGTGGATTACTTCACCTGGCACCCACGCATGGGACCCATCCCACTTGGATCGAGGACATCCGAGTCTAAATTGTATACAGGAGTGCATAATGGACATATGCAAGGATTTCTGGGGGTTAGAGACAATCATCCCAACGACAAGAACTCAAAATTCAGGCTGGAGTCCAAGTTGGCAAAACCCAACCCCAAAAGTATGTGGCAATTCATGTACCGCATGTGCGAGAGTCGGACCACAAGGGAACTCGCAGAGTCATTTGCTATGGTATGTACATTTAGCACATTATTCATCAATACTGGTGGGATCGATTCCCAATAATTTTACATTTTTTTATGTCCAACAGAAACATTCCAGAGCGTTTAACAAGAGATATGGAGTTGAGGAACACATTATCACCCCAGTTCGCAAACTAGGATCGGTGTCGTTGGAGGCGAAAGCGGTTAAATATGCTAACGACGGGATTCCACTCATCACCTTCGACCCCGACTGGGATCGATCCCTTGAGAATAAATATTGGACTCTGGACGAGCTCACGGACCTCCCCCTCAAGATCGGCCGGAACGAGCTCGTCAAGATTTGGGATTCCAATAGACCCAAAGATAGGGCACACGTTTTTCCTCGCCTTTCCAACACTCAGGATCTGTTGGATAAATTTCCAAATCCCCCCCTGTCATTTTTTGATGGAAAGATTGACCATTACGACGAATACTTGGCTATTATTGAATCTCGCAAATAATATTATTTACATGTTGGACTTGTGGAAGCCTACCTCCAAACCTACGTCAGCTTTCTCTAGCACATTTTTGCCTCAGGTTAGCCTAATCTTGGGTAAGAATTTTGGAAATCAGTTGAATAATTACTCTGCAACACCGCGAAAATCCTAATAATTTTGTAGGCCGCATCAAGAGTTGACCATTTTGTTAAAACAACAACACCTGGAAACTCTGAAACTCAGCTATTGGACAGACGGTGAGCGTCGCCTCGTCCCCTTTTTGTGCAGCATCAACTTTATCATGGACATGGGATTGAGCCCGTTGAAAACCATCCGCCTCGTAGAATCCAAGTCGGTGATGGCAAGCGTGAACAAGGAATTGCATAGAATGAAGGCTAATCATTACTCTATTTCTACTGCCCACCGAGAAAATTCGGAGACGATGATTACAGTGGAAAAAGTTTCCAATAATTTCAATTGATTTCTGATGCATAAATATCAGTGAGAACCAAAGTTTTATAATTATACACATCAATAAATGTGCATGTATACATTTTGTCCCGTATTTAAGCCCCCTATATAAATAAAAGGCGAGAGTTTGTATAAACCTTAGCTTTCAGACAACGTAGTAATGAATTTCATGCAGAAATTATAAGGTGAAAATCAATATTCGAGCATAAATCGTTTGACATTGGCAGGTGTGGTTCTGCATCGCATTTGTCATTCCCTTCTTTTTTGTCATACATGAAACATGAAACAACAGAGTTATCGATGAGAAGAACGTGCATAATTGTACATTTACTTGCCAGCGCATAAACTTTGCTCCTCATTCCATGTTAACTACTTACATATGTCGCGTCAGCACTAATGAGTTACATGTACATACGGGGTAGTTAAATATCTTTGAAGTTCCTGATTTATTAGTTGATGGCACAGCAAGGATATGTCTAATCGTCTTCAGTGACAATAACTGCAAGGACATGTGTGTATGCACAACCATCAAATTATTTTATGTACACAACATCTATAAAACTATCATTATCATTCTGCTTTCTTCCGTCAGGAATCCATTGTGTGTGGTTCCTCAGTCATCAGTGCAGTGCGGTGTGGTACAATGCAAGCACAGCCTACATGCATATGTATACAAAAGCACACGAAATATGTATGTCGGCCTGACCCACGTCTTTGGAAGAAATCAGATTAATGGATTTCGTCTTAGCACGAACAAAACTGAACAAAAGCACGACATTCATTCATGCACTGGCGACCTACTAAAACTCGGCATCTTTTGCAAACAACAGGAGCAACTCTGTGCTGTGGACGCCAAAATATACACATAGCTTGTGCTCACCTACATAAATTCTGAGATTGCACTAAATATTATGAGCACTTTCTCCAACCCTTCTCAGTTTTGGCCACTGTGCATCACTGTACAGGTACATGCACGAAATGGCCTTATTTATTCCTTAAGTGTAGCTACGCCATGCCACTATTGCCACAAGCTGAAGAAAGTCAACGGATCCAAATATTCCCCTCTTTGCTGCTGTTTTCCCCTCAGCTTTGCTCAGCTCACTCCATCCCATGATTCTCCGTAGAGCATTGACTGAGCAGTGGAAATAGTTGTGTATTTTGTTGGAATTGTGGCGACTGTGGGTTGGTGAACGTTTACATGTTCTCGCTTTCTCCTACTTTCACCTGCTCCTCAGAAGCAATTTATCCCAGAATCTGTTCTCGACTACGTCAGTCACGTCTCTGACTTTGCCATAATGAGATCGTACATATTTATCCATCTCCTTCAACAATTTTACACCAATTATTACACACTTGTCAGCCATTAAAGTAATCAAGATAAGATTAATTGAAATTCATTCACCATGCTGTTGGTGGGAAATAATAAGTATACGAGATACGAAAACGGTGGGATTGTTCCACCGGCAGTGATAACGGACGAGTCGGACTACGAGGAGCAGGGAACGACCGGTCAAGACTCTGGGAACGAAGATGACGAGGATTTGGACGCATCTGAGGAAATATTTCTTCCACAAGAAGAGGATGACGACCCTGACTTTGAATCGCGGCCGTCGCCGGATATTGACGACGAGGAGATACTTTACAGGCAAATGGCCTACCCACCTCTTCCCGAATACAACCCTCCCATCGTGGATTATCAGTCGGACGAGAGTGGGAAGGCGCACAACTCATCAAAATATGTGTCAAAAAAGAAGGATACTCGATTCCATGCGAGAGAACGACTTGGAGTTCTCACTCCCATGGAAGAGGTCACGGAACCTCCGTCCAGCGCAGGGACGGAGGCCTCTGGGGTGCACCGTAGCAGAAACAGACACAAAAATACACGTTCTCGCCTTGTCAGGAAAAACAAGACTGGTCAAACGAAGGACGACCCTTCGAATCATCCTTCTGATGACCAGCAAAAGTCAATTTTGAAATCAAAGTCTCCCCTTGGGTCGCCGGATCGTAGAGTAAAATTTGTGGGAGCAGGTTCAGTCACTCAATCTGAAACAGAGTCGCAATCGTCCGAGTATTCAAAAAATAATTCTGACCACTCGACTCGAGCCAACGAAAGCTCGACGATCCAAGAAGAAGACGACGACGAGAGCCATGAAAGTGGAGACCCTGACGTCGAAGATGAGGCGGAAAGTATCTCAGCCGACGGCCCTATCAACGCCTCCCCCACAATGGAACAGGTCGAGAAAGTTGAAACTTGGCAGTTGGGCAGCGACAATGATAACCAAGAACCTCCAATGTCGAATATAGATGCAGAGTTTGCCAGTATTTTAGACGACATAATTGCAGAACTTCACAGTTGGGATCGGCTGGCCGGCACGGGAGCGAGCATATCTGAGGTAAGCTCTATTTAGCAATTAGCTAATAAACACTAACATCTAATTCAACCTGAATGTAAAACTATTGTGTTAGCCACCACCTTTATTTAGTAATGTAGATGAATTCATGCGTTAGTGCGATAAAAGTGACTGAGATTGACAGCTCATCATTTCAGAAAATAAAAGGAGGAGGGGAGCTATTTGTTTTGTTCTAAAATCATGTAGCATGTACTGGTATATGTATTTTTGAACAGTGTGTACCGTCGCTGTGGATGTTAACTTGGACTTATTTAGTGATTTAGGGTAACTGAGTTTGTGCATGCATATGGAATGTCACGACATAAGTATGCATGTAAAACTACAGTGTTGTATAGGCACACTTATTTTATTATTTTTATACAATCGTAACTCGTCTCGATTAATTTATCACCCCCACAACCCTTTCATAGTAAATGCATTGAAATTCACTTGAATTGTCATCCTGTGCCTGGCAAACTTCAATTTATAGCGCAATTAGGAAAATTAGTGTGCATTACTATTCCCACAGGACGACATACCAAGTGTTGGGTAAATTGTTATTGGAAAGTCAAAGTACATATTTTATCGCCATTAGAATTCTATAGATAGAAATGCTCCATTGTAACGATTTGGGGTCAAAATACCAGCAATAGCATCGCAGTAGTGTTATTCATATTGAATAATAATGCAAGAAATGAGTTCCGGCTTGTGACCCATTTTATTTGCTGAATGCGAGAAGAAATGACCACCTGGACAGAGTGACCTGGACATGCAAATACTTACGCGATGAAAAGTTTACTCTGCAAACATGATAAATGTGTGAACTCGTGTCTGTAATATATGGTCAAAGTAATAATGTTATTATGGCGTGAAAAAGAGCAAAATTCAATATGCATCAAGTATTATTGATATTGGTCAGTGCAATTGAGACGAGAACGTTCACTCCTCTACTCGGGCTTTCTCTTTCTTAAATAACTTATTATCGACGATGGATTTGTGGATATGTAGATTAGTCTGGAGCGTTGGTTTTGAAACGGTTTGCTGCTTGTTTGGTTAAATACTAAAATTTAACAGCACCCTAAAATACTCTCCTAAAATGAGCAGAAAAATAGGCTACGTATTGGATATGAATGCATTATTTTTTTCTTTTCCTCCAGGTGAATGCCAGTCGACAAGACCATTTAGCCAACATTTCGTCCCATCTGACTTCATACCTTGGTCAAGTTTCTCCTTCAACGGTGATGTCGAATCTTCCACAACTCATCCCCCTCATCACGTCCCTCTTAAGTCTGACAGAGCCGAGCTTCAGAGCTCAATTATCTTCACTCAATGCTGTCAACGTATTTTCCGACAAGCTGAAAGACTGTAAAATTCAGACAGGGCTAAAAATACTCCCACAAGCGGACCTCACCTGGTTGGTGCGAAGTCTATGTGACGTTTCCTCAGAATCTTCCAAATCTGTGCTAAAAAGTGTAGGAACTGCAGCCCTGGCATCGCTGGTGAAAGCGGCAGGCCCAGAAATGGTACTTTCCTCATCAACTTTACGATTCAACAAACAAATCAAGATGTATAACGGGTATTCATTTGTGTAATTTTCAGATATGCGAACCTATTTTACTAATTCTTTTGGGGGAGGATGAAAAAGTTCCCAAGAGGCCGTGAGTTAAAATGATTTCTGCCATGTGATCAGAATAATTATATAAATTTATTCAATGTGATTTATAAAAAGAGAGGGCAGTGGGAACATTGTGACCACGACGGGAATTCCTGGCGGTCCTCCGAAGACAAAAGCAACGGCACTGGACGCTCTCACCTTCGCCCTGCTTACTTTTCCAAGAGATGCATTTGATTTGGAAGTGGTCGCCAGATTGGTAAATTACACGATGTGATTTATTATGCATGCGTATTTCGTAAAATGATGGTTTGTTAAAGGCTATGGATATGTATGTTTTTGCAGGCTTGTCATTGTCTTCTTCACAATAAGCGCAGGGTTAGGCAAGCGGCACTGGAATGTCTCGCAGTGGTTGCGCATTCTTTGACGTCCGGAGTCGCTCTTCCACTTTTTCGAAAGTTTATATCCGAGGAAGAACTTGCTTTGATTTCCGAAGTTAACAATAACAGGTAAAAAGTGAAAAAATGAAACATAGCTCGATTAATCATAAGAAAGCTAAGTGATTCGAATACTTGTAATAATTTTGGTTTAATTCGCGTAGCCTCAACTCTGAAGAGACGCCTTCACCTTCAAAGCTAGTGGATTTTGCAAGCCACTACGACTCAGAACTGGAAATCGACCCTCGAATCTTTGGACCTCCTTCCAAAATCCCGGTTCCAATCAAAGTTTCAGAAGCCCATCAAAAACTTCAGACTGAAAGTTCTCCCAAAAAGATTCAAGCCCCCACATCACCAGCGAAACCCGTTCGGCGTCCTAACCCAACTTCGGCAGTTTCGGCCCGAATTTCCAGACATGTTCTACCATCCCCAAATGTGGAGGAGTTGGTCGAATATGGAGTGAAAATACCAGCCAACTGCCAACTCCTGAGCCGACAATCTCTCAAAGTGGGAGGACAGGAAGAATCCTGTGATGACGACGTGAGAGATGCATCTTCTTCCGGCGGAGGAGGGGCTGTGCGACACACGCTCCGAGAACGGCTATCTTCCGGTGGGGAAAGTTGTAGTAGCGTCAGCAACATTGAATACACGTTACTGGAACTGGACCCCATATTAAGTACTCATGGATCGAGTGGAGGTCGTCGCAACGGGCGCGGAAATAATAATGACGGTTCTCAAGAATTCATAATTGCTCCGGACGTCGAGTGGATCTTAAACGGAACGGGGGCAGTCAAAAAGTGTGACCCTACAACAATGTGAGTGGATATTGCCATATACTAAAATCATTTATACATATAAAATGATGCAACGAAACTACATTTGTTTATCGTCATTTCTTCGATTATCATGTGTCGAAAGTATTTCTTTCGAGGAAAACTAACACAAAACAAGATTACAATTTCCAGTTTTCAGAATGAGGCAATTTGCGATTTAAGGATTGACTCCCACTTTTGACAATTCTTTAACAATTTTTTTTCAATTTTGAATTGAAACTTGACATTTTCACTTTTCACAAATTAAAATAAAGTTTATTGCTTCCTTGCGCATCCACTACACCTCGTATCTCAGCATTAAAATCGTGTTGCTAAACTTTTGGCTTGCCATAAGAAATGATGTCGAAAATTGCCATTGCGTTTTTCCCGAAATATTAGAGTTGGTATTTTTACCATTGAAGAAGTACCGCCGATATTATTTGTTTTACATAAATCCACCATTTTCACAACCAATTCCGCTGGGCTAACTTTCGCCAACTTATTGCTTAGGTTACCAAAGGAGTTGAGCATCCTTGCTCCAGGGACAACAAAATATCAGCAGTGGAACAATAATTTGGGAAGTAAATCAGGAAATGAGTCGGATTTCAGCAGTTCTGTTGCCAGTAGTCAAACAAGGACTCTCGGAGGAGGCAACAATAGCGATAATAACATGAAACGGATCAACAGCACCAGGAACGACCTGCTCCAGGATTCTTTTGTTCAGGTATGAGCAACAGTTGGTCATGTGTCTACTTTTAACATCCATTTATCAACCAAATTTTATTGGTAATTATGATTACAATAACCGACCACATATACAATATAAGCCACCGTCATTTTAATCATATTGTTAGGCCAGTCTCATATCGTACATGCATAGGCAATATATTTCGGAAATCCTCTCTAGCTATTGATTTTTGCAGTCGAATAATTTTAGAAATGTTCATAATAATCCATTAAGTTTGATTGAAATGTGAAGTGAGTGGATATTTGGAGAGGAAAGTGTTAATATTTTATTGGATTATGATTGCATGAGGGAACAGTGTTTTGTATTAAGTTTTATTCGGAGGAAGGAGAGCACGACACGGTTCACTTGACCCAAATGACTGTCAAACCGCTGGTTCCGCTGCTCCCCTTTCCATCCCGGTGAAAGCAGCAAGTGAGCGAGCAAATGTGGAGAAACTGGAACACCTCGATTTTGAACTCACACGAATAATACATAACGCAATACTATTATTACGCCTGCTTTATTAACAGCGCTTTTCATCCAGGCCAATACTTCTGGGTCGGGTCATGCATATTACAATCAAATATTTTACCAGCACTCCATTTCAGCCACCACAGAGAATTGTTAGGAAATGGACACAACACTTACTCGATGCTTGTGCCTAAGCAATTTGAGCCTTGGTATAAAACCACCCACTTAAAACGCGTACAAAGTAAAAATGCTGGCTGGACATTACGATGGGACAAATATGCTTGGGCGCATAATAACTTGCTCCGATTCCGACATGTGAGGAATAATGTCCACACAAATTACGATGAAAGAGTTTTTTGTAGTGCTCTTGTTTCATTTCAAGCATTTGTTCCACATTTCCCTCTTAACAACCCAATCCAGAGTAATTTCAGGCACAAAAAAAAGAAAGCAGAGAAAATACGTACGTTAATGTGTACATGCACATGTCAGAATGTGAACTCAATAGAGAAAGGGGAAATTTTTAAGAGAATACTTGTAGAATTATCTAGGTTGACAGAGGAGCAATACAGATAATCAATTCTTTTTCTCTCTTCAAAGGAAAGAGGGTGCACTACTTTTATTATTTTTGTTTGACGAATAGTTGGTTTTATTCCACTCCAGTCCTCATCATTTCACAGAACGTTGACTTTCCAATTGTACAAATTGTGTGTCAAACTGATAAATATGGATGGAGCGTTCGTTAGTCTTTCAAAGACTATCTCGTGAAATATCGCTGGTCTGGTTTGGTTTTCTCAATCATTAAGTCAGTCTCAGAAGACGTAGATACATAGCAAAGAAATATTTGATACTGTGCTAATCGCCATGTGATAGTAGAGCATGATCGTGTACGTATGTTTGCAGTAGAATTTATGACTCGACGACTCCTCCTGCTCCATATTACGAACATTACTCGAAAGCAAACAAAGCGTCAATTCACTACCTTTCCATGTTAGTGGGAAATTCTGCTGGAAGGAGCATTACTGGTGTCTTTGGGAGGAAAGAAAAATACAGTTGTGTTTTCCACGTAGATTTGCTTGACCACAGTGGAATAAGAAAGTTCTGCTTTGTGTTTAGTTCAGGTGTCCTTTCCCGTGTTACCCCCCGTTACACATTCATACAACATGTACGTTACAGTTACGTATGTTGCAATTGCACGCGAGCTGAGCCACACATTCTATCGACATGGTGAGCTATATGCAAAGCAGAGCAAATAGTTAACTCTCGTACACACGCTGACCATTGGACATTTGGTTTTGCATGAAAGAACAACTTTCTCCTTCTGCGTCCAACTCTGCTCCGTTTGATACAAGTCGAGACCAGCAACTTAATCGTCTCATAGTTTCCCCATTGCGTTTCCTTTTCTTCATCTATCAGGACTCTGATTGGGCTTGAAACACCTTCTCGTAAACTGGAAGGTCAACCTTACCGTCATTGATCAACCATTTGCGTCGTATGCATTCATTCTGGGTTTAGTTCTGATTTGGTGCTACATAGAACAACTCTTCCATTGAATAATTTGTCGTTTTCCTCTGTGTTGCAATAATTAGAGTCGCGCAAGGTGCGGATAATTGTGTAATCATCTTTAGCGGTTTATGACATCAAATGAACAGTACTTTCTCTGTCAGTGTAAGTTCGACGATACTGAAATAAATTGGTCGCTTGACACGTGAATCTATCCCAAATGGGGTATTCGGTGCGTGAAATTGGTGAAAGTTGAGCTTGTATGAGCATAATGATGTATTCGCAAATGTACCACCCTTGGGGCTGCTACGGTCGACATCCTCGATATCCTCCTTTGAAACAGGGGCATCTGGTAAGCGACACGCTGCTCGTGGGGTCAAGTGATCTTGACGAAATTCCAAATTATACGAGTGATCAGTCCAATAATCACGGCGATAAACTTCCGCCGATTATGTCTTGGAATCAGGAATTTAAATACATTCATCCAGACATCGCCAACTCACAGGTTAAACATTTAATATTGTTAATGGAATTTTAATTATAATCTAGCGGAGAAAGAAAGGTATTGACTGATGAAGCGTAGGGGATGCATGCATGTTTGCTTAAATACGCAGATGTAAATGGCATAATTTTGGAAATATTCTTTCTTAGAATTAATATACCCCAAGTTAGGAATAAAGATTCTGTCTTCGTCATTACTCGAGGCATTCCTAGTAATTCAAACACGTCTACAAGTATTTTTTTAATGCGTGGGTTGAAGAAACACGCGAAAATACAATATATTGGCTCTGTACTTATTAAGATAGCAGATCTACTCGATATCGACAAATGAGAAAAGTACAACATTGCGGTTTGTATTTGGTTGCAGGAGCCCGTCCTGGGTCGTTACTACTACCCTCCCACGAGTCACATTGTATCGCCTCGTGCCGTGTTGAATACTTCTGATCCCCTCAGCAGTCGATTCTCGTCAAAGTCCTCGTACAATTTGTTACCCAGCAAGTACACAGTTATGAGAAACACTAATCAATATCGGGGAGGCGGTCACGACCTAGTTTCCCCTCACGTTCTACTTCCAGGCGCGTACGACAACCCATATGTGTCCAATGCTTACAGTGATAGCTCAGTGGGGACGACAGGAAGTTGGCACTCGGACTTGGGAAGTCTTTCTAAAATAAATTTGAAACCCAAACCCCTCGAACCCATTCAAAGTCTGCGTGAAAAGTTTTTCGAGTCGGCGAGGAGAAATGAGACGCTTCGGTCGGACTCCCAACAATCTGGGGCGACTGAAGAAGAGTCGGAACCTGAGCATGAGAAGACTGAATCCCAACACATAAAACCAGCAGCGAAACCTGCTCCCCCGAAACAACGGAACCAAAATGTTAACCAAGAGTCGAGAAAACCTCCCATTGCCCCCAGACCCATGGTCCCCCCAACCAACCTTCATGCTGACAACATCAGCAAGGGCAACAAGCGTGACGGGGTGACCTCGCAAGACGACGAGGTGTCCGTGAGGCGACAGACTGAAACGTTGATCCACGGTGGAGTGAGTCGAGAGTATCATGTTTATAATTCCAGGGTCGAAATTGACCCAGCAGCAGCAGCACGTTCCCCCATCGCTCCTCTGGGGTCATCTTTACCGCCCATGGTCAAACGAGGAGATGCGGACAGCGCTGGGTCTAATCACACAAGAGATTCCGGTGTCAGTGTGGGAAGTGTTGGTGGTGGTTCCAAAACGGTAAGTCAACGCAAAGCCTGTTGTGCAACAGACAATCGAAGAAAGTACATATGCATGTATACTACGCCGTACGGATGCTTTAATTGCTTGCATGCAAGTTTTATTCGCTAGCTCTGTATCAGTCTCTTAGTAATTATGAAATGATTGTTTTATGGATTTCAGCCACCCTCTGTTCACAACACGCCTCCCACTCATCACAAAAACCCATCCCTTAGTCAAAGAAACAGCTCGGCGGCACAGCGGGAACAGGCTGCGGTACATGACGCCAGGACGCAGCAGTTGAATAGAAATTGGCAAAGTACGCCGGATGTCCCACTCGAAACCAACGCTGAGAGGAATTTGGAGACATTGCAGTAAGTTGAGCCAGAAATTAGCATTAATTTCTAATAATCCCACGATCAATAGTTTTAACTTGTTCACAAAAATGTGCGTCACAAAAATATGCAAAATTCTAAAAAAAAACTTAGTTATTACACAGAATTGACAATGGCTTTTATGCTATTTGCAAAACCTACTCTTTAAAAGACGGGCTGGTGCATGGCTGTTTTGACAGGCAGAATATTAGTAAATATATATGAAATGTCGCCTATGTACCTACCCACCCATAAAAGCCGTTATTGAAAAAAGATGCACGTTTTATTGGAAAACTGACAGCCACGTATGACAAGGTAGGCAGGGAAATAAGCCGTCGTATGCAGTTGTGTTTGAGAATATCGTTTCACAGCTTATTAACGACTTTCTTTCTTCAGGAGCGTTATAAATTGATGCCGAGAGTGAACGTCCCCGGTGAATTTGTCAGGCGATGGGTGAAATAGTTGAAATGAAAGTCAGTATGTTTTCTACACTTCCGCACGTCATGTGAACCTCCTGTTCTCTGCAGATTTTTTATTAGGTTAAAAAAATCGGTAGTAACAAAATAATGGTGTAATCCAGCCAATTTGGACAAGGCACTACGACTCAGTTTCACGACATTACATATTTCGTTACTTGTTTCGAAACTAATTACAAACCATCGAAATGTGCTGTTTTGGGACCTGTGTTGGGCTCCAGAAGCTTTGGAGCAAAGGCAGTAACATTGCTAATGATCTGGTGAAAGTGAGCACCCCAGTGCTAGAATTTCATCCAATTAGTGAAAAAGAAAGGCTTTTCGCAAAGAAATTATTACTCGTTGTATCGCATCCTTCAGAAGCACCGTCGTCATTAAGCAGTAAACAGATCAGCGACTCGATCACGGATGTATCACCGCGCAGAATACCCAGGTACATGGACGACTAATGACAAATCTCAATACACATAGACAGATTAAATGGCATTTAAGATAATTATTAGTCCGAGCTACAATATCCTCAATACTGCGACGTTGCTAATGATCTTGGTCATGAAGATATATGTCAACGAAATATGTACATAAGTCGCAAGCACATATTTATTTTGTGAATGCAATGCACATAAAGGAAACAATAAATTCGCAAAAACTATTATATAGATTTGCCAATACACAACAGCTTGTGTTCGTGGGGGCTAATTTTGGCGTTGGCGTGTTCTCATGCTGATTGTGGAGCACACTCTTTCCGCTGAGATCGATAAGCCAGTTGGACTACTTTCTTGCTCTTTGATGAATGTTTTACCCATTTCCACAAACACCTGGGCATGTTGAGCTATTGTAGTAGAGAAGAGGCAATCAAGAAATGAAAAGGTGTTGATAAGGTTTAATATTCATATGTACGAGAGCATAGTTTTTGGACGAGATACCAAACAATCGCATTGATTTATTCCTCAAACGTATTCCATCTAGTAATATATTTCCCATTATTTGCTCTTCTCATCCATGTGCATAATATTCAACCTTGCAAATCCACTTTTATATTATGGTTCAGTCGTTGCGTCGCAAAAAAGGTGATCGATTTAATAAAATTCAATGGCATTACATATTATGCACACACTCGACACGAGAAAACCTGGTCTCCTATTGCTCCACAGAATACGCAGTCCAGACGTAGAGCTGCTTTCTCCACATTATGATTTACTTTCACTCGGACAACCGTCGTCATCATGGTCGTCTCCTAAATGACTCAAGGGCTGTCAATGCATAAACTACATATTGTAAATCATGTTTCTCATCGTCAGTTGGAGTGTTGGAGGAACAAAGCAGTTCAAACATGGTTTATTAGTTTCTTGGTGGACATGCGTCATTCACGATGCTTCATTCTTTATGGTAATGACTAGACTATTAATGAATGTCAGTATGAAGGCCAAACTTTTTTTCTCTTGTGACAATTTTGATTAGTGTCAACCAGGAATTGTGGATTCAATTATTTTCTCCCTCCTTAATCAATCATTAAATTGATAGTAATCTACTTAAGACTTATGGAAAATTTAAAAATACGTCCAATTAGAAATTATTAGAGTTAAGAATACAATTATTGAATAATAATCGAGGTATACCAAATATACAATGCTTGGACAAACGTTAGGACTTTACGAGTGATATCTCATAAAATATAGGAAATTAGAAGTTCATTATGTTACTAGAACCCTATCTGATAATTAAGTCCTCAGAATGTATGACCTCATCAGCGATGTGAAGAAGCTTACATATGCAAATATTTCACCTCTTAACTGATTCTCAGAGTCATGATCATCATTAATTGTTTACTCGTGAGATCTAAAACCGTGTATGCCAACAACTTAACAAGGTGCACTCTAAATCCATAAATGTGCTAACTTGATGAATAAACATTTACCTTCTAACCGTGCTAACTCTCACTTGTTGATGATCGAGAGAGTAGATTCCATACAAGTCTAAGCTCCGTTCATCATTTGCATAATTGTGATGCACATTGAGTGCCAAAATTAGCTAACTTAAGCTAAACTAAACTTCACGATGAGGATTCATTTATTTTAAATACTTCATTTGAACTAATTCGCAGGCGAAATCGGTCAGGCAGTTCCAGTCGCATCAAAACCCAGATCCCAAAACCAGCCCAAGTGTCCGCGAGTGAGGAGAGCATGCCCGTCCACAGGAAACCCGTTTTGGCGAGACGAGGTCAGTCTGTGACCAGAACGTCGTCCTCCCAAGTCAACGGCGAGCATGAGCAGTCTTCCCTGCCCCGCATGAACAAGTTCTCTGGAAACTCGGTCCGAGACCATGAGGGGAGAAAGCCATTCGACAGAAATGGGTCAGGTGATCATTTGGATGATGATGAAGATGGGGGTCATTACATCCAAAATAACAATGTCGTCTACTCCTACCAAGTGGATAATTCCTACTCCAAATCTTCATCCCTGTCTCCTCCCGAACTGAGAAACTCCGTCTCCACTGGGAATTTAACACGAGACACGGACGTTATTAGGTCACGAATCCCGGCCTCCAAGTCTACATATTTCGAGGTTGGAGAGGACGAGGGTCCAAGAACAGTGCGGCTGTCGTCACGTCGTGAAGGACCCTTTGGCGACGTGAGAGCTTCCATTGATGACGATATCGATCAAGGAGCAACCACGCTACCAAGCAGAAGAAACCCTGTTTCGAAAGCTACCACGGGAAGAATTGTACCCACGAAAGTCTACAAAGGGTAATTTATTTAATACTTATAAAAACCTCTGTCGTAATTTCCTGTTGTGTTGTATGGATAGGATTTTTAATTACATTAACAAATTAGTAATTCGTGTATCTACGAATGTGTTTTGTAAATTTTTTATTTAGATCGTTCCGGGAAATAAATAGTAAAAAGGCTGCGTCCAACGGTTCCACCCGAAACGAAATTTTCCCCTCAGATTTGAAGCCAGTCACATCTCCCAAGCACGCTCTACCTACAGCACTAGGCCAGTTAGAGTCATCAGATTGGTAAGTAAATATGGGTAATATGTGTCATTATGGATAAGGTAATTGCGCCCATTATTGAGGACGGGAAAGTTAATCATCCAATTTCATTAGGGAAACAAATGTGGACGGTTTTCGTCAAATGGTTCGAATGGTTCGTTTCGATCAAGACGCCATTAGAAATGACCTCCACAATATCAACCTTTCTGGAATCAAGCACTTGTCTAATCTTCGCTCACAAGTTTGCAGATCGGCAATCCTATTTTTTGAAGAGTTATTTACCCACTTGGGAAGGTCAATGGAAATGGTACGTACTTACATACTTACATATAAATATTGGCGTATTCTTGTTTATGCGGGTGGATTAAATATAGATTCAAGTGAGTTTATTTAATTTGTTTTCTTCAGGATTGTGAAAAAATCGCCGAAAAACTTTTGGACAAGTCGGCAGATACCAACAAATTTATTCGAGAAGCGTCGGGAAGGGCATTGGAGGCCATGATGATAAATGTGACTCCGCTGAAAGGATTAACTTGTTTGGATTTGTTCGGAACGAGGTAATTCCCATTCCTTGAGCTCACAAAATACAAATCACTTGGGCCCATGCAATGCCAAAGTTTATTCAGAATAAACTTTCCCCATTTCCTACTACTTCTACTCCATCATAATTGCTGCAATATTTTTTTGCCAGTAATATGCTAGCACTTACGTATATTTATGCTATGCATCTGTATATGCTAACATACATATGTATGTACTCATAAAAGACAATTATATTATCATGGACATGACCTTGGACCTTCAAGTAATTATGGGTTGATTACTTTCAGACATCGAAACCCAGTTGTGCGATGTATGGCATCGAAATTGACTGCAAAGTTGGTGAGCACGGTGGGACCGGAGCGATGTCTTGGTGAGCTGTCGGAGAGATTGTTGCCAATGTTATGCAAACTATTGCAAGAGGGCAGTTTGGAAACGAGGTATTGGATCCTTGCTAAACCGTCGATTGTATGTACTTAAAAAGAAACTGTTAACTTTTTAACAAATTTTGTCTCGTGCAGGACTTCGGCTAAAACTGCAATGTCTATGCTGATGACGCAGCCATCTTTCCACGTGCTGCTGAGACGTCATGTACCTGTGGATATTCTTCGTCATGCACAAAAAAATATTGATGCCCTTCAAAAATTTTAATATCTGAGAATAAACTACGTAGACATTTTTTGAATACTGACTGAGTTCACTCTTTTTACATCACTTTCTTGTTGAAAGATGTGATTTTTTACAAAGCTGACAAAATTATCTATTACTTGGTGTGTGACATGTAAAGTCTCTTGCTTCTTATTTTTGAAAAGTCCACACGAGAAACTTGAAATCTCCACTTTTTGCATCAGCCCCCATTGCATTACTTGCCACCACACGATATCCCAAATCGTCGAATAAGTTAAAAACAGGGTTCAGGTTGACCACCGGTGCAGTCGTGTCTTCAACAACAAAATTTACTTAAAATTAATGCCTCTTTTCTAACTGCAACTATATATTAACTATGTATTTATGTAAGTTGTAATTCTGTGTAACCTGTGCTAAGCTCACTCCAAGTTAAAGTGACGTACGTCTGCACCCCGGAACCCAAGAATCTGTCCACTGGTCGATAATCATAAGTACTAATTGTGTTGGATTGAGGTTTCAATGTTTGCAGCTTATCAACATGGTTTTGCGGCATACCACTAACCACTACCCACCATTCCATCCCCTTGCTTGATCGCATTCTAAGGGCACCACTGATTTAAACCTTTTCTTTATCGCATAAAAGATTAATTAAAACTTACTTGAGGTTAATCACGGGCATTTTATAAAAGTCGGGTTGGTTGGGCAAACGAATTTTTCAATATGCAAATGTAGTGATTTGATTCAATTTTATTTTAATGCAGTAATTATTAGTTTAAAGTGTATTCGATTGTATGCGAATTTCGCATTGCAAAACGATAATTATTATTGAGCAGGAGTACACAGTACAAGTGCAAATAACGATGTGTATGCATTTATAAAATGACATTGGGAAGCATTTTCTGTGTTTATTGAATTTTATGCGCTAAATCTCTTGCAGATTGGTTTGGATTGTTAAATTATAAACTGCTTTTATTGTCATATACCGACACTATCTAATCTAAAGGGATTACATAATTATGCGGTTAACTTACATATTTTGCGGTAAATTACCATTCCCAACCCAGATCTCTCCTTTTAGCATAATTATAAATAGCAGTGGAAAGTTTTACATTGGCATGAAACAATCATGAGAGAAATTGCAAAATATGTTGTGTTGTTAAAACAGGATAATCTTTACTTAAACCCCTCCATACTACGATGCATACACGATATCAATGCAATAAAAAAGACCTACACATTACAAACATAATTATTAATATTGGAGGAATACACAATAAATAGTTTTAAAATTCATCCATAGGAAATAAAATCATGATAGTTGTACAAATTAGTCGTAGATAAATAATAGTAGTACAAAACTTATTTTGAACTGCCCCCAATTAGGGCTTCGTCCATTAAGTCGTCATCAATTTGGTAAGGCGACGCAGCAGGGGAGGCAGACATCTGAACCAGAGGACTCCGTAGCAGAGCAGGTGAGGGCGAGTTAGGTTGAGGCGAGTGGACGATATGCACTGACGCGATGGACATGGTCGCACCACCTCCTCCAACCCCTCCCAAGGGACTTGGCACTCCCTTCGGTGACGCCGGAGGAGCAAAGACAACTGTCTGTGGAGAAGCAAAAGACGAATTACTTGATGAACTGGAAAGATCAACTGGAGCTGGGGGTGGAGGCATTTCTGGAGACTTTGATTTCTCTTCGACACATTTTTCAACAGTTTCCGATGATACACTTGTTGCTGAGTTTGGAGGGACAGTTTCAATTTCTTTTAATATTGGTACTGCAGAGGTATAATTGCTGTTAGCATGCCCATCATCAATAATAAGTCGATCTTCGTCTACGTCTTCAGGTGGGATTTGAGGGGGTGGCTGTGTCTGCAGATTCATTATCTGCGGAGGAGTTGGAATGCGAGCAGGAGACTGTTGCTGCTGTTGAGTTGCTGTTTCTGGGGGTGGAGTCACATTCATTCCACTTGGCGCCTGAACGGCATTTGGACCATCTGCGTTAAGAGGGGTGCCTGGGCTACTAACGGGATTCGTAGGAATTGTTTGTGGAGCACTGCTACTGTTCACTACAAGGTTAACGGGGTCAGGAGATTCAGGGGAAGTAAAATCCATACTGGAAACCTCATTGGTTCCTGAATTATTATTCCTGTTTATGCCGTGACCCAGTGGTGGTGACGTCGAGGCCAATAAACCTTTGGCTTGTTCTACTGCTTGCGGCGCTTGGGGTTGAGTAAACATGATGGCAGAATCCTCAGATTTTGATTTCTCCATGAACAAAGGGACTGAAGGTGCTATACTGTTAACTTCAATGAGGGCCGGAGGCTCTGAACGCCACGAGCCATCCGAGCTAGTGGCGGTGGAACATATTTCAGAAACCAACTCTGGTGGGGCCGTCGTATCCATTTCCATTGAGCTCGATGCTCCAACAAGAGATGCTGCTGGCACAGTAGATGATGTTGAAGCCTTTTCTTTAGCCAAACTAAAGTCCATAAAGTTGGACGTGAGAGATGGAGGTGGAGTCGATTTGCCAGATTTGCTAGTCAAAGTTGACGAAGAAGAAGATATATCTTTTTCTATACTGCTGCTGCTGCTGGTCGTCTTGTTGGAGTTGCTATTATTTTCATATGCGTTACTTGCACCTCGAGACTTTTTCGGGATTTGGAATTTGTTTGGATCAAAAATTGGAGCGGATGCGAAAGTTCCCGATTCCAAGCTTTTGACGGAACCAGGAAGAAACAGCTTTTTGGTCAAATCTTCAGATTCCAATCTGGGTGGTTTACCATCCTTTACTTTAGAGGACGGCGTGTTTCCAGGTTTCAATGATGATAAATCTTTCATCAGATCCTTGTTGATCGGGGTCGACTTTTTAGTGACAATGGCCAATTTTGCAGACAAGGCGGACAAGTGGGACAAGGGTTTCATACCAGGAATACCTTTTTTTATAACACCGCTGAGTGGGCTTTTAAGTCCGAGGCCACCAGGTTTTGGGGATTTTGTTGGATCCTTCAGCTTGGCCTTATTTATGGTCAGTTTCAACCCTTGACCTCCCTTTACCATGTACTCCTGTCCGGGCACAGTCGAATTTGCTGTGAGAGCTTTCTTTTGCTGCATTACATCATTGGTAATGGCAGAGGATACTTTCAAGTAGTCCTTCGCACTCATGGTTGTTGCTGCAGCAGAAGATGCGGAGGATTCCTTCTTGTCCAAGGAAGAAGAAGATGATGATGAGGAAGGAGGTCCACCAATGCTTGGTACTTCTGTGGAGGAGTGAACGGATTTTAACTTATCAATTACAGCAGCCAGACCACCTTTCTTGGCAATGTTGGTAGCAGCATGAGGTTTCTGAGCAGCATTGGCAACCAAGGTGGCAGCAGCTTGTTGTAATGCAGTAACTGCGGCTTGATTTGCTTGACTCATTAACTTGGCATCTGTGGTCGTCATTCTTGAACCCTCCATTCCACCAATTAGCTGGTTATTGCTGTCCCCTCCCGTCCCTTGCTGCTTAACTGGGGATGAGGGTACCGCAACTGCAGCGGGCGAGAGTGCCTTCAGCTGCGGTATGTTACCCATTCCCATAAAGCTTTTAAGTCCTTTTGTGTTGGGCTTCTTTATCTTTTGCTTAACTGCACTGTTTTCTCCGAGTTTCGGAGAGTTTGGTGTTGATGACGATGAGACTGATTTAAGTGTAGAAACACTTGGTTTGCCTTGACTGGTTGGGACACTTGGTTTAGAGGGACTGTTAAGAAGCAAGTTGGGCGAAGTAGGTTTTTTTGTAAAGTTGATATTTGGAGATATTCTGCCTCTGTTGTCCAGAAATGGGAGCTTTGTTGGTCGACCATCTCCTTCGCTTCCTCCTGCTGAAGGATCAAACTTTCTTTTCCCAGGAACTGTCCGATCTTTTGGCTTCTTGGGCTTATCCTGTTTCTCGTTGTTGTTATTGCTGTTGTTATTGGACTTTGCACTTGACATGATTGGAGTTACTGTCAAAGATGTTGGAATAGAAACTGGATTGTTATGAGGAAGAGGAATTATTTCGATGCCTGGTCGAATGGATGCTAAGAGTGAGGTGACGCTACTACTGGTTGTTGAGACTGGTGTAATACTGAGGCTTGGGGTAACCAGTGGTTTAAAGTCTTGTCCCTCAATAAGACTTTGAATGCTGGATATGTCCTCAGAAGAGTGTGAATCTAATGATAAGCTTCGTTTGGGAGTTGTCTTTTTAATAGCCATTTGTTTCTTGAAGGAATCCAAGTCATCTATGCTTTCCGATGACGTGTTCACAGGTGTAATGTCAATATTCCATCGAGAGTCAGGAAGTTGGTCCATGCCCAATTCAGTCATTAGCATATTTATGGCTGATGATTTGTCAACAGCAGCTCCACTCCCATCCGAGCTGTCACTTTGGCGTCGCATAGGACTGTGAGGAGGTCTAGAGGGAGACTGGCTTGGTCGAATCGATTGCGGACTAACTTTAGGGGATGGCAAATTGTCCGTCGTGTTCTTTCGCTTTCGTCTTTTCTGTGTCTGACCGACTTGATCTAGTAAACCCATCAGCATTTGAGACGGAGTTGCAGGATTCTGTCCCATCTGCGAAGCAATCATTTGAATGGCCATATTCTGAGTGATATTTGGAAATGGAGGACCCCCAGCCGCTAGGTTCATCTGGTTCAGATATGGATTCATATACGAAAGAATATCCATTGGACTCTGTGGAGATTGGCTCGCATAATTGCCAACCGGTGAAATACTGTAGGATGACGAGGCAGATAGTGGTGGTGGCGGTGGAGGCTTGTTGGTGGCATTTCCTGCTGCTACATTGTTGAAGTTCATTATCCCAGGGGGAACCATAACGTTTTGATGGCTCGCATTTGATTTACGGTCAGCCGATTCTGCTCCGCAAGACCTGTCGTTTATTCGGGTAACATCCAAGTTGCCTAATCCATTTCCTCCAACAGCCACGCTGAAGTCGGGATTTGGAGGATCCGCTTTTGCTTTCATACTCTGCCAACGTCGGATGACAGCTCGAAGAGTAATTGGTATTGACATGCTCCTGCAAGAAAACATAATCATCAAATTGTTAATTTAAGTAGCACAATCGTATTGTTAATGGAATAGTTGCGGTACACGTATTTACCTTTTTACAACTTTGCAAGCATGTTCTTCCAGAGTTGGGATGATATCAGTAACATTGGCCACCGCATGAAGATGACAATGAGGATGAGTAACATCTCTTAAATCAAATTCTAGCGTGACCAGGGAGTCGTCCAAAGGATGTTGAAACGAAACTGACAGCTTCTGGTGGGACAAGGCGCTCACTTCAAACACGATGTGATCCAATTCTGTTTAAAACAAGCCAAAATTTACTTTAAAAAATCACCAAAATTAATAATATGAAGATTTGGTAGATTTACTGACTAACCTGGTTTACTACCAACTCTAACACAGCTCCCCACGAGGGTATTAAAAGCTGATTGTTGGCGCAAAATAGCCACCACTTGTGGTAGCTGAGAAGCCAATGTAAAGCAAATTGAGGACACCATGACTCCTTCCAAACATGTAGTATCTGTCATGAAATAGCAGTGAACTTGATCTGGTAAAGCGACAAACAAGCCTTGCTCTGAACAGTTCAAAGCTCCGTCTGATAGCTGGTGAGTCACCAGATTTAAAATTGGCTGGGTGTCGGTCAAATCAAACGATTCAATTTCAGTTGTTGCATGAATTGCTTTAAGTAGATCTATGCATATCGGCATAGGCTTTCCAAAGTTCAAGACAAAGCAGGCAGGCAGAACCGTGCTGTTTGTGGCATTGAGAACTCCATACCTCGGTATGCTGAAAAAAAATTAAACTTGTGAAGACTCGTCATTTATAGTAAGTAATTATCATTAATTTTGGTTTTATTTTAATGTTTGTTACATACGTTTTCCCATCTGGTGTTCGGGTCAAGTTAACGGTTGTACTCATTTGAAGCTTGTGGGATGATGAAGCTTGAATGTGAATGGTGGCAGAACTCCCAAGTTTGTTGCTTATTACGGTGTTAACATCATTTGAAAGCATAGATTTTGTGGTAACGTCCAAAAACTCGTAAGGTGAAATGAAATATACAAGTTTCACAGGGTGCCCACCTTTCCTTGGTTGAAGTAGACCCAGCAAACATTTCATAATAACAGTATCCGCTTCGTTGATGTGTGAATACGTGGTTGATATTGAAGCCAAGTCGGCTTCGAGGCACTGAAGGGCAATATAAGCCTTGCTTTTGATTTTCTTATCCGCAGTAAGCTGATATATCGAAACTAGTCCTTCCAAATGTGCTGTAAAATCTTGAAAGTTTGTTTTCTTCAGACTTTCCACAATTTCCGGGCAACTCTACAACAAAATACAACAAAATAAGTCGACTAAAGTACAAAATAGTACAAACCAAACATGGACAAACAGACACAAACCTGTTGTTCAGTTTTTCCTTCATGTTGAATTTTAACATCTTCGACCATTCCATTAGAGTCAATCAAGAGTTCCAAGTAAAACATATCGGAATGAATGAACCACTCGTGGCCGGTTCCCCCAGGGGTAAACCGTAGACCCAACTGTCTTGCAACCATTTCCAGCCTCTCCACCATGCTCTGCAGCGAATTCACTCGGAGAGACTGTTGCAACGAGTCCAAAGACTTTTGAAGATTTCCTTTGTCATTTTGATCAATTATACACCTCCTCTCCTATTGTGTCAGTGAAAATAGATACTCATTTACAAACTATTTAAAATGCATACAAAGTCTAAATTGATTTTACCATAAGTGCTTGACGAATGTTTTTTGATGTGTCCACCAAAGGTTTCAACTGGACTGATTTTTGCCTCAATTTCTCCATCAGCAAATCCAGCTGCCATTTTGGAGGTTTTTCCCCCTCCTTGCCACTACTACTACTGTTACAATTACTACTGGGGCCAACAGTCGAGGACCCCAGTAAGGACGCAAGGGATATTCCAGGAGGGGAAGAACCGTTAGTTATTGCGTTTGTTGTTGTACATGCTGCACTTGACGTTGATGTGTCCATCGAAGTAATTGACCGGGACGAGTTGGCCGTTGTTGTAACCTGCCCTACCTCCATCGTCCCACCCACCACGTTGGAAACCTATGGGGAATTACATAAATTGAATATTTAAAAAAAGTTTAGATAATGCGAATCTATTCAGTAAAACAATAGCAAATTCAATGGAATTAAACGGAAACTTATTAAATTGCATGTAGAAATTAAAGTACAACATTTCTATTAATTAAAGCTTACCAAATAAATGTGTGAAATTCAAAGTTGCACTTTTTTAATTTCGAGCTTTCTCTTCGTAAATTTGTATTTATGGGTTGATCGACCGAAATAGCAGAGTCTGAGCAGATGCGCCACGTCCACATCCTCCGTGGGGCATTCTGACATGGTCAATTTGACAAAATAACGTCTCATTTGATGCATAGCTTCATGCATTGACCTAAAATTGGCGAAATTAAACTGAGTACGAGGGATTGACGTTGTAATAGCCATAGGTCATCATAACGTATGTGTGTATATGACGAAATATTTTTTTTATTTCAATTTTAGCCTGCTTCTGGTGGTAATTGATAAGGTGGTCCAAGTTCTGATCCTGAGAGGATCTAAAGTCTGCGCTTGGGTAAGGATTTGCACGAGAGTGGAAAACTTTGGTTCTTTCGCCACGCCGCATCCATCCACCACTCTCTCACGCTGACTGACAAACTGGTCCCCCATTATTTAGGAAAATTGGTAAGTTTTCTGAAATTTCCAAATTTCAAACAAGTCGTGATTTTATGTAATGGGAGTTTTAAAGGTTTTTGGCAGGGTGACATTAATTTTAAAGCGAAAAGTGTTCATTTTATTGGTTTATTTTGTTTTATATAGTTGCAAATTGTAAGTTATCTTATAACTAAGAATTTCCTTGCAAATTAATGGACACTACATACGTTTCCAAATTGTGTGAATCATTATTTTTTTACAAGATGAAGAATAATTTGTGGTTAATAAGCATGATTTGCTTTGGTCACATTTCTAAATCGTTACCCGTTTTACAGGATTGTCAGGCCGATCTTTGTAAGCAATGAAGGCCCAAGGAGAGGTATGCTCACAGTAATATGATATTCATACTTGATGATTGAGTAAAATTGTTGCGTGTGATTTCTATAGTTGAAGCAGTATGAAGTCATCGGGAGAAAGTTGCCTTCTGAGAAGGAAAAGAATCCTCCTTTGTACAAGATGAGGATTTTCGCCCCAGAAAGGATCGTTGCAAAGTCTAGATTCTGGTACTTTTTACGGCAACTTCGAAAGTTCAAGAAGATGACGGGTGAAATTGTTTCTGTTAAACAGGTATTTCATTTTCATTTAATATTTATGATTTAAAAAAATGTTTAGTATTTTCTACCATGATGGACTAGTGTAGTATAACTGCATTATTATCACATCTTACATACTAATACAACATGTATTGCTTGTTGCTTACAGATCCCTGAAACCTCACCAACTCGAGTTAAGAACTTTGGAATCTGGTTGCGATATGATTCCAGATCCGGAACTCATAACATGTACCGCGAGTACCGAGAGCTGAGCACAACCGCAGCTGTAACTGCTTGTTATAGAGATATGGGTGCTCGTCATCGTGCCCGTGCTCACTCAATCCAGGTATTTATCGTATTTGTAATTTCGGTAGAGGACGTCAATTAACTAATAAGTAATTTTGAAATCTTTCTACAGATCATCCGAGTAGAAGAAGTCCAGGCTTCGAAATGCAGACGCCCAATTGTGAAACAATTCCACGACGCCAAGCTTCGATTCCCCTTGCCCAAGAGGATCGAACAAAAGCACACATTACCCAAATTCTCCTATGTCCGACCTAAGACTTACTTTATGTAACTCCTGGAATGATTTAAACTTGTTTCGTATTTTAATTGTCACCTATCATTTGAGGAGGGTAATAAAGGTGGTCTTGTTGAATTCCTATTGTGTTCTCGACACCTCATTTACTATGCTTATCTCGCTCCTGCGAATTAATGTGAATGGATGAGGGAATACTGTTGAAATGACTAAACGACGAAAGGGTTTCTTTTAGAACTCAAAATCATGAATATATATGCAATTAATTCATCCAGGAGTTCAAACGGCGTGCATAACTATTTTACAGTTTACTATACTACATTCTATTTATGAGCAAATGGTTTTGAACAGTTTCACTTAAATTATAATTTTATTGTAAATTGTTGTTCACGTTTCACAAATTTTTCATTATCTATTTGGTTCTCTGTCCAAGGGGTCTGTTGAACATGAGGCTTCCCAGCGGTACCCACTCCTTCCGCACTCCATTGTTGTTGTCGAGCATGGCGCGGATGCTGGCGAAAATGTTGGTGTTCCGGAAATACTCCATCAGCCTACTCATCGACTCTGCAAAATATAAAAAATATAAAATATTTGCAAAATTGAGCCGACGAGTAAATATGTACAACGTGGTTGTTCTCATTGTTCTGACCCATCATTCTCCTCGGAGTTCTCACACTGTTGGGAGAAATGTTATCTGCTGTTGGTTGGAGAAAACTGTGAGCTGTTAATCTCGTCTCGCTCTGTATTGTATTTTATATAAAAAAAATTCAAGTATTATTGATAAAAACTAAAATTAAGAAGTTGTATAAACTTTATATGCAACTTAAATAAAATGACCAACTGATTACCGGAATTACAGCAGCGGATAAACAGCCATGTGGCGACGATGACACCACAATCAACATGACCACCAGCAAAATTTCTGGAAATGCACGAGTCCAAGTCATTTTGTCTCAGCCTTCAGTTCTGCGTGAATGATTGATGTGCTCCGAAATGCGAATGTCACCGAAGCTGACTTTCTCTCCCCTTTATAAAAGTGGGACATTATTTTATTTTATTCTGGTTGGTGGATTTAATTGCTATTGAGCACTTAATCTTCGAAATAACAAGGTGTAGGTGAGGGATGAAGACTATTGCGAACTACTGCGAATGGTGAAAGACCTACTTTTCATGAAGATTTGATGTGCAAATGTTTGTATTTCATTTCATTGCATTACAACCGAGCTGATTGTACAAATTAAAATACATTGGGTTCATTTATGTAGGAGAGACTTATTCCTGTTGTAGGTGCTAATTTTAACCATCAACACTGTACTCATTTGATCTTCAAATCGTCTTCTGGTCTAACGGATTTTTAGAATTCATCCTAATGTTTCATATATATAGCCAGCACCAATCAATGTTGTTTGGAGAAAGAAGGATCGTTTACTGTTTTTTTTTGTTGTCGTCCTACTTTTATCTGTACATAATGAGCCCCCGAATCCGTAGTGGGTGCGGCCTGTCGCTTGAGGACGCATGACGACGTGCATGCCTCAGCAGTGACGATGTTCCTCAATTATCAGATGGATGCAATAAAAAGTGTGTCATTCAAAAAGGGAATTAAAAGTATGTGAATTGGTTCATCTGTCCAGCCATCTAATTTCATATATGGTCATTAATTATTTATGCTTGGGACGGGAGATACATTTCATAAAAACAATAAAAACCCCATGAAGTTTTTGACTGTATGCTGTAAAGGCAATGGATGAATTGTCAAGTATTTTGTCTCACGGTAATAAATTAATCAATCACATCAGTAATCTAATCAATCAAGAACAATTGCTCCAGGCATATATACGTATGTACATATATGTACCATAGGCTGAGAAATTTGTCATATGGTTAGAGGCTATTGATTTGAAATTCAATTTATAAAAAAAATGAGAAAAATCCTTTGGAATTTGAAACTTCAGACACACCCTGCATGATCAAATAAACTCACCTTCAGGCAGTCATCATGAAGACTTTGGTCATTAATCAGTGTACGAAACGAACTGTAGGTAGATGGACGTGCCAATCAGCTAGTCAATAAAGCAATTTGCTATAATGTTTGGCATCAATATATATCTGTTGGTAACTTTGATCTTTACTGCCGGCAGGTGCGAATCATTAGATCAAGCGTCACCTTTGCAGCAATTGTACTCCATGGCACACACTTTGATCTCAGAAAATTTTGCACGGTGCACTCTGACGGTCCTTTCTCCAGAAAGGAATAAGAATGAATCTTTCTCCCAATATCCGATTGACCACTTTTCCGGCTTTGAAATACCCGTTCAACAATTAGCCAGCACCAGGACGCTTTCATTAAGAATGATTCCCCTTAAATTCTTAGACAGCGACTGTAACCTATTCATCGTCGAGATAACAAAAAAGTGTGTCATGCCACAAATATTGAATGTTATTCGATCCCAAATTTCTCCAAAACCACTGCACAGTGCAAAAGTAATATTCTTAAATCTGTTACCTCGATCTGAAAGTCAGCAGAAGCATAATACGATCCTCACTTTGCCACCTCTTAACCTCATTCCATACAAAATGGAAATGGTCCTCTGTTCGGCAAACGGTCCTCCTCGCCATCACGATCTTAGGTCGAGAAGGGTTTTACTGTTCAGTTACTGTGAGTACTGCCCACACCCAGGAGATATCGTCCTAAGTCGAGGCTTTCACCCGAAGGAAGGGTTCAGGAAGTACCAGCCTTTATTTTTTGGTGCCATGCCCAGAAACTTTCATCAGGCCTTCATGAACACGGTTCTTACTCAAACCTTCACCAAATCCGGTGTTAATACATCGACAATAAGTTATATAAAGCTCGTCAGATATCCCGTGATCCCATTTCTGCGAGAAGTGCTTTCGGCCCTAAATTTCACTTATAATCTGAACAAGAGCTCGTTTGTGTCATTGCTGAGCAAGGATTCGGAGGGGGTCTCATTTCACGCGAGGATGAACTGTCATCTCAGTCGCAATCTGCTAACCCTTGGTTCTGGATGCCTGACCTCTGACCCCGTTGCCACTTGGGGCTTACAACTTTCCAGCTATTACACGCATGAAACTGGGATTTTCATGTATCGCAGAGTTGCCCTCGAAGACCAGAGGGCAACGGTGACACAAAGGCTTGAATTACCCATCAAAGTATTGCTTAGCTTGGCATTTGCGACTGCGGCGTATACTATTTTTCGACAGTCGTTACGTAAAAAGACCTTCTTTCCACAACGAACGACTATTAATATTGTTACTGCACCATCTCAGATGAGCCTGCATACAAGAATATTTCAAATTTGGTAAAAAAAAATAGAATATTATTACCATCAATCAATAATGACGAGTAGATTTTAAATTAGCAAGTAATAATAATCATATTGTTCAGGTTGAAGGTGTGGAACACAACTTGGAAAATGGCACCAACGTTTTTTCAACAACGATTCCTACCACATTGGAAATCGCATAATAAAAATCAGTCGGCTTCTTTGATGCTAATTTCCTTGTGCTGCATCGCAATCACTTTAATTTGGCACTTCAAGATAATTCCTTTGTCAGAAATGATTATTTCCAAAAATTTTGTAGAGCTTCGGCAGCTTTCTGACATAGTAAGACTTTCAAAATCGGGAATGCTTGCGGATGGGAAAGTAAAGAAAATACGAATCCTGAACATGGTGGACGTAGAGTTTTGGAGAAACTTGAGCCACAACCAAGAGGACCAAAAAGGTTTGGAAGTACTGAAATCTGAAATGGAGAATACTAAATTACCCCGAGAATGTTTTGAAAAGCCAAGTCGGAAGGATTTGGACACTTATTACATCTGTGTGTCAGGGTTCTTCCCCAAGAGCTTGAACTCGGGTGCAACTTCCATCCAAGGATTTGCTGACCATGGCTTGGAAGTTAGGCAACTTGGAGCAATGCGATTCATGAGCCTGGTTTTTCACCAAGATTTCCCCTTCCTGGATATTTTTAGTAGAAAAGTATCTCAACTTGTGGAGTCTGGAATTTACAATTATTGGAAAGAGATGCCATCGACCAAATTTAGAGAGGATGGAAGTTTAATAAAAATTCATGAGATGAATGAAACAGAAATGGCCAAGTTCCTGAAACAAAAAATGTCAAGGAATCATTTGGAGAAACGGAAGGACAGCCTGAATGGACGTCAAATCGGCGAATTCTACTCAATGTTTGTAGCTCACGATGTAATTGCAACGATAATTGGGCTGGCACCTCAAATACTTGTTTCTTTTCTGGTATTTTTGATTGAGATCTTAGCTGGAGGATCAGGTAGACTTATAACGAGGCGATTTTTAAGGAACTGTAAGAATTTCTGCACACTAGTTTTGAGACGAGTTCGCGCAAGGTTGAGAATCATGGATGGTTACATTGATTACCCGATAGTGTGGTAGTAATTAAATAATAGCAGCAATTTTCCAAGAAAATATTCAAATATTATTATACATTTAGTATCAAGCAGCTTGTCCACGCGTCCAGAATTGTAGGAAATGCTGGAGTATTTGTGTTTTATGAGTTTTACATGAAAAAGGCATAGTAAAGTTTTTAGCAACCAACAATTAATTCCAAATAGAAGCACCAAGGTTTATTGATAAGTATATTTGTAATTTCTGAGTTGGCATTTACTGTGAGAATATGCACATACATGCACACAGATCTCAAGGAAGATACGCTTGACTGCCACTCTAATAACTATTTACATACACTATACCTCCAATTGATGGAGTTGTACATCGTTAGTGAACTATCTGTATTTCCTCGCAATTGTTATTTTACCCAATTAAAATTACTCCAAATTTTTCCGTCTTTATTAAAATCTTAGCTCGTATAAAAATGCTCGTATAGTGTCGACTAGCGAATAGGACCAGAATAAAACTCATTTTGTCTTATGCTTAAAAGCAGTATTTAAAAATTTCGATATTTAAAATGATTTTCCAAAATGTTGTCAGTTTATTGGTAATATTACATGTTGTGGTAGCACAGGAAAATATTGAGGAAAAAATTTTCGAACAAAAATTGGATCACGAAAATAGTAGCAGCACCACTACTTGGCGACAGGTAAGTATACAAAGATTAGTATTTAGTGTGCATAGTATATGTATGTGTAATTATTAAATTTGCTAGAGATATCTTGAGAATCGCCAATTCTTCAAACCTGGAGGACCAATTTTCGTGTACTACGGAGGCCCCACCCACAGTCCATTTAGCCCTACAGTTTTACAAACTGGATCCATGACCACCTACGCCAAGGAACAAGGTGCGAACCTCGTGGCCCTGGAATCGAGGTACTACGGACGGAGTCGCCCAACTTTGTAAGAACTAAAATCGACTATTCAGATGAGAAATTTTTATGAAAATGGAAACAACCTCACTTTTTCTCAACTTCGTCAGAGATCTTTCAGAGGAAAACCTCCGCAGATATTTAAGTCTGAAGCAAAAAAGAGAAGACTATGCAGAATTTGTTCGTTGGCTTAAAAGACAACCCGATTTTACGGTGCAAAACCTATGCATTAATAAAAATGATATAAAGAATACCATGCAATTATTAAATTGTCTGGATTATATATGTGCACAGAATTCTAAAATTGTGGGGTTCGGTTCAGGCCTAATCGGCTCTTTAGTGCTCGACGTGATGAACACCTATTCCGACGGTGTCGTTGACATTGGCGTCATCTCCTCAGCACCGGTTGAGTATCGTTATGAAGTCCCAGGTGTGCATTATTATTGCTCCTTTATTATTGAGAATCTAAAATGAACGAAAAATGTATTAACAATGAACCTTGAATTCTACATAATACATATTTACAGAGTACGTCGAAAAAATGGTTGAACTTTTGAATACTTCGCACCCAGAATGTTACGATTCCATACATGATACGTTGATATGCTTTGAAAGACTTTCGAAAGGAGAAGAATGTCAAGGTCATGTTTTCAAGGATTTGAAAAACATGTTCAAGTAATTATTTAAGATGTACTTTTATGTACTTGTGCATAGTTGTGCTATTTATTTCATGTGAATGATGCTTATTGATTATTGCAGCTTATGTGGCGACATTGATCAAGAAAACGCGTTGGATATCTCCACCCTGCGACTTTTGTCTCTCCGAACTATTGCAACCGTAATGTCCACAAACGATCCAGACCCAAATGCTTCATACAACACGGAAAAGATGTGTCGTGCGTTGGAAGACAACAGCACAAACCTCACCCATTTTGAACGTTCGGCTTTGGAGGTACGAAAGATAAGCTCCTTCTCAAAACAACCCTGTGTAGAAGCCAGATTCGACAAGGTCATTGGGGCATTGCACAACTCAAGTTGGGACTCTCCAGCAGTACTTAGTGGACAAAGACAAACGATGTGGCTGCGATGTTCTCAAACTGCAATGATAAGAACACCCGTTGGGTTCCGCATGTCAGACAATGGACAATTCATAGTGACCACGATTGAAGAAATGTGTAATCGACTATTTAAGTAGGAGCTATAATTAGAATGAACAAACACCCATTTGTATTCCTAATTGCTAATAATTAACTTTTCCATCATAATTTATAGTATTTCATCTGAACAAATGAAACATAATTCTCAAGAGGTCAACCAACTTCACGGGAGTCGACGCCTTCCTTCTAAATGTGCAGTTTTTGTCACCGGATCGGATGATTTGTTTCAAAATGTTTCTGTTACAACACAGTCTGAAGTTGGTAATTGCAACCGAGCTTATTTGATTCCAGGTATGGTAAACCGTATAGATAAGCATCGTAAAGAAGAATATTGACTAGTCTGCATTTTGCAGGAGCCTCATTTGCTAAGAATACGGGAGAAATTAAGCCTGAAGGAATGTCTTATCCACCCGCACTTCGAATGAGCCAATTGGAGATTGGGTCAATAATTGGGTCATGGTTATCCAGCGGAAACTGTTGCCTCCCTCAAGTCAAAGAGTTTTATGAAAATCCTTCAAAAATCTTTGACCTATTTTAATGTATCTAAAGAAATCCTAATAAATCTCATTTCCTGTCGTGAATACTTTGTGGTTGATCGTTGATCAGTCTCACTAAAAACTAAAAATCTCACTCGAACGAGGAGTCCACAGAGGTACCTTGGTCGCCATCTACGAAAGAAAGTAGATTCTGCTTGTCATTCGCATTCGGCTGCGATCTTTTTTTTCGCTCGCTTTCTGCTCTCGCTCTCTCTCTGACTTATAAAAATCGAAATTGTAGTTTATTTTAATTTATCAACATTAAATATCATATACTAACTGACTTTGTGTTTAATTGACTTTGCCATGCGGGCATAACTAACACGGCAGCACCCATAAATAATTAACCGTAACTACTCGTTGGGTGTTGTTGGTGTTGTGTTGAGGAATTGCTTGGTAATTTTTTAAATGATTCAGTTATTTAAAACTTAAACTTATATAGAAGTGAACGGATACAGTTTTAAATTATGACATGTTAACATTTAACAGGAAAAAGACACGATGGAGTACGGTATTGGGATTACGAACCGGTACGCCTTTTTGGATGATGATGTCGCCGACATTGTCGTGGAGCGGAAGAAGCCGGCTCCTGCCGTCGTTCCATCGGTGAAAAACAAAAAGAAAGTTCTGGATAAGAGTAATAACAACAACAAGAAGGTTGATAAGCTCCCTCCTCCAAAGGAGAACCCGAAGGAAAAAGAGGTGGACAAGAAAGCCGTAGCAGGTGTCCCCCCTCAAACCGAAGGTACGCAAAATTTTAAAGCTAAGCTTTTATAACGTTGAACGTTGTTTAATGTTATTTTATTTATATCCACAGGGCGCAACAACTCTCCACGTCGATTTTACGATAGAGGTACTCGTATCTTTTTTCGAGGAAATCGCAATGCTCGGGGAGATGGCGACCGGGATAAGGAAAATTACGAAGGGGATTCTCGGGGAAATTACCATCGTGGAGGAGGTGGAAATCGAGGTGGCCGGGGTGGGTATGGGTACCCTGCTGGACAAACTTCAATGCTTGGAGACGATTGGGGCGAGGGTGGTCCCACTACTACTGAGCCACACCGAGAATATGGGTATGGAGGTGGTCGAGGGGGCCGTGGTGGTGGTCGTGGATTTGGACGTGGGGGCAGTAACAACTATGGATTCACTCGCCGACGAGATTTTGATCGTACTTCAGGATCAGACAGAAGGCAAGAATAGATAAAGACTTGAACATACGCTTTTGTGAAATGTTTTTTAACATTGGTTTTTGTCTACAAAGTGGTGTCAAGTCAATGGATAAGCGAAATGGTGCTGGGGCTCACAATTGGGGAACATACAAGGATGAAATGTGGTAATTATTTTACTATTTTTAAACAACGATGTAACAAATACGAATGGGAAATATTTTGTTTTGTTTTATTAGCAATGTTCCACAGCCTCAGTCCGACGAACTGAATTTAAATGGTGAAGGAGAGGTGGACCCATTTTCAACGGAAAATGGTCAAGGGGACAATGCTGGACTAAACAACAATGGAACGTGTGTATTTTATTGCATAAGACGTATCCAACTAGTCTCAGTTATCAGTTTTGATTATGGTTTTGGTTAACAGGAATACTGAAACAACTGAAACTGAAAGTTGGACTCAACCATCAACTGAAAATGATTTGGATATGCATGGGCTGGAGTTTGAAGACAAGGAAGAAGAAGAGCCCAAAACGATTACTCTTGACGAATGGAAAGCGATGCAGGTAAAAAATGTGCTTCCTTATATTTTCTTTGAGTGTACTCGTTTAACGATCAACTTGCGAAAGATAATTCTAATTATATTTTTTATACTGTATCAGCAACCAAAGCCATCTCCAAGCTTCAACATCCGTCAACCTAATGAAGGAGAGGATCCTACGAAATGGAAGAACTTGGTTCTGAAGAAGAAAGAAAATCTTGATGACAGTGATGAAGTGATCTATGAAGAGGAGGATATTTGGGTTCCTCAACGAGCAGGACGGCAGAAACTAATCACGGGTAAGAAATTGGCTAATTATTTATTGAGTAAATGTAGGATCTTGTTATTTAAGAGTATAGCTAACATAAATTATGAATGAAATGAATGTCATATACTTATTTATAATTCTGCATATATTTACACCATATCATTATCATATGTAGGTGCTGATGTTGGATTTCATTTTGCTCGAGAGGACCGAGAAGAAAAGCGAATTTTCCGTGGTAGGGGCGGTGGGGGTTACAAAGAATCCCGTGAGCGTAGTGCAAATGGAGACGGGGATTCAGAACCGTCTGCTCGAGGTACTGGATACCGTGGGCGAGGTCGTGGCGGTCGTGGGGGCCGTGGCGGGTCTCGAGGAGGATTCCGTGGTGGTAGAGTAAGTTGTTCTTCTTGATTATGATTTAACTAATTCCTTACACGATCCTATTAATCAATCTGTATTTTAGGAGCAGCAAGGACCACGTGATGTCCCACGAACTGATGACCTACGTGAATGGCCAAGTTTAATATGTTGAATGAAATCTCTTGTGCTAACTGCAACATTTGTGCTTAGATTATCTTAACTAAAAATTTTCCTAATTGCAATAACCAACTATATAAAATGTTTTGAAACATATATATCTATAATTTATTCGATTGAAGCTCTAAACTATGTCCAACCCATAAATAATTCTACTTTGCCCAACCATTTTTACATGGTTAAATTCATTTATAGAAACAAGTTGTCATTATCTCTCGTTAGCAGTTAGATTTTATACACTTCAATGAACAACAGTAGTGTAGATTTATTAACTTCAACAATAAATCAGATCAATACAAAACAAAACGTTGAGATTTTTCTTTGATGTTTGACATCTTGTCTCGCATTGTTTTACCACAATGTAATTATCATGCTGGAAACCCATTCACACTTCATCACCATCATCAGCCTCTTGTCATTCAATCTACTGTTCCTATCTTCAGATCATGTCATATGATTCAAGAACGATGCAAATTTTCCATCACGAGAAAAGTTAAGGCAGGCCACGAGATTCGGGTTTTCTTTATAAACAGGAAGAACGTATTTATAACTCTTGTCTCGGTGCCATGAGGAAAAGATTGTCGTCGTGCTCGGTTTTACTGTACTCATAATCCGACCTTGCCACATTGCACTTTGTTTTCACTGTATTACACAGTAAATGCACCTGGCATTCAAAGATCATGGCTAAAAGTTTCACTGTCACGAGTACTTTAAACGAAATTAAAAATGTGGACGATATTTTCGAAATGGTTGGAGGTTTCGGGAAGTTTCAAGTTTTCATTTTAATTTTGTTACTCTCGCTCGAAGTCCCAGCAGCATTTTTAGTTTTCTCTCCAGTATTCACTGGTAACTTCAAGTACTTAATTTCCCCATGCATATAAACTTGAAAATACATAATGCTTATTAATTGCATGTTAGGAGGGACACCGACGGAGTGGCAGTGTGGAAATGAAACCATTCTTAAAAGTGATCCTGAATTTTGTAGTTACAATTGCTCACTAACTTCACACCATTCCACCATTGTTTCAGAGGTAGTACATATTCTGGGTTAATAATATGAATTTATTTGCAAAATGTCGTCCGATTTATATATCTGGAGCTTAATATATTTGTAGTGGAACTTGATTTGTGACCTTGGCTGGGTCTCTGATTTTATCACAACCCTGCAAATGTTGGGAATGTTTTTTGGCAACGTTTTGACTGGGCAATGTGCAGATTGGTACATATATGCAATGATTGAATTGTAGTTAAACTAATAATATTATAAATCACTTACATTGTGCTTATGTACAACAGGTATGGAAGGCGTTGGACACTTCTGGGTAACGTCTGCGTGTTATCATTCGGGACAATTATGTCCGCTGTTTCCACGAATGTATTCATGTATGCAGTTGCAAGACTTATTTGCGGTATTGGATTCTCAGGTACATCAACTTTTTTTAATGCTTTTTGAATTTTATGCACTTTAGTTGAAAAATGACATTAGATATAAACTCTACCTGACTCGGAATAACTGTTTTGTAGGGTATATCTTTTTGTCGATGACGTATGCAATGGAGTTCATGACTCCGGACTGGCGAAGTATATGTTCCAGTGTGGGACCCTTCGGCGAAGGAATTATGCTCCTTGGCGTACTCGGATATTATTTTCAGGACTCCTGGAGAACACTTTTGCTTGTTTCTGCCATTCCATACTCTCTCATCTTCATCATTTTTCCGTAAAATTAATTAAACTCATGTAAAAATGCTGATATGAAAAGCTATGTATAATACGTACATAAATTTTCATAGATTGCTTCCAGAGAGCCCAAGGTGGTTGTTACGAACCAAGAAAGTTGAAGAAGCCCATAAAGTTTTCAGCTACATTGCTCGAATAAACCAAACCAGTCCAGTGACCATTGAAACATTGTACAAAGTTGCTGACCTTGACGGCAACTCGGGGGACCAAAACGTCAAAAAAATTAGCTACGTGCAATTTTTCAAAAATAAGGATACCAGATTTACAACACTCTGTTTAATGGCGATTTGGAGTGCATGGGCAGTTATGTATTTTGGGATTGGTTACAACATTAAAAACATTGGGTCCAAAATATATCTCAACATGATTTTTATGGGGCTCAGCGATGCTGTGGGATACCCATGCTCCTATTTCGTCAATTCTATGCAAGTCAAATACCGAAATTATTCAATTTCAATGCCCATCTACGTATTTACGACATATGTTTAATATCTCCTAATAATTCCATCGACAGGTGTTCAAGGAAAAAGTCATTAGCCGGATTTATGACCGGAGCCGCAGTTTTTCTCTGCGCTCTTGCAATTTTGCAGCTATTTTTGGACTTGTCGCAAGAACCGACGATAGTTTTAGCTCTGTGTTTGACCGGCAAACTCTTTGCTGCAGCGGCTCGTGCGTCAGCTCGAACGCTAACTGGAGAATCATTTCCAACGTCAATTAGAAATATGGGGTTCGGAATGGTGGGGGTGTCTGCTTCGCTCGTTGGTCTCGTTGCACCGCAGTTGGCATATCTTGGATCACGTACGTTGACCAATTATTCTTAAGTTATTTACTAATTGAAATGTAATCAGACAATTAAATGTGTGGGACTATTATGTGTATCAATTTATATGTCTTTCATAGGCTGGCCATCTGTCCCCCTTTTTGCCTTTGCAGCTTGCTCTCTACTTGGGGCAAGTATATCGTTTTTGTTAAAGGAAACCAAAGGTCAACCCATGATAGAAGAGATCAATAAACCAGGACGTAAACTCAGCATAATTTCAATTGTTGCTGCCAACCTTCGACGTTTGAGCACTGGTGGTGGTGATCTAAAACACTGACTAAAAAATTGCAGACATGTATCGTACAATTCGTACAGACAGTGAACGTTTTTACTACTTTTTCCGTGAACTTGATCCACGCATGAAGATGCATAATCTAATGTCATAATATATTTGAGAATTGAGTAATTTTCCATCATTTTCTATCTGTTGTGGTTATAATAAAAATTCATTTTTTGATCATCAATATTCACCTCATTGTATTGTTTTATTATTGCTCAAGTTAAACGATTGTAGTGAAGAGGTGTATTCACTTCAATCCTCCTCACTGCAATTGTGTCCTGTTAAAGAATGGATAGAGATCGTGTGAAACATGGTCAGTTCGTCAAACCAGTTGAAGCAGAAATTACGCCATATAGTTTGTACTGAGCAATTGATGATTTGATTATAAGGCCAAACTATGCTTTTGATAGGTAAAAGTGCACAACCAGTAATTTGGGGACGAGAAATAGACAAACAGTTCTGATTGCAATTAAATGTGTGCATTTACTACAAATAATTCTATATTATGTAATAGTTGATAGTAGCCAACAAAGTTAAGGCCAATAGGTGAACTTTTTCCACTACGAGTCATGTATCACTGCCAATGATCTCTCATCAATTTCATGAATGATTGTCTAATCGTAAATAGTATGCATGTACATATGTATGTGATTATTAGTAAGTATTATTCATAGTTTCATAGTTAACTTAATTGTTAGTAACAATTTGAGACATGTCTGCATCAGTAAATGCAGATATGTGCACCTACTTACTTGCTTACGTATACCGCCATCAAATAATAATGTATCTGTAAACTGAAATTTTTCTTTATTGTACAATCAAAACAGGGAACAACTTGTTGCCAGTGCAATATGCCCCCACAAATTCGGACACTTCAGTCAAGAAGCTTGTTTGGTTTACTATTGCAAAGAATATTTACTCACCGGCTCCCTTTTCCTATTCTGACAGCGTGGTTTACCTCTACAGTCATCCCATTGTTGGTATTATTTCTTGCTGCCAGTTCTTACTATGTGGATTTCATAAAAAGTACAAGTTCTGACTACTTTCGGAATGATAATGGGGTCGACCTCTTTGATTTTATTGTTGGTAAGTCAGGCAGATTCATAATTTGGTAAGGGCTCCACTCTGTGCTATTCTAATCAATCTCAATAAATCTGATTTTATGTAATGCTATGCATCGCAGTTGGGGGAGGCTCTGCAGGTAAGTGTACTTATGCTTATCTCGACGTACTCAAAAGTACCCACAAGCTACCCACAATGAAGGAAATATTGTTCTTTTTGGTACTTAGGTGCAATCGTTGCTAATCGTTTGTCTGCCAAATATTCGGTCCTGCTCCTCGAAGCTGGGGGGGATCCGCACCCCTTCTCCTACTTCCCCACGACCTCCCTTGTGACCCTTAACCTTCCCATCATTGACTGGGGGTATAAAACAGTGCCTCAGAAACATGCCTGCTTCGCCTTAAGGAACAAGGTACATGAGTGCAAAGCTTAGATAATCCTGTCACATGTCAACATATCAAACATGCTGGAAACATACTGAATTTTGCATTACTCGCAGGTATGCAACTGGCCGAGGGGGAAGGCTTTGGGAGGAAGTTCGGTTCAGAATATTATGCTTTACTTGCGAGGAAACCCTGAGGACTTTAACCAGTGGGCGGAAATGACGGGAGATGACAGTTGGAGCTATGAAAACGTGATTCCCTTCTTTAAAAAGCTGGAGGATTATCACGGATACGAGACTCCAGGTATACTCAACTAAACTACATGCATACATTTGCTAACGTCCATACCACCTTCGACATTCGACTTGAATGGGGTGACTGCTAAAGTGAGACCATGTTGGATGTGCTGATAGAATCTGCGAAATATCACGGAAAAGGAGGTCCTATGCATATTGAGAAACTCCGCTTTGCTCCCGGCCTTGAGCATTGGTTGGAGGCTGGCAAAGAGTTGGGCTACGACCAAATTGATGCGAATGGGTATCAACGCGTGGGTAATATTTTACGATATTTTTGCATCACTTTTAACTAGGATTTCTTACCATGTCGTTTATACACCGTTCAGGGTTTGGGGGAATGGATGTTACGATGAAAAACGGTCGGAGATTTAGCACATATTCCGGCTACATCAAACCCATTCTGGATAGAAGAAATCTAAAGATCTACAGATACGCTGAGGTTACAAAGGTACTGACCCATATTTACTACTCTGATAGGTTATCAAATTTCATTTTAAGGGCTGGGTTACGAGTACAAACATGAACCTCAGGATTTTTGAGAGGATGACGTGCATATTACTGTTATGCAGATTCACTTGGACCACACGAACACAGCCACTGGCGTTACTTACATGAGACACGGTGTTACAAGGGAAGCAAAAGTGTCAAAGGAAGTTATTTTGAGTGCTGGTTCCATAAACTCGCCCAAACTTCTCATGTTGTCAGGGATTGGACCACGGGATCATCTTACTGAAATTGGGGTTAGGAATTTAAATTCCAAGATTCACAAGTTGCGAATGTAATAAAAATTCACATTATTTTAGATTGAGACGCTTGTCGATTTACCAGTTGGCAAGAATTTACAGGTTCGTATCGTAAAATAAGAACGGAACAATAAAAACGTGCTCTCAACACCAGTCGGTGGATTTATTTATTTAGAACTTGAGTTGAGAATTGTTTATTCCACTTTTCCACTAAAGCACGACACACATTTTTTCCATTTTTAGGATCACATTTTTAGCGTCGTTGGCCCATTTTTGCTCAACAAACAGGAATCCTTCGTGTTAGACAGGGATACAAACCTCAAGACGTTTTCAGACTTTCTTTTTAATGGGTCAGGTACATTTTTGGCTATATCATATTTATTTTCATGCTTACTCAAACTTATCCAGTCACTGGATGCTGAACAAGGAGTCGAATTGTTTATTTTAGATTTTGTATCTCCATTTAATTTGTATATTCAATTTCTACGTGCGTATGTAGGTCCAATTGTCTCGGTTTCTGGCGTGTCGGGCCTGGGATTGTTCTCCAGTTCCATTTCGGAGAACAACTATCCCGACATTTATATTAATCCCGTTGGAGTCGGAGTTCATGCCAGCCTTGGTAAAGAGATGGATCAAGTGTTTGGATTTTCTTCCAACACAATGGAAAAATATTACGCCCCGCACATTGGAAAAGATGCTTACTTTGCTTCTGTGAATTTGGGCAAAACGAAAAGTGTTGGTGAAATTAAGCTCCAGAGCAGCAATCCATTAGTCTACCCACACATCGACCCCAAGTACTTGAGCCACCCGGATGATGTCAGAGTCATGGTCGAGGGTATGCAAAGTCAGATTTCTGAACTAACTTAAATGCAACAATCACCTTAAATATTTACGACGAATATAACGTAAACTTTACATTACCAGGAGTCAAGGCTGCCCTGAACATTTATGAAAACACAACCACCTACAAAAAACTGGGTGCTAAATTGGCTCCCAACAAATTTCCTTTATGTGAAGCATTTGAGTTTCGGAGTGACGAGTATTGGGAGTGCTTCGTCCGAAGTTATACGTTGACAGTATATCATCCCTGTGGCACTTGCAGGTACGTAATATGGAGTGACCCAATAATTGATATGCTGTATTTCATTCGGTTTCTTTGATTAATATGCATGGTTAATTCCCACTTGGCTAAATTATGTTGAAACACGAAGCATGGGGATGGAAGGGAAAAGCTCTTCTGTGGTCAACTCTCAACTGAGGTACTTATAAATATTTGGCATAGTTTTGTGTGTGGAGCATTGAGAGACAACACTAATTAATGCGTTAGCACATCTAATATACAAACTGACAAACAGAGTCGTCAACACCACAAACCTTCGAGTCATAGATGCTTCAGTGATCCCACACATAACAAATGGAAACCTCAACGCACCCACAATGATGATTGGAGAAAAGGTCAGGAAAATAGTACTGCTTGTTGTGTCCAAGCTTTACCTGTTTTTTTTAAATCGCAGGGTGCTGAAATGGTTCTAAGTTATTGGGAAAGCAGGGGAGAAAGCAGTGGTGGTGGTGAAAGCCAACCCTCATCATCACTGGATGACGATGTGTCAGACTCCACCGTTGAGAAACCCGTTTACTCAGTAGACCCGAGGAAATAATTGCAACAACCTCCCACACGTTGTAGCTTACATTTGCTCCAATATATATTTCTTAGTATTAATTAAATACAGTGAGTTGCAGAATTCAAAACTTATTTTCAGATCATCATGTTATCAAAATAATGTCATTTTTGGCAACAATGTAGCCACCTGCTAGTATGACATATTTGTAGTAGTACCAGAAGAGGAGTATATAACTTTGAGATAATTAAGGTACGTATTGTTGTTTGTTGAGTATGTGCCATACATAAGTTTGACTCCAAAAGTTAACAAATATAAATATATAAGCAAACAATACACAGACACTGACACACACTGGAAATATATATCTGTAAATATAAATATGTACGTATTCTGAATAGTTTATGTAAGACATTTGTTTATACTTATTTCTTGTAAAGTGAAACACCTAGTTTGGAAATAAAACGAGTCGTTAAAACCTTTGTGAAAGGTACGTACTGAAGGATGGATTGGATTCAAAATGTATCACTTAAATATAGGTTCACTCAAACATATAATATGATCACGGTCTGGATACGTATTTTGCCTCTTTATACTTCAATCAAGGATGATTACTGACGATAAACAGCTTAACTTTTAACCTTTGGTATGCGTATCTCTGGCTCACATCCATTTATCTATCAGACTAATGACTAAGGATACACAAAGTTCTATATGTTTGAGATTGAGTAAGGAGTACAGTTCACCCTTGACCTAAACGTACATATGTATCAAACACTTCTCTACTATTAAACCCCTCTTTTAATGTGAAAATATCACCATTCCGCACTGGCTAAACTCTGCACAAATATGTGGATAAGAAGAATACCTAAGACTACGTAAGACATGACTACGCAGATTACACATGTTCAGTTTCTGTGGGACAAGTATGTCCTTCACTGCAACAGTTACAAAGTTACAAAAAGCTCATTAAATAACAAGATCACTGCTCAAAGGTACCTCAAGTTGTTGCTCAACTTTTAGGAAATAATTACAGAAAATGTATACACATAGAAAATGGGTATGAAATTTGGTTAACCCCACTTCTATCCAATCCTCCGAATGAATATGACCTGTTCTCCAATTGTCTCATAACGTGATTGTAAATACGTGTATTTTAAATACAAACATAAGCACATGGTTTTTTAACAATTATTACCACGCTACCCATTTGTGAAGACGCATCTCGCGTTTCATGTTTAAGTAATTGTAGTGTATACGTAAACGTATGTAACAAAATGGTTTTGGGACTTAGTTCGTTGAGTTCGTATTACGTATATAATAATAATATCACTGAGATTACTTCACCCATGTCAATAATGTCACATTAGGTGATCCATGTCACTGTTCGGCAATTCCATCTATTTCCGTTGACTTATGCTTTTCTTGCAAGTTTCACACGCCTACCTCCACTATCTAGCTCCCTCAACCCAACCATACACGATGCGTGTATTAATAGTAGAAACAGTTTCAAATTGACGAGTTTGTTTTCAAATCAGTTCTCCATCTAGTGCCTTTGGATCATGGTGCAAAGAGACGTAAGCACTACTGTTGCTGTTGTGATTACTACTGTTGTGACTGGAATTTTTGGGCGTTGTCAATGGAATGTTCTCTTCGAATAAGTGGCGACTATTATTTCCTGTCGGATCTCTGTCACCTCCGGTTCGGACAGTTTTGGCGACTCTATTTCCACCGTTACTGCTCCGCGTCGCTCCACCATTGCTGGTAGGCTTGGGTCTGTGGGGCATCGAAATCTCAAGTTGACCCGTTCCTTCCAACTGAACTGAAGCCAATGGAACTAGAAAATGTGCAGAAAAGAAATAATATTGTTAGCAAGGAATATGTAATACGATCCGACAACATGGATGATGGATGGTTCACGTACTATCCAAACAAGGTGACACTATTCTAGGATTATTCGCCAGAAATTCAACAATTTCTGCGCTGTGTGGTCGTTTTTGGGCATCCAACTGCCAACAACTTTTTAACAACTGCTCCCTGAAAGATATACAAGAAGACGTTGCTTGATATCATCGTCAGCAACGTTTGCTTAGGAACTTTTCTCCTGATGGAAGCAGACAATTATTTACTGATGTTCTTCAACTTACAGCTTTGCACCAACTCCGGTGGGAATGGTAACAGTGTTCCCCGATTTCACAAATTCCAGTACCTTTGACAAATGTACACAAAATGAATACTTTTTTCACAGCACTGGATAAACATAATGTGACAGCATATCACAGGACAACATGTCTCGCAGTGGACCACGCGTGGGTGCAAGTATGCAAGTATGCTCCTTTGAAACATGATATACATGGGCGAATATCATTAAAATTACTCTCATGTCGGTATTCTCACCTCGTTGTTGGATTTCCCTAAAAATTCAAGCAAATCAGTTTAGTTCGGTGGTACATTTACAGATACTCGTGAGTTTTAGTTTTAGCCTGAGTTTTATCTATACCTTGGAAAGGGAAACTGCCAAAACTGAGTATCTCGTAAATCTGCAAGTTATAAGAATAGAAACAAAACTTCATGGATCCGTCGAACTTTTTTAAGCAATCAGATAAAGTAAATATGTATCAAGTATGTACCAGAATTCCATACGACCAAACATCTGAAGCAGGAGTGAAAATACCCAAAGCCAAGGATTCTGGACTCATCCATCTTACAGGCAACATTCCTGAGATAAATATGCTATTAGTTGTGTATTTTTCCTTATTTTGCAGCCAAATATTTTATAAAAACGACTAATCTGACTGACTTGCCTTTTCGGTTAAATCGGTAGTAATCATTTTCATACATCGCCCTGTCAATGTAAAAAAATTCACCCCAGTTACAAATACTCTCAAGTTTTTAGCAATAACGCCAGGGAAATTTTAAATGAGGCAAAATACTGGTCTCAAGACCGATATGTTCCCTATCACAATTACGACAAGCTTACCTTGTCATTCCAAAGTCACCCAATTTCACGACACGGCTGGCGTTTACAAGACAGTTGCGACATGCAACATCCCTGAATGCAATAGTTTATACATATGCTTAGATATGTAATGAGAGAGTGGAAAATATGTAGCAGAATCGAACCTGTGAACATATTTAAGTTCAGCCAGGTAGCTCAGGGCTCTCGCGACGTCGAGAGCCATTGAAGTCAACCTTCGACTAGAAATCTCATCAGATTCTTCGCAATTCTTCTCATTGACTAGATGCCGACGGGCAAGGAGATACGTTTTCAAATCGCCTATTCGGACAAAGTGAAAGCAAAGGTCAACTCATTTTTTCATAACGTCATATCGTCATTGGTATGCGGCATTTGTGCATGAATCCAAAGTTGTAGGGAGCATAATAATGTTTGTCCTTACCGTACAGCATGAATTCCATCACCGTGTACACGGGTTCATTTTTAGTACAAACGCCCAAAAGTTTCACCTTGTGCGTAAATCAAAAATGTGTTGTGGTGAAAGTATTTAATAATTTCTAACCTACAATTCAAATTACACTCACAATATTTTTGTGCTCAAATCTCTTCATTACTTCCGCCTCCGAAAGGAAGTCTAATTTTTGCTCGCATGTTGACCCCACTGGAAAATTTAAATTTTTGTTAAGACTGGAATCTTTCTAGGTAAACATTAGTCTTTAGTTGCGAAATGTGAAAATTATGAAACAATATTTTAGCTGTTTGATTGTATAATATGAGACTTCTATGTACATATTTATATATTTATATCTAAATATGTCTACTTTGTACTTATGTAACGTGGTGGAAAAGTGAGACGTAAAGTGGAGTTTACCTTTCAGAGTCTTCACAGCAACAGCAACCTGCGTGGCATCATTCATTTTTATTAGATTACAAGTTCTTAAACTATCCAGTGTCACACATTTCGTTGCGCACTCATAGATCAAACAGACATTATGCGACACAAGGTCAACAAAAATAACATACCCATCCGCCATTGTCATCAAAGAAACATTCGCCACCTGGGACATGGGAGGAAAAAGACTTTAGAAACTCGCAGCCTCATGAAAAGCAGAGGCAGAGACAACCCAAATTTATATTTTACCGTAAACGGTTCCAAAACACCCTTCGCCCAGCTTTCTGTTTATGACAACCCGATCTCGCGGAATTTCCCACTTGTCCAGGGCAAATACGCTGGTGGCCGAGAGAATGTCGATGCCCAGAGCTTTGAAATAGTCTTCAGTCATCTGAACCTTTTTGTCATACCTAAAAACATGTAGGGAGCGTCCATAAATCACGTGATCGATTTTTGGACAATTTTGACCCCCTCCCCCCCTTGGTGACCGGTGGTGATAATTTCGCTACCCCCCCCCACCGGTCACGTGACAGAAGATGATGCTCAAATTAAATCATGTTGTCCGGAATAACAATATTTTTTTAAATCATTAATCAAATTAGAGCTACACTACACACATTTGTAAATAACTATTTAATACGCCAGTCGGACATAAGCATTTAAGTCGAAGCAAGTTTCCAAATATGCAAAATGAAAATCAAATTTATATAACGTGCGCCTGGTATGCCAAGAGAGTTTATATATATGTAACTCTCATGACATTTATTGGCATATACAAAAGTTAAAAAAACTTTACCCATGTCACGTGACATCTGACCATCTACCCCCCCCCCCCCCCGTGATAATTGGTGACAAATTTCAGACCCCCACCCCCCTCTAATCGATCACGTGATTTATGGACGCTCCCTAACGAATTGTAGCATCACACTTAAAATGGGGTAAAATGACAAATCTCCGCAAGAAAAACCATTACAGAAGAAATTATATGCTTATCGTACTTATAATTTTTTTCATGGTAGCTAATTTGCCAATGTAACTACATTTCACTTACATAAGCAAATTGAAATGATTGTAGTACTGTGTTGGTAGAGGAATAAAATTGTAGCAAAAACGGGCAATGTACTAACCGCCTCTTTATGATGACAAAGCATACGACCAACACAAATCCTAGAATCGTGAAACCAATAATGTTGGCTATGACGATGGCCACTTCGCAAGTTACGTCCAGAGCGTTCGCCAAGGTTTCGAGGACGCACTGAGGCGGGGGTTCTGAACCATCGGGGGGAACGTTCCCGTCCGGGGTGAACCATTTTATTGCAGATGCATTGAGTTCCAACCTGCCAATGACATTTTGTTATATAACAATTGTTTCGCTCGTCCAAACCCATTCATCAAATTTTTTGTGCAATGCTGCAAAATGTTCGCAGCCTCCATAATTTATGAGGCATGTCCAGATGACTGTGCGTATTCATGTATATGCAATTATGCATAGAAGGTTCAGCAGAAAACATGCATAAGCTAAGATTTTTTAAGAACTTACACTCCACCAACGATGGTATTTGAGGCTGAAGACGTATTTGGATTGAAATAACCGACAAGATTCGTTTTTCGATCCAACCACTGAACAATGTTAATGGTGGATACCCTGCAAATTTATGTGGCAAAATGATCCCATCCCATTAGCAAAGTGACAATGTTTATTGTGCACGCAGTACAAAAAATGCACTTACCGGGATGGTCCTCCTATGAATCGTATGTGACCAGAAACACCATAAAAGTCCGTCTCATTTATAATTTTGACAAATGTGCTGTGGTAAAAAATTATGGTGCATTAAAAAACTATTCATGGTATTTATTTACATAAATACTCGCATAACAAATGACTTTCGCACTTGGTTGTCTTTTCAGAGTGAAGGTTCGTTATGTGAGAATGGTTCTGCTTGAGCAATTTTTCCAATGCAAAAGCATACGTCCACATCGCATCCTGGGAATTTTAATTAATCGCAACACTAAATAAAGTTGACTTTATTTAGTATATATACAGTCAATCAAACTTACATATGCAAACCCAGCGTAATCCGAAAAGTCTACGTTTTTCTGTTCACAATTGTGTTCATATTTCGTCTTCCAAGCTGAAACAGTGATGTTTTCCTGCATAACTTGGTTCTCTGGAGCGTAATATGCGTACTGAAGAGACAAATGCCCATTGATGGCCTGAAATTGGAACCATGATTTAAAAAATAATCGGATTTTCGTCAAATAGTTTGTGCTTGTATTCAGGTCAAGTGATTTTATCAGAAGCACCAAAATCCGGATATTTTTTACCTGAATCATTTCTGCTGTTGTGCAGGGAATTGGTTCCTTGTCAGTTTGAAAGTTGTGTTTATCGGTATCATACCAATCCTGACCGGTCGAACATTGAAATTAATTTACAAATTAGACAACATGTCCACGACTTTTATGTACAGGAAGGAAAAATAGAAATGCTCACCCGCATAAACCAGACCGGAAGGAACCAGACAAATCCCTCTTTTGCCGTCATTTTTTGATGATAAGCTTCGCATAAAGTTAACATGAGTAAGCTATAGTGTTTTGTATATAAACACACACTCGTGCGTGTGCCTACTACGTACTTGAAAATAATGCTGACTTACCTTCGCACATAACAGCTCGGGCAGCGTGATCATAAAAGTCTCCAATAATAATTTTGGCTTTTTTGCTTTTCAGATCTTGTAAATACTAGAAAATGTACAAAATAACGTTTGGTTATTCCCGACATCTTTTAAGTTTGCAGATATTTATGCACGTAGACAGGCTTATGTATTCTTAATCGAGTAAAATAATCCAAAAAATACCTGTGACATGTTCAATGCGGGTCGGTCCTTTGGAAATTTTCTATTTGCCACAAATGCAATTTTATGTTCTTGAAGTCTGAAAAGTTTAAAAATATCGTCGATGTAACGCATTTTAAAAACGTAATCGTGAATGTGTAAATGGTAAATATTTTACGTAACCGCTTACAAGTCTTGAAGGTGGGACACGTATTCAGCATACTTTTGACCTTCTTCTGTCAACGAAGCGACCCGTGTCCAGCCCAAGTGTTGAAACAACAAAAGGTACACAAATCTGTCAAGAGTGACGTAAAAATTTCAGCAACTCAAACCCACTAATTTCGACATCACACAATGTTGAACTTACTGATACTGCTTGTTCTCTCCAATCGTTCTGAAAAAATATGGATACTTTTCTCGATCCGAAAAGCTGGACCCTTCAGCAGAGTAACTTATCACCACAGTTTTAAAATGAGTTGCAACACCTGCCAATGGTTCAGCGGTGTCGCTGCAAGCAGGACCTACGGAAAACCAATACGATTGGCATACATAAACTTTTTTAAAACAAAACTAGTGTCGTTAAATGACTGTGTCTGGTTGTGACAGGCCAATGTAATAAGTGATCATAATCTATTTAGCCCATGAATACTTGAGGATGAGGTTCGGGAAGCTAACAAAGACAACAATTTGTGAAGAACTGAACTAATTCAATGGAAATATGTTCGCTATTGAATGTCTAAAAGTAGAAGTGGAGTGCGTGCGTAATCTCCTTAATGAGATTCGCTAATTCTCTCACAAGCAAGTGTGTGGGCTAGAGACAAAAGCCCATAGAGATCAGTCTTCCTGGAATCAGTGTTAAGGATGCACAATTTCTATCATTTCAGTACTTTACCAATTACGGTCGGCCATTCACGAACGGCCACATCAAGCAGAATAACAAACTACTACTTACGAATTCCATGCCATGATAAAGGAGTGCGTGGGAACTGGTCGTTAGTGACCAAAATTCCATCAGAAAATAGCTCCGAACTAAATAAAATTTGTATATCTTGGCATTCGTACATAGATCCATGTACAGCAAGATAAGAGTTACCATTCCTGGGCCCACACACTACTTTACATCTCTCAAAAACGAAGGACAACTTGGCAACTGTTTAACGTGGAGAGCATGGCACGCATACCTATTTGAAATATGGCATTAAAGGGAATTATGCACCACTTTCTCTCAACTTATGGCACATGCAGAGCCTCGAATATACATAATTCCTAGTGCAGAGGAGACTGTGGTCGTGAGAGTCTCAATGCGTAGAATGAAGCTCGAAATGTGCTCCACATCGCGAATCGTACTTTTGCTTTCTCCAAATTTGCCAAGCTGAAGTCACCCACGTTCTCCTGCCAGGACGGGCCTGGTGCAATTCTCTCTCTTTCTCTTTCTCCCGTCTCTCTATCTGCACAGCCTTATTTATTGAGCAAGATATATTAAGTTAGGCATTTTTCTCAAGACGTACCAACTTAACGAATTCCTTCGTCAGCACTTCTAGAGTTTCGACGTTTTGACTTTCTACTTTTTGCCCTGCTGTAAGTTCTGACGATAATGGGAAACGTTACATAATTATTAATATCTTCTGTGCTCGCTCACACCTTTCTTGTTATGTCGCGTATTGAACTAAATATAGCTGCTCGAACTTATATAATTATTTCTAAAGTTGAATGTAGGTCGACCAGTTACGTAGATGTGCTAAAGTAAGTAGTAGAATACTAAAGCGAGTAATGTATGAATACGGTTAATGTCAAATGATGCTAATTAAAAGTTTAGGATGGGCTATAGTGCGTAAATATGTGCATATTTCAGTCACGTTACTCAGGTCACATTTCGCGAAAAGTCCCTTCTCCCTTATTTATCTGCTATGCTACATTCAACTTACCAAGAATCCCTGCCATATGCGGAAAACTGCTGAGTCGAATGCTAAAAAAATTCAACGTTTGAAGATTGCAACGTCCGTGAAAAAAACTTTCTCCGCCATAATACTTACTAGTCAATGAAGCTCTTCATAACTTTATCAGTTCGACACTGGCCGTCATAAACATGCATTCTGAGATCATAGTCACTTAAGACGCTGTTGTTTCTGTTGATAGCTTGAGCAGCCATTTGGGCAGCTGAAATATATACAAAAATACCAAATTAATATCAATCAAGAAAAAGAAACAGATGGAACGTGACATGAAAATATCACTGTTCATTTTATGCACACATTTTATTCTAGCCTGGATCTGAGGCTTATTATGCAGACTAAAAACAAGAATTTTAGATCGTTACAAATCCCATGCTCAAGAGGATAAGAAGAGGAAAATAGTAATAATGACTGGAGTAGGAAGCAATACCAGGGTAAATAGTCTCACTGTGCATGAGAAGAAATTCAACTTTCACTCACAACAGTATCTCTGAGCATCATCGTACAAACGCAGGACGTTCAATTTATGTGAAGATTGCACTACTCTGAGCAATCCAATTTTGAGCATAGTGTTTTTTTCCAGCTCCAAACAACAATAAAATTGGCCCCGTAATAAATTCTCCACGTCTCTCTAAATTGTGTCATGTCCCGGTTGGTTGATTTTTGGATAAATGTGCTACTTGTCGTATACCATTTCAAACAACCTCTTGCAAAATATACAAGGAAAATAGGCACAATTTGTTCACCGTGTGTGTTTGGGTGGAAAATGGCCATCGTTTGTGAACCTGCTGCTGCTGCTCAATTTTCTCATACCGACAAACTTTACCTTTTACTTTTTGCAAAAAGAAACCATTGCTGGGAACTTTGGCTCTCAAGCCTCACGACACTTGGTCAATTGTAAAAATATGGAATTGCTCACTGGAGCAAATACTTAATTGGGCTTAGAACTTAATTGAATTTTCCAACTTTGAGAAATACCCAAGTCCCCGAGGAGTAAAAAAAATGTGACAATGAAATTCTTCAATCGGCAGATTAAAGCCCTTCCTTATTTTTCTACGTACCTATAAGAATCCCCCTCGCAGTATAGGTTCCCGTAATGGGGAAGATGCCACCGATGAAGAGAGGGATTTTGCCATTTCCTTCCTTTGGCTTCCAGGCTTCCCAAATATGTTCGCTAATTTTCATCCAAGCACAAGCCACTTGTTCCGCTGCGAGTTGAGGGTCTCTTCGCAAGCTAACATCAGTGGGATTTGGACTAATCCCTTCTCCCATGACGCTTCCTCCACCCGTTTCAATAACGAAGTTTTCATTGTCCCGAGCTGTCTTGTCCATGTAGAACTTGAGAAGCTGGGTGTACTCTTCATAAGAAAAGGACAGTCGGTGAACGGCCTGAAAAAATAGAGCACATATTGCATTTTATCTTTTCCCCGACAAACACACGAAGTTTCCTCATTCTCTGATTGTTTTTGGATTATTACAGATAAATGGATTAAAAGACGGATTTTACGCAAACTACTGAGCTGCATACATTCGTCTGCGTTGGATTGTTATCATTTAATTACTTTCACCACTTTCCAATTTGCTTATCTATCTGCATCGGTGTATCAAAAGCATTTCAGACTGTTTTTTCAATGCATTCATACCCACATATATATGTTCATACGTGCAGAAGCACAGAATATCGTATGACTGCAATTTACTATGCACATGTATAATAACAACCATATGCAGCTACATAGTACAAGTGTTGATTTCACCCATGGTGGTGACAGAAACAGACTATTTGTAATGTAAAATACTTAATTAGTATTCAGCGGACGTGTGTCGTAAGAGAATTTTGAATTTGGACTGCTTCGGTAGCACAATCTCATAACAATGAAAAAGATATGAACTCACGTATTCATGTGTGTACGTATGCATAAGCGTTTGGTTTAACAAACAATAAAATTCCACAGAGTTTCATAAACTTTTCAAATATCATTAAAAGTGCTACATTTTTATTACAAAATATTCGAGAATGCTGGCAAGGGAAATATGCCACATTTTGTTCAGGTGTTGATACAGCTCATGCCTCCCACAATGCATTAAGAGGCGTAATTACTTTGAGGATGCAAAAGGGAGAGAATAAATTATTCCTCATTATATTCTCCACCGGCAAGTTTAGTATGCGCGTCCGTGTTTATGCAAATTTCCGTACAATTACCACCCCCAAAAGTTTACTCTAAATCTCAATGGGACCGATAAAGAAAGATAAACTATGTATGTACAAGTGCCTTTGTTTTGTTTCTAATCCTCTCCCGGGCGGAAATCTGCATGCATAACATTGTCTGGCCAAAGTTCTGAATGGCGAAAAATTTAAATTCCTGATTCGGCACACAACTTGATACTTATTATTATGCTAGACTGCCATAATTCAGATGAGCAAAAGTCTACAATGGCACAAGAGCAAGATTAAGATGCCAAGCATGCAGGAGATTATGTATGGCGAATAATGCAATTCAACCAGCCTTGCATGCATGTTCATACCTTGCAAAATCAGAGCAAACAAACTTGCACGACAAAAACCTTGGCTATTTCTTATGACACCAAGTTTTTTTTCTAGTTGGACATAGATGCATTCGCTTCGCCGGGCTTATCATCATCATCACATGTACATAAAATCCGACGGTGAGGTTACTCAAGCAAGGAAACCCAGCCGAGTTTTAAATGAGGTTTCTGCTCTGTAAACGTCGCTGTCGGATGTTATCCAATGTTTACTTACTTCGTATGCAGTTTTGGCACCCTCTTTCAACTTGGAGCTCACGACTTTCTCCAGACTCCGAGACTCGTAGCAAAACTGGTCATGGTCACAGGGTGGAAAGGCTACGCTAATGGTGTCGAATTCCAGCGTGAGTACCATCGGCTTCCAGCTAAAAAACATCACCGCTCGTCTCCGGTTCCCAGATCTTAACTCGTACTTTGCCACCAAACTCTTCACAAAGAAGTCCAAGTTGGGTCCGAGCCACAACACTTGAACACGAAGGCCAAGCTGCGTGATTTGCTCGGGGAGGAACATTGACGACTCTGGAAACACAACGTCAATAAAAATGTGCTCTCAAAAGGAATTCGCAAAAAAGAATAGTTGGTCGTCCTCTTTTGAAACTTATTTAACACGCCCGCAAACCAGTCCTCTCCAATTTCAGAGACTTTCACTTTATGTGGGTGGACCATGCACACAGGGAATGAGAAATAAGATGTTTGGTAAGAAACATAACTAATCTTGACTTACAGGCTCTGTGATTTCTTACTTAATTCACGAAATGGTAAATTGGATTATAAATGCTTTGTGTAAAACTTTTCCTCACAGAATATTATTGTTGGTTGTTAATTCAAAAGAAAAAGTTGCCCTATACATTTGTCTTGTTTATACGAATCATCATTTCTCTGTGAAATACTAGTAGAAACCTCAAGTGGTAAGTTGTGATGAAGAAGCTCATTCATAAAACTTTAGCATTTGGGAACAATGGAATGCACACACCCAGGGAAAACTTGGGTTCTTGTGCATATACATGTGTATGTATAATAATAGGACAACAAAACTACTGCACAAAAGTTAGCAGCCTATACAAAAAGTGTCATAAACTAAATAATATGTCACACTCATGAATGAGCGGGTTCTTTTCTTAGCGCATGTCATCATAATAAGATCCACTGACCGACTGCGTGTGTAAATTTGCGGCGGAGACTTGTCAAAACAAATAAGGTGAGTGACGGGTCAAATTACTTACCTGGGTACGAGGCCAACAAAATTGCACATTTTCGTCCTCCTCTGCGCCCTTCTTGGCACAGGTTTGGTGGAGTGAACATTCCATTAGTGCAGAACGATTCTTGGCAGAAAAACCTGTGTCGGAGAAAGTGAAGAAAGAAAAGTTAAGTTAAGCAAGCCATTATAAGTTGGCGAAACCATACACAAACAACGGCCAACAATACGCTGGCCCACACAGTATTCGTGTAATGATGCGACAACGCTTGTTATGAAACTCGTCGTCATCGTCTCGTTAAGCCTGCGACTTCAAGTAGAGCACATCATTTATTTTATTTTTTCTCGTAAATGCTCAAGATCACAGGTACAGCTAAGTGCAGTTTCCTCCCATGTATTATAATTTTATGTCCCATCAGGAGTGACGCGATATGACCTGATGCATGGTCCTAATTTCAAGGCTGCCCCCTGATAAGAAGGCGCACTGAAGTTAATAGTCCGACTATAAAGTAATCGTGTTGTCCTTGTCAGCACGAACCGGCAGACACTTTTGGATAAGTGGTTAGTGCTCTTGCAGATTTATTTCCTGTCATCTCAAATCAACCGATTTATTATTGTTGATAAAATAATGATGCTCCTTTGTGACGTCGGGTATGAAACTTCCTCCCTTGTCAACTTAAATTATATGCAATTGCTCCAAGTTTTAAACATGAGTCTCAATCTAATTTCAGAATCTACTTAAAGCTGGCTGCGTCTATCTGCATTAATTCTCCAGTCATGTATGTTGGGTAACTTCACGGATGGTTACGTTTGGAAAATTGACGCAAATTAGACTTGAGTTTCCAGAAGCTTGCGCAAGATTTGATCTCAAGCTATGCGATGGATTTCTCATCCTAAACAAACAACGCAAACAAATTTGTTCAAGTGCTCTCTGCAATATTCATTGAATTGTATCGAGTTGAGATGGTGAAAGCAAACGGCTAATTTCATGCTCCCCTAAATCTACGAATTAGACAAGACATTGCTCAACTGCTGTTGGCATATGTTTTTGTATTCCATCTAAAAATATTACTAGAAAGAGATCTGATGATAATAGTGAGCATAAGATAAAAAGTTGATAACAAGAGTTGTGCTAATCATGATCTTGCCAGATAATTCTAATTTTGGTCTAATAAATGATGATATATTAGAAAAGTTTGAAGGTCGGCACAAAGAAAAATTAAGAATAGGGAGCATAATTCGGATCCCATTGCGTCATTATTGAGCATCTCATGGGAAAAGACTGTATAATAATGATTGACGAAATATCTAGGACTCGTCCTCGGTCTAATGAATACTGATTGATACTCTTCATCCTGCGATACACGGTCTCATTCATTTTCATTGTATTTCATTATCATAAATTGGGTAGCCCTCCAAGGATTAATCCATAAATAGTCTCACCGTTCGGTTTGTGCGTTCCAGGCGTGGTGTGTGGTGGCCGTCGTGTAGTCCTCGTCGTCCAGGGAAAACAGGTCAATCAGGTTGTCATTGCTTTTAAATGTCCTCCAATAATCCAACATGGGATTCTCGTCCACCACACTCATCCGCGGAATATACCACCCAAACCTATTCGGGACACAATTCAATTAACATTTACTCGGTTACGTAAATTAATTAAAAAATATTTGCAACCGGGTTGTTCAGCATGCATAACCGGTGAAATATTATTAGATAAATTGTGTCATTAAGAATTTTATGAAACGGGAGTGGTCGTTTGAAAGTAATAAAGATAAGACTTTATTTTTATCCAATGACTTTTTGTCAGGGAAATTTCAAGGTTGTGCTGTCTCTTATATTCACATTGTAAAGAATCATGGCTCCGAATTCCAGACAAGGGCAAGACAGAAGATGTCACAAAGACAAGCATACTTTAGTCTAACGAAGGTAAATATTAACCCAAGTTCTCGATTTGTCCGGTTCCATCTCCCAAGATGTAGTTTTTTCCAAGAATCTACAGGCTATTCGCCGGACTTTCGCTGCTGGACTTTCTTCGCACGTCAGACTTAAACAAGTCTGTCCGATATCAATGAATTCGAGAAAGTTTGAAGGTTACACTTTCGGACAGGCAAATGACCTGACTACCGGAACGGAAAGAATGAAGGCGTATGTAACTATTACATAGTGCTCATGTGGCCACAATATTTGTTCGTGAAAGATGACGAAGGGCAGTTCCACTACAAGTTTCAGAATGCATACATATCTATAAATGGGACAAGACAGTGGTCTAAAGGATTCGATGTCTGTGTCCTCCTCCCAACATGTGCTGTTACATACGTACGGAGAGTAGTTATTAGACCACAGCTTTAGTTTATGTGAAAAGAACCAAAAGAAAAACCGGACCGTTCTGGTGTCTTGTCTTTGAGTCCTAAGCGAATCAACGTTTTTGTTGAGTATTTTATCCAAGCCTTTTTCTCGAGGTTCAGCAGAGAAGGATTGGTAGGTTGGTAGGAGGAAGAAAGGAGGACAGTGACAAATCAAGTTAAGAAAGTATCCACCAAAGTCCACTTTGTGGCGGAGTAGATGGAGAGTCCGCAGGGAATCGGCCTACTCTTCGCCCTAATGAAAACCTTGCCCACTTAATACAGCAACAAGAACGCGTTCTTTATGACCACACCCGGAGCACACCCACACCAATGAAAATTCATGGCCAGAACCGATACAAGAAAAGTGGATGTCACACATCATGCTTGTGCACTGAATCACGTAAAAAACAAAATCTTGCAAATGGAATATTTTTCTCTATTAGCGTGACACCGAGAAAGAGAAAGCACAGGGTTTCACTTACGGCTAACTTACGAGAAGACTCGTTACCACCCACCTTTTTCATTTTTAAGCCAATGCGTGTTAATACCAACGAACGACGTGTTCAAATTCCTGGCCTTATAGAACGAGGATAATGCATATGCACCACACGGTGGCCGAGCCCCCTCAACTTTCACTTTGCACTCACATATTAAGGCAATCTTAAGTAGTGCACTTTGCTGGTAGCCCATCGGGACCAGAACTCTTCATTCCTTTTCTGTACAACCTCTAATTTAACCACCATTGATTAAATACATTGTCAGCGTGTTGATAAAGTCTAATAAGATCAGAACAAACTTATACAGGCTCCAAAAAGTTGTCCTTCCTGCAAATAATTCTGGTTGCGGACAAGCGTTAGATGATAAACTTGAGTAAAAACTGCAATATATTGCAATTGCAATTTCTTTTTTCCGAATGTCAACCTGAGTATGCGAAACTTTATGCATACTTTGGAACCTATGCGGCTTTCAGAAACTTTCAGAAATGTATTTATGTGACACAGGTTGAGGCCGACTTTCACCTCATTCTGTATTACTTCAAAAATCCCTTGGGCGTGTAATATTTTGCGAATGCTATTGGGTGAAGAAATGATGTGTCATTTTGGTGAATAGAATTTCTGCCAGATCCACGAAATGGTGGATGGAAGGAAGCAGTGTGGAACGGATGAGGGGGCAGCATTCTGATGATTGTTTCATCACATGCATTGTATAACCTTCAAGATTGAGCTCTTGACGTCAACTCACACAGGAGAAAGGAGAAAACAACAACAGGAGTCATTTGCCTCAGGCTGATGCTACCCATGAATTTAAATGCATTCAGTTGGTAAAAACCTGAAACTTTCTCCGGTTTCATCCATCCAGCCACCCACCAAATGGGCCAAAACAGGACGTAATGAAATTCCAGAAATGCGAAGGCTTGAAATCATTCATTTGCTTCCTGTGTGTGAGCTTTGCCTGTGCGGAAAGACTTTTCGTGAAGCACATCATTCCATACACAGGATGACTTTCTCCCTTGGGTATTATTCCATCCGACGGCGTGTGTGGTGGGAATAACTGAATGCAACGACAACAAGGAAAAAACAATTTGGTCCTCGGCGAGGCAGAACGCAAAAGCTTGAACAACTCTGCATCCCATCAGAAATAAATCGCAGAATTTTCATTCAATTTCCATAACCCAGACACACATATTGGTTTGTCACTTTTATTCGGATTTCAAATTCAAGGTGCGAATATCAAAATTTTGTGGTTTGTCATGAATCAAACTCAACATGAAATATTGTTTATTTGATTATGTTGAGAAATTCCGAACTTGGGAGTCGTTTTTTATGGGAATATGTAATTTCGGAAAATTCTGTTGGGAACCCCATGCGTCATGCTGTCCATACTTTGAAGGATGATCAAAACTCATCGAGTTGATGTGTGCACGATAGGACTATCCGGGATTAATTGAGGATTATAAAGGATTTCGAATGAAGTTTCCTCTGAAATCTATCAATAACCCGTCACAACGTGTTGAAACTTGCGAAAATCATGTTCACACATAAAATCCTCGTAGGAGGAAAGCTTCACCAAAAATCCGTACCATTTATGTCTGTCCATCGCTCAACGGGCATGCAACTTAATTCAGTTTAAAATGTATAAACTGACAGAATGCACCCTCATTAAAAGTTCCAATTTCGAAATACCTGAGCATAAGGAAGACAGAATCCGTCAGACTCTTCATCCGAACAGAAACTTGTTTCCTTTCTATCCACGTCACGCCGTCTTCACGTTGGTATTGGCCCAAAATAAGCATTTCCACAACCTTCCTAATCAATTCCGTCTGCTTCTTTCATTATTTTTTTGAGACACATTGTGTCATGTTCTTTGTAAGCGGAGTTCCTGGCTAATAAGACGGAGCCATTCTGTCTAGCCATGCCTCATTAACTGCACGAGGAGGTTGCATGGCGGAGGGATATAAATTGCATGGGAACAACCTTCTCATAATGGGTGAAAGTAAGTGAAAGGGACAATTGCCAATACACAAAACAAATATTTGCTTATGTTCATCCACCAATTTTCCCGTTCTAAAAGTAGCACCCAGCCAGCCGTCGTCGTCACCTTCGTCATTCCCATTCACCACTCACGTTCACCTCAACCTTGTAATAGCAATAAATCCACATCCTTCTGGGGTAACGCTTCAATTGATAACGAAAGATAGCGACAGGTTCAAAGTTCACATAACCCAGAACCTCCATGGCTCCATGTGAAAACGATGGGTGTTTGTTTGCTCGCCATTTAATTGAACCCCGGAGCATCCGCACATGTTGCAACATCATCTGCTGCAATAATCTTCATGACTGATCAAGCTATGGACCACTTTGGGAAATCGGCTATTTGCTGAATTTGAACAATTCTGACAAAAAAAATATCCACCCAATAAAATATATAGCTAGAGGGTGGTGGATCCCATTGTTGTCTTCATAATAGTGTTGCATGACCTTAACCCAGATAATAAATATATGTGCTCCATATCTAAGCATTGATATAATGCAAGTGCTTGAGTTTTCTGATGTCAATAAATTTGAGTCCATTGTTCCGATTGGTCATTATTTATGGAACCATTATGAATTTTATAAATGCTTTGAATTTCCCCATTTCAAACTTATTTTAGTTCTAGACAACAAGCATGATCAGCATACCAAACCACTCTCGCAAGAACGCAGTGGGGGAAAATTGCAACACAAGTCCACATTTTATTCGACGATTGAAATACCGTAACTTACGGTAATATTAATAGATTATGCAGCCCTATATCGAAAAACATTCCTCTTTGAGTGAGAATATTTTACACTTTCCTTGTGCGAGCAAAATGGATAAATGAACTCTCTAATTTACTTATTTTAGTTTCATGCAATTCACGAATGACGTTAGAACACACGTTTTTGGCGATACTTACCTTCCTTGGAATCCAAGTTGGCCGCAGTTTTCCAAGAGGCCTGGAGAATTCCATCGCTCCAACTCCCACTCTGAAGGGAACCAAACTCCCAGATTAATCTGCGACTCTGGAGCTCTGCAGATGAACAAATAGGTAATTACATCACTATTAATAGAAATCTTGACGTGGATCTTTACTGCCCACAACGCTTTCCAAAGAAATTCGGTAACCAAACATAATGAGATTTCTATCGCTATGAAAGTATATCTGCTTTTTTATGAAGCTAATTATGGCGAAATTGTGGAATACGCCATAAATGCGTAGATAACGATGCTACCAAATTGATTGCATCCTAGTTTAGCAAACCAAGTGGCGTCTTGTGGTGAATGATAACCTAGCTTCAACTCCTCAACCAACGTCTCTCTCGACATAATAATTTATATATCAATCATGTTAGTCCCTAATATTTTTAGCGCATCACTACGTGCATACAATTGAAGGTCACTTAATAAGTGGGCAAGTAAATCATCGATCTGTTGACATTATTTTAAATGATTTTGCTTTGTTTTGCTTTCATCTAACGCCTCTGCGTTAGACCCTACAGCGTTGCTCATTTATCTGTAAACGTTGAACGTAGTATGTGTAATACGATACGTCAAAAACAAAAGTTTGTCCTAGGAGATAATAATCAGCATTGCCCGAGGTTTAAAAGTCAGGCATTGATGCATGCATCTGTCTGCCCATTATTTTTATTCGCTAGTCTCAGATATCACATCTGCATATCAAATTTACTGACTCGTTCAACCAAGTTGGCGAGACGATATTTCTTGCACAAAAATCCAAGCGATTTTAAAGCGTGGCTTGGTGACATTTGTCGCTGCAATATTGCATTTATTTCAGACTGCGTTGCAAAATTCCAAATTAGGGCAGTAATGCCAGATGATAAGCACATAATGTGCAGTCAAACGTAATTGGATTTCTTTTACTGGAGTTGTCAGCTAGCCATAAAACCCATTCATTTAAGAGCACCTGAAACCTGAGAAGCACGTTATCTCGTCCAAAACCTTCTACCAAATGACATGTCACACACGTATGCAATAGTTTTCAAGCAAGTTGGGCCAAGACAATAAATGGTTGATTAAGAAAAGCCATAAAATCAGTCTTACCGACTGTTGGAGAGCAGGGCAGCTCCGTTGTCGAGGAGGTCCATCCCAGAAAGTCGTTGCAAAATTTGGGAGGAGGAGTTGATGTTGAAGTGATCCGTGTATGTGACAATATTGACTGAATCATACTTTAACACCTCTCGTAAAAATATGGCAAAAGCTTGTGTCACCAGTTGGTGACCAATATCGGAAGAAGTTTCGAGCGTAATGTTGAGAATATCATTTTCTATTTGGAAAAATCTCTTCGGAGTGACATCTGAAATAATTGGAGGAGAATATTTAATTGCATATATATACACATTTGGTAGTGGTAATATCACCTTACACATCTTAGCATATACTTATAAGACCAGGCATAATGCTCCTATTATAGACATTACAGTGAAGTGAACTCCGTTAAATTGAAAAAAATCTCACGGCACAAGTGGAAAACTGGTTTTGAACACTATTGCGATTATTACGACGCGAAAGAACGGCAAGAAAAAACTTTGCTCATAAAATGTTGCCTTTTAAGAAAGAAAGTATGTACGCTGTGAATAGTTCGATATATGCTCAAAGATAGAACTCTTTTATAGTTCATGCCTTCCAGTGTGAGCGAAAATAGGAATGAAAATGGCACAATTTGCATATATAACAGGTTCGTATGCACAGGGTGCCCCCTGTGCATACGAATATAGTACTCTGACGATTAGTAAGTTAGAGTGATATTCGCAATCAAACGTACCTTTGATATGCTCCAAACACTTGGGGGTGACATGGGCCACCATTCCTGACAGAATGGTGATTAGGTGGAGGAGATTCAAAAGACTGTGGTTCCTGAACAACATGATGTCCACACTTCTTGCTCTACCTCGACTGGGGAACTAATTGCTTTGGTGGGTGAGATTTCGAACCAAGAATTACAAAGGGAGTGACGATGGTGATGTACTAGGTTTGTAGTCGGGCAGTTGGAGCAAGTCTGCTGCAATAATCACGGACCACATGTCTCCAGCTTCACTTCAAAGGTGTCCAAAGTGTAAGGTTTGCTGGATCATATTCACTCCAACAGCATTGAGAATCTTCGGACTCAGATGAAACTGTAATTTGCGAATATATTTTGATTACAGATTTGATAAATAAATATCACTGAGGAGTCATGTTCTAAAATTTGCATTTAAATAAGTCATTTTCGACTTGGCCCTCCTCATCCACTGGAGCTAATCTAACATTACTCTACGGAGTAGAGTACCATACTTATGCATGCATAATAATATACGACGTCGTGATCTGAGCTGACGTTAATATCATTGAGTGATGGTGATTAAACATAAGTTTACGATGCTTCGATCTTATACATGCAGTATATACTTAGGATTAGCTACACGCATTCTTACTTCAGTATACTGATAAGCACTTAAAATTTGCAATAAGCAGCAAGTTGATCAACATACAGCTGTAAATTGTCTTCCTTGGCTGGAGATAGATCCGTGTGTCTACGATATATGCAGGACAGATTCAGATATGCGTGTACAATTTCATTACTGGCTCCAAGAAACGATATTGGTGCCCTTATAGACATAAAGAGCATAGTGCATACTCGTGTCTGTATTGGGAAATGTGACAATGAGGAGGGTTGGAGAAATCGAATGGAATATGTCTTGACCAATTTAACGAAGCCACACATTTCTGACAAAAACTTTCTGTCAACTTTATGAATGAACCCATTAATTTTAATTGCCCAACGTTTATCCTCCAAAATCCAGATTACGTGGCCATAGTTAGAACCGCAGTAGCGTACAATCCCACAAATAAATTAAGTATGCATATCACCGCAAAATGTATTCGAACCATGTCCGTAGGTCAACTTCTCAGGACTTGAATGGTGTACTCGACATGGTTTTACGATGGCTCCTCATTTCATTATTATGGTTTACCTCCTTACATAACGTGCTATAGACAACATTCACTTATTAATTGAAGACTTCCATAATGTTGTTTAGTCAACAGTTGCCTATGCAGCGTTTTATAAATGCAACCGAATTATATAAAACGATCAAACTCGTTTTTTTCTCGTCACCTTCCACATAAAAAGCTCAAACTGACTCTGTAGCCAAATCCTCCCACGCGTTATTTCCCAGTTTAATTATTAGACCGCTGATGTATGTAGAAGTCAGTGAGAGAACATTGTATGAGAAAACTAATAATTTTGTATGCAAATCTCGTTCCATTTTCTGAACTTTGTCAATTTAGGTGGAAATAGAGAGAGATGAGAAACTTGGAGCTCATTACGCTACAAGCATTACTGATCACCAAATCCTAATGAGTAGTTGGAGGAGGAAACTATGTATTTACACGGAAATGAAGTGGTCCAACCTTGATATTCTGCTCAATTTTCTACTGAACTCAACCTCTCCAGATAATAAAGTCTCTCAAAAGATTGTTTTCACAAGTAGATCATCATTTGTGACGAATGATGATGATGCCGGTGTCGATCTAATATAAAAAAGTTTCAACATGTGACTCATTTTGGGGGACTGTTTCTCCGTAGTAAATCTCTCATTTTCCTTCCTCTAACGTCGACCAAGTCTCAAAGTCTGTGCGAAGATAATGGTTATTTTCGAGAACCAAGAATGCAACGGCTTATTTTATGAGATAAATAGTCTGTGGATTACGTATTTGTTTTCTTTTGCTCATATAATACTCTTGATTGCGGGATTGATGGAGATGCCACAAATGCGACTCTTTTGGGTCATTTGACGAACAACACACAATCTCATTTCCTGCACTCTTTTCTCAGCCCAATGATGTCACGATGAGACGTATGTATGTAATTCGTGTACTGCGCAAACCGCAAGAAATACGTACATAACTCTTGTATGGAGTCTTATGGACCAAAGTGAATTTACTCTACGCAACATGCAACTTCCTTTCAATTCAAGATAGTGGCAAAGGGCACTGTGTGTGCAAATTGACCGTATGAATCGTATGAGACGAATAATTCAATATCGTCGAGCATTCTGATTGTGCAAATGTGAAATTCCTTCTCTCTCCCTGTCTAATTTATTGAGCTGGAAAATTTATTTACAGAAATACGGCATGTGGAGCTCATAAATAAATAATTGCATAAGTTTACATAATCTAAAGTTCTGCAGTCTGCACCGTTAATCTTGTACTTCATGACGTACTTATTATCGTAAGTGTATTGAAAACTGATATCTCTAATGCTGACCTTTGGAATTAATTTTGGGAAGTGCACATAATGCAGATATACAGAATTTGACATACATAAGAACATCGTCTATTTGCGTATAGCGTATTCCAAAGAAGATGCCCAAAATCTCTGGGTACTTATGTTTTACGAGTATAATAAGAGTGAGACTCTTATTAAACAAAAATATACAAATAAAATAATCTTTTACTTACTTAATCCAAGAAATCTGCAGTCTTGAGCAAAATTTTGCCCGATTTCAACCCCTAAGCTTACCCTAAAACGACCATTCACAAAATGAGTTGCTACTACTTAAGCAAAGGACTTTTGATAACAATCGGCGTCTCGAACAATAGTTTTGTTTCAGTTGAAGACATAAAGTTATCTGTGAAATATTTATGAACAAGTAAGGAGAAAATTCTTATCCACTGCAAATAAATTAGTTTATACATACAAATACATAATTTTTACACGCGCTTAGGGTTGAAAAAGATCGTAAATCATTACTTTTAGGCTAAATTGTCAACCTATTTATAAGACTACGGGGGCAAACTGGGTAAATTGCTGATGGTTTATTCTTTCAACTAATAACCTACATATATACGTAAGTACATCATACATTTATTTCTACTAAACCGTTGTTAAAAATCTCTTCAAAGTGTAAACAAGCTTCGGATTAATTACAGTGACGTTATGTAGCGTATGTGGGTGCGAAGAGTGGGAGTTACATGAAAAACACACAAGGCGTTCTCACCTAATGAGTGAAACCATGTATGCACAATAGGTGGGCCTTCAATATGTGGAGAAAGTGCAGAAAAATGGGAGAGGATCCCGTTTCATGGAACACAAAACGAGGCAAAGATAAATAACCGTCAGTTCCACCGCCTTCAATTTCTACGGAATCCTTGAACTATTATGGACTCAAAAAATAATGTTCCTCGGCTGTTCTTTGAATAAAAGATAAGCTCGACTGACTCTTTAAACAAATCCAGGCGGAAGATGATGAGGAGGAGACGGGACGATTGAGGTGAATCTCATACCAACTCCAAGTTTTATTAGAGCTTCGCCCTCTTCTACATAAGATTTAGTACCATCAGACATGGGATTCGCCAGGAATGAGACTCCGCCAGCTTGTGTCTTATCACATGACACAGAGCACTACGTATTTGGGAGAAAGGGCACCCCGTAATTTTCTCGGCTCTTAATGTCCACGGCCAACTTCCAGTCCATGAACTTTCCCCATTCAAATGAGAAATATGAGAATCATTCCGTTCTCAATTCTCTCAAAATATGAACATTCAGAGGACACGCAGCTCCTCAAATATCATAACTGAGGTTATCACCCGGCGCAGGGTCAACAATAAATTACATTCTAGTCGCGCCGAAATGTTTTTTTTAGAAATCTTGACAGGAAAATTAAGGATATCTATTTTGGAGCATTCTCGTGACGAGTGGAATCGTACAGAACAAAATAACTGATGGCATTGTGTTCATGGACATTGGAAGTCTCCAGATATAAATCAAGGCATAATCTACGTGTCTTATATTTGCGAATATATAATAACATTGGGTGATTAACTGCCATGTTACATGGCACACTGAACAGCCAACATAATGAAAGATTAATAATCAAGAAGCAAAAAAGTTATTTAATCTGTTGCATGATCACAATCCCGAACTGATGTGATACGTAATTGCAGAAAAGGAGCAGAAATCTCCAGAGCATAGAGATTCCAGCAATTTCTTGGTTGGAATATTTTATAATATTCATTTCAGGAATCGGTCTCTAACTTTATAAATAAATAAGTATATGCAACTACCTTCAAGTAAAATTATGATGCTCTCTCAAAGATAATCAAAGATAAGAATTTAGAGTTTCTGTTCCGTGTAGTCAACTACAAATGAAACATTTTGTAATTTACTATTGAATACAATGTTTCACACAATTGTCTAGCAAAGCTTTTCGAGATTCCAGATACACAAAGAAACATGCAAATTTTCAATTTCAACAGTTGCATTGATAAGAATAACGTTTTTGCAATATTATCATGCACAAATAATGGTCGCAATTTGTGAAACAGGGGAAAAACAAATGATGACCTTGTCTCGGTATCATCGCATCATGGCGAGTGAGAAACAGCGTTAAAAATTTTCGCAAGCTTTCTCAGCTCATATTAAATCAGATATGAAAGCTAAGCAGCCACATCAATCGGTACTCGTACTCACGAGAGTAGTAGCTCAACTTGTTTCGTATCGTGAAATCACAACATGAAGTTATTACCAAAGCTCACTAGAACTTAAGAAATTAATTAAGCTGTTGTATGTATACTACAGCATTGCGAAATCAAAGTTGGCAAAGTCTTGATACACAGCTTGCTGAAGTTCGTGGCATCGTAAAAAATGGACAACATTTCCTTTCCAGTGAATTATTAAGAAGAGCAGTGTGCGGATTAGCGGTCCTATAAAAATATACTTTGTGCATATATACATACATACTTATTTTACGTACATCCTTTCTATCTACAACTTGGAATGTGTGAACGAATGATATGAATTATATAACGTGATTGCACACGAGGGATGGCGTCTGTATGTATGAAATGTAAAAAAACAATACCCAACTGTCTGAGAAATAAGTAAGATAAATTCGCAATATTCCAATGTACTTATCTTTAAAAATATGCACGAGTGTGTAATACACGACAAAAACAAAGCAGGAAAGTTATTTTACTTCTTTTAATTAATGGATCTCAAAGTTTGATTGATTTGCAAGAAATTAAGAAATACGTGTTTAGAAACTACACATTCCTCTGCTCACAAGTATTTTTGAAAGTGAAAACATATGTCTGATTCTAAAAGCTTTTTGAAGTCTCATTTATATGAAAAAAT